TATTTTTGGTTGAATTTAATAAAAAATTATGTAAGTTCTCTCTTTAAAGTTAAATATAAGGATTGCTTAAAATAGAATTGATGAAAATTATGAAAATTTTACTTGATGTCAATATTTGAATAATCTATAATTAGTTATCTTTAATTTAATGGCATAATTAATACTATACTCCTGAAAAATTTTTTAAAAGAGATGCAAATAGCATGCCATAATTTTGATTTGAAAAAGCAAGTAGTTATTAAAATAAACAAAATGAATGTGAAGAGTATAGGAGTTAAAGCCTTCTTAAAATAAATAAGCTGGTAATAAATATCAGCTGTGTATTTGCTATTAATTTATCTAAATTTTGAGCTTTAATTCAGAAAAAAACATCAAAAAAACAAACAAAAAAACATTATTTTATTATTAGAGATAAAACAAAATAAAAGAAGACCAACCATATAATAAAAAATATACTTAAAATTATAAAAATGGCATCGAACGATTAATACATACAAAATTTTTATTAACCAAATGATGAAGAAAATCCTATGAAAAAAGATAGTATTACTAACAAAAATAAAAATTCTTAAAGAAAATAAAGCTCACGTAGTGAAGCATATTAAGTTCCTGAATTTAGCAATGATGTTAGTAAATCTGAAAAACATCAAGATATCTCTTAAATAAAAGAAGAGAAGGAGGACTCAAAAAGCAATTTTGATAATAATGATCATTTCGATGAAGTGAAATAATAAAATATTGAAATTTAGTAGGACATAAACTAAAATCAGAATAATATTCCTATATAACAGTCTGAAAATGTTCCTACAACTAAGAATAATTATAGTACAGAACAGCTCAAAAATTTTCAATAAGATATTGAACTATAACAAAAAATAAACAGCTCTCCAGGAAATTAGGCCATACAATTAAATAAGCTGCAAGACATTGACTTCTCCGACCCTAAAAATAGAGAAATACTGGAGGATTAATTCTTTAACAATTCTGATAACCCTAAAATGTCATCAGAATATGAAAAGTAATAAGAACAAAAGAATAGTGTTATTCCTAAAAAGTTTTAATATTTATCACTATTTTTGGCTTTTTCAGGATTGATATTAATTGTTGTTGGATTTATTGTAGCTTTCTCAGGATCAGACACAAATTTATTGAAAGGAGGAGCCTTTTGGGTCATAGGAGCTATATGTTGTATACCAGGAGTTTACTATAGTGTGAAAATATATCGTACAAGAATGGCTAAAAACTTAGAAGAGCGCTTAGAATAAGTATAAGACATCCCACGTTACTGAAAATAATTCATTAATTCGATTAGTTCAATTTATAATTATAAAATAATCTACTATTAAAATAACCTACACTAAAATCTACTAAATAAAAACATTGTTTATATAGATAGCCTTACAAATTTATAAGTTAAAAGAATGAGAGAATTCAGTTAGTTATGTATAAAAAAACAAGATAAATAAAATTGAATTTTTAATCCATGGAATTGAAAATGTTAGTTTTTGACATATTAAATAATATAAAAGCGAAGATAATTAATCGTTGCTAAGCCAAAATAAGCTTAATCACTTATGTGAGTTAAACGATATAAAAAGAATAGATCAAATAAAGTATGCATTGATTTATTCATAAGATCTAGCTAATAGAACATATAATTAATAAAATTTTCAAATATAATTTCAATTTGCATAAAATAAATGAAGCAAAGAAATATAAAGGAAAAAAAATGTTCTAAATCTTTGTTTTGTCAACAAAAAAAAAGAACTATTAAGTAGATAAATTAATCACTAATTAATATAAAAAAACATAAAATTATATTTTATTTATTTAAGATTTAAAATTATTCTCTTTTAATACTTTAATTATCTGATATCCATAACAAAAATTCAAATTTTTCTCTTCTTTTTTATATCCTTCAATCTCTGTTTTCTTCAAAGCAGAGAAATCTTTTTTCTTCTTCTAAATTTCTTCACTCTCAGTTAATAATATTATCTAATAAGGGAAAATTGTTAATTTATTAATTAAAATAATCCCCACAGATTCTAATAATATTATTATTATTTTGAAAAAAGATCAAAAACATCTAATTTTATCAATCTATTTTCTCATAAGGAAAATTTATTTGTGGTAAAAATATAATTTTGAATTAATCTTATATGACTTTGCTGAATAGAAATGGCAATGAAAAACGAGCAAAAATAATTAAAAAATATTTTTGATTTTGCACCTCAAATTTTAATTAAAATTTAGATCAAATCTTCCTTTTTCTTAATAAAAATAAATACTTCTATGTAATTATTGAACAAAAATACATTTTTTATATCAAGGTTTTTTTATTTCAAATGAATTTAATAAAATTGGTTTTTCAGCTTATTTAAAAAATTTAAACAAATTTTGATGAATAAATAATATTCTTAACCTAATAAAAATATAGCAATAAAATTTCCTTTTTGAATAGCTACAATAAGCAATAGAATAAATTTCTTTATAATTTCTTTATAAATAATAAGTTAACATAATCATTCATAAATTTATTAAATTATAAATTAAAAATCTATCTTTTCAATAGATATAATAAACATTAAAATTTATTTGATTATTTAACCATAATTTATTAAAAAATTATGAATTTGTGTAAAACTTGCTTAAATCATTCATAATTTTATTAAAATAAAAAATTTTTAAATTTATTTTTTCAATAGTTATAAAAAGCAATAGAAGTAAAATAATTATTTAAGCATAATTTCTTAAAAAGTAAAAAGCTAAAAATACTTTACCAATAACTTATTCATAATTTTATTAAAATTATAAAAAAATAAAAATTGATTTTCTACCTTTTTCAAAAACTTTAATAAGTTACAGAATATATTTTATTATTTAAACATATTTCTATATAAATTATAAGTTAGCATAAATTCACTTCATTGTATCTATATTGAAATTTTTATAATTTTGAATATTTTTATTTTTTTACAAATCAATTTTTAAATGCACTATTCCCTTATTTAAAATATGAACAGTTGACTGATGTGATGTCTTTTTTTGAAAATAAACTTATTTAAACTTGTTAGTTTTTGTTCAAAAATGAGGACTGATGCTCAAAGAAGTTAAAGATTAATAAATATTTTTTATACTATTAATATTATTATTAAAATAATTTTAAATTGAAAACTAAGCTTTCAGAATACTTTATTTATGAAATTATTACTAAATTTATTTCTATTTTTTAAGTACTAGATATTGATTTTTATAATGATATTTTTTAAAAACTATTTGATTGCTTTTTCATAATTTATTGTTAATATGTGGCAGTAAAATAATAGCACACTCTAGTTTTAATTGTTATAAATAAAAATAAATTTACTATGATGCTTTTAAAATAAAAATATTGAAAAAAGAATTTTTTTTATTAACTTTTTCAGAGTAATTAATACTTATTTTTTTCAACAACAAAAATATATATTTTATTATTTAATTTAATTATTTAAGATGCTGAATAAGATAATAGGTTGGAATAAACTTATTTATTTATTAATAATAATTATTTATTTTAAATTATAAGATTTTCCATTAAATTAAAAGTAAGAAGAGTTTTAAAAATAAATAAATTGGATAAATTCACATTTTATCAACTTTTATAAACACTTTTTTTGTTTAATTGCAATGAATATTTTTTATTTTTGATTGATGCAAACTGGTTAGTTGTTGTTAAGGTCCCATTAATCTCCTTTAGAGGCTTAGAGTCTCTAATGTAATTCAGTATAATATCTAAATTGTAATCTTTAAAATAATTTTTGGTAATGAACATTTGATCCAAATCTAGAGAGATTATTTGCCTTTACTAATGGAAAATAGATGATTCCAAATAATTATTAGAATTACCTAAGCTATCATCCATTATGCTTTCGTTTTTTTCTTATATATTTTGGAGATTAGAAACATATATTTACTTTTGGCTGGGATTTTAAGCTGTTGGTTAAGGACCAATATTTCCACTAAATTTATTTACAAAAAACATTATTAATTAATTAATCTAATTCAAGAAAGATTTAAAAATATACTTACTCATTGTATGGATCTTAAGACTTTATTAAATTATATTCATGAGATTTATTAGGGTGTCCTTATTATGCAGCATTAAGGTTAAACTCATAAACATTTGGCGCTATGTTTTCTTCTACTTGCAACACAATGATATCATTCTTGGATGGAATAAAATTTTATTTTTATTCTTATCCAAATATATTTTATTTTGAGGTTGGCGTCAATGTGTTTGATATTCTCGACACATTATAAAGAGAAGAAATAGGACTTTCTCCTCTAAAAATTTCATCATTTATATCATCAAATTTTTTCATAATCTTTGTTTTATAGTGGGAGCTGGAAATATTTTAGTTATTGTTAACATGAATTCCATGATTTAAATCTGACTGTATTTTTTCTGGATAGAGCTAAGCTATTGTACTTCGTTTTTAGCTTTAAATACTTCTCATAGATTCTTCTTAAATTACTGTCTAAATAGGTTGTGCCTATTGTCTTAAATGCTGATTGGAGCTGTTCGATTTAAATTAACTTTCTGGCACAGGTGATTTATTAGATTCAGGCATTTAAACATTTTTAAGCGATTGGATAGAGAACGATCTGTCTTTGGCAACAACTGATATACTTGGTGATGCATTATTCTATTGCAGTAATCTATTGCTTGCATTTTTGTTGGTATCTGAGGTTATCATACCATTAGCAAATTTACTCTAATTTAATTGAATCTAATTATCAGACATAACAAAAGAGGATTATGAATTTGCTGCTTAGTTAATATTTGCGCTTATGTTATTATTTGTTGTTATATTCTTAAATGATGTCAAATATGTTTGATTGTTTAAATTCTTATTTTGCAAATATGAAGAATAGTAGAAATTTAAAAGGGATTTGTTACTACTTAAGAATTTCTGTTAAACAATTTACATTTTATTGAATAATTTAAGCTAATTTGTGTTTTTATAAACTTTTCTTTAAAAGATAACTCTTGCTACTTGCTTTTCTTTTTCTTGTGAAAACAAGAATAGTTTGTCCATAATGAAGTGGCATTTATTACATTCAGAAATATCATGAGTAGATGATTGACATACTAAGCATAGCTAGCTTAAATTTTCTCTAAAGTGAATTGAACTTGTTTTTTATTACCAGTCCGTATTATCTTCAAACAATATTCTGTCTTTTAATTCACAAAATTTTTAGTAATCTGCTTCAGAAGATTTCTATAAAATTTTTATAAATGCATCTCTTGGAATTCTCAATAGTCTCACTTTCTCATGAGCTTTGTAGATGTACCTTTTCCTCATGCCAGAGAAAAAAGAAGAATATCCTATTAATGAAAACTTTTTAAGCTTTGGAAAATTTTGAGACTCTAACAATAACTCAGAAGGATTTTCATGCTACAAATAAATTGAAACTTCACCTTCAATAATAATAAATAGGCTAATTTCTTCATCGTTATATTCATCATAAATTACTTCCTTATCATTTTTAAAAACCTCCTCTACAATTTTACAAGATTTCTTTAAAATATGCTTGGAAAAAAGGGGATAAAGAATATCTTGCTTGACAAGCTGCTCAAAATAAACCATACGAAAATATTTTTAAAGATGTTTAGAAATATTTTATGAATACTACTTGTAAATTTAGATACTCTTTTCATATTAATCCTTTTCTTTTTTAACTTTAATGAGATTGAATAACTCTATTTTTTGCTATAAGCCCATATTCTTTTCTCCTATATATTTACTGATAGTAGTAAACTCTTAATAGTATTCGTTACTGAATTTTCTGTTATAAAAAACTAAAATAAAATAATAAGTAAATATTCAAAATAAATTAGCTATCAATAAGCATTCATATTTTAATTTTTAAAGATATTTTCATTAAAATTACTTTAATCAATAAGGTAGATGAAGTAAATGCAAAAAATAAATTGCAGCATAAAAAAGAAGTAAATCTCGTATTATGTTTGTGGTAAATAAATTATTTGGTGAAACAGCTGAAGATAGCAAGATTAAAAAGAATATGCATAAATAATCAATAAATTCTACTCATCATCTTATCTAGATTAGTTTAGCCATGAATTATTTTGGCTATCTTTAAAGTAAAACCCCACAATCTATTTAAATTAAAAAAAAATAATTATTTTTATTAATGCATTTGCAAAGCATGTTAAATATTAAAAACATTTCTAACAAAATAAATAGAAAGGAGCTCACATATTCTAACTCTCGTTATAATACAATTAGTATAAATAAATGCTCTGCAAAATTGGTTAATTTGAAAAATAAAAATTACAAAATATGCTATTGTAAAGGAGTGAAGTAAGATTAAAAATTATGATAGGAGTTTTACTATCATTAAGCTTGAGCTTAACCTTTGAGAGTATAAAAAATAACTTTATATCTTTAACCATTTGTTAACTATTGTGAAGAATTTAAAAAGCAAAAAACCTAATACAAATATGATAGCAATATAATAATTAGTAATAATATCAGGATATATTACTTCTACTGTAATAATACTAAAAAAACTAATAATATCAAAAAAAAACTAAAATTTAGTGTAGGCTTTTAAACTAATAAGGATTTAAGCGAATCTATTTTGGTGGTGTGATAAAGATATAGGCATTAACTCTTTGATTATATCTGTTATGTAGAAAGCAATAAAAAATCCAGAAAAAATCTATCTAAAGAATATATTTTTGCTTGAAAGAGATGGCTGTATAATAAGCAGTGCACTATAGTATACCAAAGACAAGAAAGCAATAACTATAGAAACAAAATCATAAATAAAAGAAGCAAGGCAGAATTAAGGAAAAGTTTACTATATTTATGGGATTAATTACTTTTGCTATTTTTAATACTAGTTAATAATTTATCTATTATTTTAAATCAATTAAATTTTTTATTCCTTGACTTTTTATACAAAAGACTTTTTCTTATCTAATTTTTAACCATTTTATTAATCCTATTATTGATGCGATTTATCTCCAACAAATGGACTGATTCTCTCAAGTTATTCCTGCAATTTAAAATTTTTAACAATTTTTATCAGCAAAATTAGAACTTGCCAGGCCTTTCGAAGTGTATTTTGTCTTCGGTAAGTTGTAAATTTTGGACTTTAATCAAGCTATATTAGTCTGTTAACGTCTTAAGAAAGCTACCTGTTAATGGTTAATGTCTCATTGTTACTTTGTTTAGCTAATATATCTTCGCTATGTTTCAAAATATTCTAATCAACTCGCTTTTAAATGCTCTCCCTAAATTTAGGCTCTGAAAATCTTTGACTGTCGAATCTTCTATCTTCTATTTTATTTAAAATTCAAAAAATTAATATTAAAATGAGTTCTACAATTATTTGTTTTTGATATAAAAATAATGGTGCTATTCTACTCACAACATTGCAACTACTCTAAGAATAAATAAGTGACTCGACTCCTGCATTATTAGGTCCTTTAGACACTCTTTAAGATTTCTATTTCTTAGTATTTATAAAAGAATTTTCGGAAATCTAATTAGAAGCTTCATTGTTATTCTTGCTATCATGAGATGATATGTCAAATACTATTTCTAATTTATCTTGAATAATTTATTATTGTGTTTAGTCGTTTTAATGTATAGCTATGTCCTCAGCATCTAAATTAGAAGGAGAAACATTGCATTTAAATTCTTAAATTGCAAGATATTTATCATTCTCTTAAGCATTAAGCTCTTTCTATTTGATAAACAAGTTCATTTTATAAACACCTATTACAGCTTAAAAATTAATTAACTATTTATGTTGTCTTCTAGTTATTAAAGAGTATTTATTTTTTATCACAAATTAGACTATTAACAAAAAATCTAATTTACAATTCTTTTTTTCAAAATCTACATATTTATTTTGCTTTTATTTAGCAAATCAAAATTATATAGCAAATAATATGTACCATTCTTTAATTTACATATCTAAATGTAAAGCAATAGGATTAATTATATAATATTTATTAATTATAAAAGGCTCTCATCATAATAGATAAAAGTAGAACAAATGTTTTTACAAACTTTTATATAAAATTATTTTTTAAAGGAATCTTTATTATTAATTTTTTTTATTATAAAAAAACAATTAAAGTGTCAATTGTTGTTAGTAAATACTAACTTTGAATTTAATCTGGTAGTAATTTAAATAATTCAAAGAAATTTAAAGCATGTTAACTAGCAATTAAGTTTAATAAATAAATTAGAATAGACGACTTTCTTTCAAGTGATTTTTGTGTACTTAAAATAAAATAATTATTTGCGAAATAAAAACTAAAAATCAAAAAATTTATCTAAAACATAAAAATTATTTAATTTGATTTAAGAGTTGACTAAAATTAGACAAATTTCGCAGTATAACAAAAAATTTGGTTAATAAATTGAAATTTTTAATTTAATAGTTAAAAATTAAAAAATTTATGAAACAAAAAAACATAATTTATTAAAATAAACATCCAATTTATCTAATTACGAATTTTAAATATGGTATTTAAATATTTTAAGATATATTCAAATAAAATTATTTAACAAAATTAAAATGAATTAGAATTTAATGTTTTCTTATCAACTACTTTGTAAAAATTTAATAAATGGCTTAAATCCAAACAAAACTGTCCATTGAGGAAATAATAATTTCTTATTGATTTATATTAAATTAGGTACAGTAGGTAATAATTTTCATCAATTTATTCATAGATTTGTTATTCATGTGAAATTTGGCAGTTTTCTTTAATATTGAAAAAAATTATTAATATTTTTGTAAAATTTTATAATTACAAGGAAAATCAAGCAAGCATTCAAGTATAAATAGCTAAATAGAAAATGTTAAACAAATAACAAAAGTAATCAATTTGGTCAGGTAGTGTTTATGAAGGGGACATGAAAGATGGATGGTATCACGGAAAAGGTAAAAAAATGAGCTATTCTTTTCATATAAAAGCAAAGATTTTCTCTGAAAATAGAAGATTATTTTAAATTTAACGAAAAATATTTATTAAATCTAAATTATTTTTACTCTGTGATTAGGAAAATTCAAATACCCTAATGGAGTAATTTATGAAGGAGATTTTGTTAAAGGTCAATTTCATGGAGAAGGAATATTGATATGTAGCTTTGATTTATCTTTCAAATGATTACTGTATAATTTTATTTTTCAAAGATCCAAATGGTGGTAAATATAAAGCACATTGGGAACATGGCAAAATGATTAAGGGCGATTATTACTTTTAAGATAATTTAAAATACGAATCAGAATAATGGAATTATTGCTAGGGTGAAGACAGAAGATTCTATCCTGAAATGTTAAATGGTATTAAACCTGCAGGTGCTACTTAAATGACAAAAGAAGAAAAAGCACCACATGACATACCTGAAGGGACTTATGGTAATTAAAACAATAAATTTACATATAATTTTACAAATAATATATTTCTCTACTCTATTTTTAGTATTTAGGTTTGATTATTTTAAGAGTATTTAAAAATTGAAGCTTAAATATTAAGTTATTTCTACTTTTTATTACATTTATTTTTTTAATGAAAACTAATTTATGAATAATCAATCAAAAATGATTAATTTATTTAATAGATGTTGGTGAAGGTTATTATGAGCCTATAAAATCTATTATATATGAATATGATGGTAAGATACTTAGAACTCCAAGTGAGGCAGAAGTAAATTAGTTTAAAATTATTTTGAGCAAAATTAATTTGAAGTTGAATAAATAACAAAGGTAGAAAACATTCTTAAAAAGTGCAGATATAACCCAAGAAAATCATTAGTTATAACAGGAGAAAACGATAAGATTATTAAAAGTGTAACAGATCCTTCAAAATAAAATAAAATTTGAATATTTCGAAAATAAATTTATATTAGTTAGTTTAAGTTATTATTTTACCATTAAAACTTAGCAAATTTAAATAATTTTTTTTTTTTGAATTTTTTGGTTGCTTGTAAAATTTATATCATCAAAAAACAAAGATTTCAAGCAATATTTTATAAAGTTTTTATTTATTTTTTATGGTAGAGGTAGTTTAAAATAAACTTAATTGACTCTTTATCACTTGCCACTAAATAGATAATCAATAACTCAATATTATTAATAAATATTTATTTATATTATTACCAATTAATTCATTTACTTGTCTATTTAATTATTAGTTTATTTTTTTATAATTTTGCTTTTTATTTGATTTTTATTGCTATTTTGGAAAAAAAATATGATTTTAGTTTAAGCTTAAAAATTTAGAGTATTTAATATAAAGAGATTTTAATTTGGCAGTAATAAAACTTCATAATTACAGTTGATAACAATATAAAAAATTGAGCTAAATGATAAGTTTTAATGCTAAATTAAATTTGAAAAATTATAATTTTGAATATTTATAGATATCAACATTTTAATATCTAACTTCCTTACTTCTATGATTGTTTAATGAATGCACCTTCCCAAATAATCATTTTTATTCCAGATAATTATTTAATAAATGATAAATTTTTATGAGTTTTATAATTTTTATCATACATTCTCTAATTTTAAATTCAATAATTAATGATTGTTTATTTTACTCTTATTTTTTTATCATCTTTTATGTTATGAAAAAAAAACATTAGAGTGTATATAGCAACAAAAATTATAAATCAAGAGAAAGTTTTATAGTGAAATTATCAAATTTTAAACATTTAAATACAATATGTTTGATTTCAATATAAAAAATAAATAATTGGTAGAAGTTACTTGATACAAATTAGATTCATAAAAATAGAAAACATTAATAAAGTTTATAAAATCAGACATTAAGAAACAAATGACTTTATTGCAACTTACATTCATATTCTTACTGATTTTCCTTTAAAATATTTAATAAGCAACTTCCCTTTACAACCCAAAGCCATATTTAACTATTGATACAAATTTTTATGGATAAAATCTAAGTAGAGTATAGTAAAGTTTAAATGGTGAATACTATATTATGATTTTTGACTAACAAAAAATAGTAGTAACTCAAAATGAATCAAAAAATTTCTAATTTTTAGATTCTTACATCTGTTAAACAAAGTAGATTTTAGAAAAAGTTAATTACATTTACTCTCCTACGTCATAAGGATTAATGATTTGGTAAATTAGTTAAGAAGGAAAAATAGTTATTTATAACACATGGCAAGGCTAGTATATTTTAGATTAAATTATTGTCGATGATGATGAATAAAATGCTATTGGAATATATTAAGCTTAAATTATCCTTCTAAACATTTCATCAAAAAAATTTATTTAAATTCAAAAAGTTATAGGATCTGTATATACTTCATCTTTTGATTACTTTTTTTTTAAGTAATAGTTTCTATTTATCGTGAATGTTCAATATGAATGTGTTATATATAATTTAATTGACAGAAATAATGGCTTCCAAGTATTTGCTAGTTAAACTGATACTGAATAACCATATCATGTTCTAGTGAAGGAATAAAATGGTAAAATCATAGCTTTTTTTGTCACTGCATATTATGGTATTAATATTTATGATCTTACGTTTCTCTATACTGCTAATTCACAAACAAATGTGCGTATTAGTTAATGTCTTATTGGATACATAAGTATTAATTCTGTAGTCCTTACTGGTGCAATTAGTATGGATGGAAACATTTTGTTTGTTGGTGTAAGAACTTCTGGTATAAATTGTTATGATATTTCTTCAGAGGAGAAATTGAAAAGCCCAGTTTTTCTCTAGAATTTAGCTTCAAATGGCCTTAGTAATTACATTTAGCTATCAAATGATTCAAATCAATCCAAAATATATTTGGCAGATGGTATACAATTTAGTATATTTACTCTTCTTCAAGAAAATACTAAATCTAAAAATAGTATGCTAAATACCTTCAACTAAGAAATATAATGTTTAGTCTATACTCCTTTCTAAGATGTATGGAGTTGGTAAATATAGATATCTGCCAACTAGAAATATATATCGATATCTTCTGGTTAAGATGGACTTAGTCTATATGATGTTAGTTAAGATTACCTAGATCCTGTTAGAATTTATAAAGTCAAAATAGGAATTAATGTTTCTCATGATGGTTCATTGTTTCTTAATAAGAGAAATTTGTTAGTTGTTGGCCACTCTTAAGATGGATTTTCAATAGTAGATATTAGCAATCCAAATAAAATTACATATTTAGTCTAGTTCAAGTTTCCCTTTGTTTCAGATTGTGATGGATATGATGTAGATTAAAGTACAGAAACTAAATTAATAGTAGCAGCAGCATAAGCAGGAATAGTTATTGTAGATATTTCTGATGTATATAAAATCAGAATACTCTCAGTTCTTTACCCTAAAGAAAAGTTGCAAAAATCTGGAACGAAGATGGTTTCTGTTAACAAAGAATTCACACATGGATTTGGATGCATAAGAGGAGTAGGAATTCTTTACTTTTCAATAAATCCTGTTAATTATGAAATGACTCTCCTTTAATTTTTCAATTCGTTTGGTTCGGAAAACCTTTGGTATGATATATTCTCTTATAATTATGTCTATATTGCAGATGGAGTTAGAGGTTTAACAATCATAGATGTTACAGACAAGAATAATCCATTTATTCTTTCCAATATAGTAGTAGGAGGATGGGGAGAAAAAGTCTACTAGTCAAGAGTAAATCCGAATATAGTTGCTCTATCACACTCAGTCATAGGCTCAGCATCTATTATAGATGTTAGCAACAAAGCTTTTCCTATAATTTAATCATAGGTAAAAGTTGAAAATGATTCAAGCTATGCACCACTTCTCCCCAACAGTTTAGATTATATTATTTTTACAAAAAATTAAGGATTCAAAATATGCAATCTAAAGAGTCCTATTTAAGTTTTGATTTAAAGTGCCAAACAAGAAAAAACATTTTTAAGTGTTAAAACGTTATCATTAAGTAACACAACAAGTGTTAATGAAAATATAGGAATAGATTATAAATTTGTTGAATTTGACCCACTAACTGAAGTAGTCCAAATAAATTAACAAATATAGTTTATTTTCACTTTACTTATAACCAACAGAACAGCTTTCATCTCTAATACTTATTTTATTGTGCAAGATAAAAGACAAAATTTACCTGACTGGATTCATTACTAGCCTTAAAATTCTCTCTTTCTGGCTAAAATCCCTTCATCTGCTCTTTCTAATAACGATAATGGTATTAATATAATTTTAGTTGAAGTTACTTCTTAAATATAGGAATCTGATTTTGTTAATTCATAACTTAATCTTACAGATAGCGAATCAACCTAGATATTCACTACACTAGTATAAATTTTAATTAAATTCAATTCAATTAAATTTATTTTATTTCTACACAGGGATTATTTTTGTGTTGATAGATTCTTGTAAAAAGTGAAAAATTAATATTTTTCAAAATTTCCTATCAATAAATTTTTATAATTCCAAAAAAAATGTATTCAAAAAGATTACAATCAGAAAATTTTGATTCTTTTAAAAATTCTGTTAGTATATCAATTCATTTATTGTTCTTTTTAAACAGAACACTTAAATGAATAAAAATTTTTAAATGCTTAAAATATGGAATAAATTTTGAAGAATAAGATTTTATTGTAAAATAACAATATAAATATAATTTAATTAATTATTAAATATAATTTTGCTAGGTTACAAACAATTACATAGACTAAAATGGTTATCTTCAAAGTTGGATAGGTAGTCTTTAATACTAGAATTTTTACCTCAACTGGTATGATGGAATATAATTTTAAATCAAAAATTATGATGACACAAGAGTTTAAAAATTCATCTTGAGAAAAGTTTCATTTAGTAGATATGTTGAACCTATATATTTTAGGGTCAATACGAGCAATGCTTTTAATATTTAGTATCTTTAACAGAAATCATTCTTCATAAATTTGTACTCTTAGTAGGTAAAAGTGGTATTCTCATTAACTAGCAGCAATTCATCAATTCCTTTAAATTTAGTATTTAACGGATAATCTTATATCTAATCATAGATAATGTTGCTATAAGAATAATCTAAAGTACTTACATTATTTGGCAATACAGACATTATAAATTAATCATTCTACTCTTACAAGATATAAATTGCAGATCTAAACTCCTAGTAAGATAACACTGAGCAAATTTAAAATGCTACTATTTTTATATTTATTATGGATGATTAGGATATTTAGTATTCTCAAACATTTCAAATTAGATAACTGTAGTTTATGTAAATAAGGTCCTTTCCTAAAATTAAAAAACCTCTTCAATAAATTGTAAGCAACTAAATTAATATTTAGCAATCTGGTATAAGATCTGGTGATATCATTAAACTACAAATTATTGCATAATAAATATTTTAGTTCGATTAGCTTCTTTAACCAATAGAAATAAAAGTAAATTTTTAAAAAATTAATTTATTTAAATTAATAAAACTCATTCAACATGAAACATTTATTTTTGAATATAATTAATTTTATAAAAAAGTGTTTTTTTATTGAGGGTAAATCAGAAAAATAATGCACAGAGTTAAATTGGGTAGATATGGATGAATTAATTGGACAAATTATCATTAATACTGAAAAATTTTCTTTTCATGATGAACTAACATTCAAAATTCAATTTTATGATGGTTATTATTTTGTTGAAGAAAAATTTAGTATTAGAATAGATCTCTTACCTATCTATTTCTAATATTTGCTTGCTATTTGTTTTTTCATCATTTTTTGCGTTTTATTGCTGCTTTTTTTCTTTAGATAAAGAGTTCATAGTTTATTCTTTAGTCGTTAATTTGAATATTTCCCTTTTCAAATGATGCAAAACTCTCAAGTTACTCACAATATCAACTTTTGTTCGCCTAAATTATTTTAAAAGGCTAACTTGATATTTAAAGGTCTGTAATAGATTAATTAAAAAGCCAAGTAAAAATTTCCTATGCAATATTTCACAGAGTTAAACATAGACTATGAATTGTTAGAAAAAGATCTTTAAATACTGAAAAAAAAAAATAAAAAATTATATATTCCATTACAAATTTCACAAACTGAATAAACAATTTCTCCTATATAAAATATTTTAGTTAGTCTTATTCTTAAGTAGTATTACAAAGTATCTGATGGAGAATCTTATAGAATGTATTTAAAAATAAAGAAAATTTTACAAGAAGAATTTCCATATGTAGATTGGTATAAAGTAATTTACATAAAATAAATAAAAAAATAATTTATATTTAAATATTTTATTTAAAATTTATTTGTAAAAGCCTATCATAAGAAATAGAAGCTTTAGCCCACCAAGCAATATATTTTAGAAAAAAAAAATAAACACTGAAGAACAACCTGAAACAAACTGTGACCTAAAATACCATGATCTTTTAAGCAAATTCAACATTGATACTGATAAGTTAATTAAAGTCATTTAATATCACACTGTTAAAAGCACAGGAAAGGTTTCAAAAGAACTTATTTTTGAAGACAAATATGACTTTGAATTAATTTGTGAATGCTTAAAGTTAGATATTTTAGGTATTGATCTAGAAAATAAGCCTAACTGGAAAAGATCAGCATTTGGATAATATTTAATTATGGATTAATTAGATATTTAAAATATACTTCTTGAAAGAAATTAATTAAATGACATGTACTTCAAGCTAAAGAATTCTACTTTTCAATAAAAAAAGAAAAAACAGTCCTTTGTAAAAAATTTATATAAAAATATAAACTATATACTTTATGGGGATAATTTTAAAACTGTTGGATGTCACTTGGTGAATAGTTTAATAGATGATAAAAGACACTGGATTTAGATTAATTAAGTATCAGATAATTAAGTAATAATATATATTGACTCTAAAATAATTAATTAAGAAGGTGAGTATAGATTAAAATTTATCAATAGCAAAGGTTATGTGTGTTGTCAGTAAAATTTCTATTATACTAATTGTATAGACAAAAAAAAAAATAAAGACAGTTAAAAAGGTGTTTAAGAATAAATGTTAAATCCTACGATTCTTAATCATATTTAATCAAAGTCTGCCATCTAAAAATAAATTAAAGTTTCTTTCCTTAAAGAACTGTTATCAGAATAGAATAAACCATCACAATTTAAAGGTTCTAAAGTAAGAAAAGTTTTATTAAATTATTTTTAAATATATGTTACATTTACTATTTTTTTAAAATCATTTAAAATTTATTTAATTTTTTTTCTTCAGATATTAAAAATTTTTTATTTTAAAGTTGAAATTTCAGCTTAACAAAACAAAAAAAATTTTTTATGTTTAATTAAATAAAAAAATAATATTGTTTTTTTTTAAATTAATTTTATACAAAAATTTAAATAGTTCATTTTTATTATTATTCCCTTAAGATTCCCACAATTCAAATTGCTTAAGTTTTTCAAAAATACTTAAGTGAAAATTAGTTTAGAAATCAGATAAAATTTTAGCTTTTAGTCAAATTAAATTCAATTATTTTCATTAATTTATTAATTAAATTTAAATAAATTTTATAATATGTTATTTAAAAAGCTTTCCACAGAGTAACCAGAAGTTGATAATATAATAGATAATATTAATGAAACTATTATGAATGAGAAGAAGTGATGAGCTTTAAATATAAATTAATATTTATAAATTAAAATATTTTTGTATTTAGGCTAAATTTTTAAATATTTTTATGTATTTTTAAAAATCCATTAAAGAATTTATTGTCATTAATTTGATAAAAAAATTGAATAAAATAAAAGTAAAATATCATCTAAATAAACAAATTAGTATTTACAGACATTTTATATTGCAAAGTGATATTTGAACAAAATTTATTAGAAATGGAAAATAATCTATATGATGGTTGAAAAAAGTAAACAAAGTAAATCAAACCACCTTTAAATTCAAAAGAATAATATTAAAAATTTAATAGTTATTGATAGAAGAGTTATTAATTTATTAATTAATTAAACAGATCAAATTAAGATAAAAATTTGTATTACTAATTCCTTAAATAGATATTGAAGATTTACATAAAATAATTTATTTGAATAACAAGATAATAATGCTAATTACAAAAGGATTTTCAAAAATAAATTTATTTATTTTAAAGAGATAAATATTGCAAATTGCTTTTATTTTCACTTACTTTTTTAATAAGACATTAGCTTAAAGTATTGAATATATTTATAATCCTTTACCAATAGCTTCTGTAGATGTATCAAAATATGGAAGAGAGTTAATTTCAATTTAATTTGTCCAATAAAGACCCGAATTAGCTTTTTTAAGCTTTGAGAGTGAAGGAATATACGTAATAGATTTTTAAAATAATAACCAGCTATTAGTTTCCAAATAATTGAATATTACACAAGTTTAACTTGTTGATTTTAACATATTTGCATTAACATAGGATTTAGGAATTATTTTGATGTACTATAATCAAACAACATATGAAATTATAGTGAAAGGAACTTTTAATCCAACTTAATACATTATAAATACATTCTTTATAACAGGAGATTCGAATTATATTATTTTAGGAGTGAATTGTTATGTAAAAGTTATGAAAATTATAGAATCAGCTTTAAATCAGAATATTGTTAGTAATACTAATTTTTTACAAGAAAAAAGTACTTCTGGTTTGTAGTGCCTCAGCAACTCTAATCATATTTTTGCAAATAATGCAGCAATTATTTTAAGTTCAATAAGAGATGGAGTACATTTGTTCTATTTTAAGAATATTGAAAGTCCTACTTATGTTAAAAGTTTAGTTAAGATATGCTAGGATGTTTAATAAACTTACCTTATGTAAAATTTGCCAATCCTCTTTACACTTTCTAAATATTATGAAGTAGTTTTAATTGATCTTGGAATTAAATTTAAGAATTAAGATCCAAGTTTTTCAGGTGTTGATGAAGCAAACCTTGATTATTTTTCTATAGAATAAATGGGAGGAAGTAAAACATACAATTATATGCTTATAGATGATGAAGAGGAGTATATGTATTTAGGAATTAGGACTAATGGAATTGTTGTTTACGATCTTAGATATCTATAAGATCCTCAAGTATCAGTACCGATTGTAGTTTAGGAATTAAAATCTCTTGGACTTGCAAATTGGATATCATTTGCACCTCATCTATTGCCTATAAGATAAAAATATGATTATCTCTTTATCTCTGATGGTTCTAGCTTTAAAATCTTTCAAAAAGTACCAGTTAATTTAAATTCAAACATAATAAATCTCTACAACTCAGATAATTGTATTTTTTCTGGGTACACATCAGATTAATGGCCTTGGTCAGTGGTGACTTATTCAGATAGTAACTAGTATTTTGCAATATCTTCGGGATATGCAGGTATGTACACGTTTTATATTGATTAGTATGGTTAGTTGTATAATGTTCAAGAAGCAATCAAAAGATATGATGAATCTCATGATGGAATACTCTACTTGAAAAACAGAAAAGTAATAGTTTTAGGTTAGTCAGGGCAGGGAATGGCTTTTTATAATGCTACTAATCCTGAAAAATTAACTTATATAAACGAATTTAAGTTAATAGATAAATAAAACGATTGTGATGATATTACAACTGATAAATAAGAGAGATATTTAGCTTGTGCAAATGGATTCTAAGGTATTTATATTTTACAGGTAGAAGATTTTATGAAGCCTATTTTATGGGCAGAAGGTGATATGATTCTCAAAAAAAATGGTGTTGAAAGTGTAATTGTTGATGATTAACTTAAATTTGGGTTTTATGCAGTAAGAGAAGAAGGAGTAGGAGCTTTTTAAATAATTAAAAATAACGGAGTAAATACCATAACACAAACTAAATATTTTGCAACTCTAGGAGCAGAATATTTGAGATTCCATATCGATTCTGACCAGAAATTGGTATTAGTTGCAGATGGTTATTAGGGATTAACGATAATTGACTGCAAGGATTATCTTAACCCCCAAATTATAAAATAAATTCCTGTCCAAGGCTGGGCTGTAAAATTTACTTAGTTGTAAGCAAACCCATCAACAGTTATAGTTACTTAAATGGAGAAAGGCTAAATATCTGTAATAGATATTTCTACAATTTCAGAAGCAACAAAAATAAGTGCTTTACAATTTGGTAGTGAGAGTGCATTTGGAATAGCTTCTCATCCGTCGAATAAGTATATTATTTTTACTCTTTCTTAAGGAATGAGGATATGCAATACAGTTAATACGATACGAATTCACACTCAAATCAATCGTTAAAGTTAATTTACCTCCCAGTATTACCCTCCAATACCATTAAAATCTCTTTCTTCCTCTGAAAAGCTCTATATAGGTGAAAATGTGTAATTAATAACTATCCCTTATTACATATAAAGAATTGTCAAGCTAAGTTAGATTTATTACTACCATAATTATTAGCTCGAATAACTCCCTTCTTGGATAAAATTTATATAATACTAATCCACAATAAGCATAGTTCCGAATTTGGATGCTCTCAATAATAATTAAGGATTTAATATTTTATTGATTTATGTTCTTATTCCTATTTATCCTACAGATTTTATGATGAGAACCTAAGATAATCCACCTAATGTCATAGTTAATTAAGAGTAATCTCAAAGAATATTCAACAAATTAGTAATTTTTTTAATTTCTAAAAAAAGTATTAATTCTAAAAAATATTTAAATTTAAATGTGAGTTGCACTTTTAAGTATTTCATAATTTACTTAATTATCACTTTATTTAATTTTTAAGATAATTATTTAATCATTTAAAACTCATCATTTAATATTTTAGTAGGATGATAACTAATTAAATTTTTTTGAAATTATTAGATTTAGATAGGATTGCTCTCTGAAGATGGATACGTTTCAGATTTTTTTTAGTCTTAAATGAAACTAGATGTAGATTGGTATAAAGATGACACAGAGAGACAATTATATAAGGATTTAAACGATTAAATTTTGAGTCAAATAAAAAGGATATTTACTAGAGCTTAATTTAAATACCCAATATAATTTTTAGTAAATGGGTCTTTGAAATTTAATTACAGTAAAGAAGATAACTCATATCCTTTAATTTAATCTTTTTCATCAATAATTACAATCTCAATGAACATTTTAAAAGAAAAAGTTTAGTTTGTAAAGTAAAAATTTGATGGTTTAATATTTTCTTACTCTTCTAACCAATAAATTTTCTAAATTTAAGGAGATATTTAGTAATTAAATACCTATTTAAATACTAAGATTATCATTTATGATCCATAATAAGAACATTCAAGTAGTTTAATAGGTATAAACATTTAGGTTAATATAACTGATAATATTAATAACCCTTTGACTTCTCAAGAAGATATCTCTGTTTATAATTTTATAAAGAAAAAAAAGCAAATTGTTTTGTTACAAAATTTTTAATCTTAATATGAAAATCAATACCCCGATGGGTTGACAGCATAAGAAAGCTTTACTATAATAATTGATAAGTAATAAATTTAAGTTGAATAGGACTTAGTTGCAAATATTTAGGTAATTTTTTAAATTTTAATAAATTTAATCTATATTTTATCTTTATTGTGAAGGTGAGCATATAATCTGGAGATAAATGGATCGATATAAATATTGCAGGTGAATGGATATCATTTGATGATTTTCAAATAAAAGGAAATCCTCCTTTAGATTCATTTAATAATAAATTTGACTTACAAATAATTGTCTCTGATGGGTATTCAGAAACTTCATAGTTTTTAGAAATAAAAGTAGCAAAATTTCCTATTAAGCAAATAATGATAATTGTTGCAATACTAGTATCTGTATTGATATTATTCTTTGTTTTATTCATATTCAGAAGAAATATTCACTTCATAGTATTTTAAAAATATCACAGTCATCAATAAGAAATACTTTACAGTGGGGAAATCTATCAAAAAAAAATAGTTTTTGCTCCTAATGTCTATGAATAAACCTTAAAGATATTTAATTTAGTTTACAAATCTTTTAATTATTAAGAATAAGACATAGGAGAAGATTCAAAATAAAAGAAAATTCAAGCATTCATTTCTAATTACAGAAGCGTTAATTCAACAAACAATTATGATGAGTTCTTTAAAGATGCATTTTAAATTTACTAGAATAATATTAAATAATTTACTTCTCTACCTGAAAATGAATTTAAATATAATGACACTAGAATAAAAATAGCTCTCAAGTCATACTTAGCTAAATTTATATTAAACAACAATGCATAAATGCTCAAAATCTATAAAAGATTAAAAAAATACACTCAAAGTTAATAGGATGGATACTGCTTTGATTGGTACAAGGTAAATATTTCATTTTCATTAAAATAAATTATCAAAAATCAATTTTCTCATTTTTAACAAATGATAACTGAATATGATCATCTACATAAAATATAAAATAAAAATTTATGAAATGTAATTAAAAGATTATTTAAAAATGATTAATTAGAGCTATGTAGAGGAAATTTAGAACTTAAATTTGACTCCAAAGAACTAATCAATAAATACCTCATCAAATCAGCCCAACTCATTAAATGAAAGCGAAAACAAGCTAGTGTTTGGATCACTAGAAATCAAAACATTTGAATTATAAAATGCTCTTGAACAAATTTTAGATTCTAATGATGTGAATTTAGAATATGATTTTTATATTCTAACAGAAGCAATTAAAGCAGATTATTATGGGTTCGATTATTAAACAAAGCCTAGAATATGGAGAAGTAGCATTGGTGAAGTGATTCATTCATAAATTAACAATATTAATCCGCTATCAGTTTATAGAAAAATTGAGTTAGAAGGAGATAAAAATTCATTACTCAACAAATTAAGATAAATATTTTGGACTAACTACAAGTGGATTGGAAGCTATAAGAAGCATTTACCGGATTGGCTAGGATATGAAATGTTTGATAATTTGATGATCCTTTCTGGAATTCCTAAAAAGTAACACCAGGGAGAGTACAAAGTTTTAATATACAACTCAGATGGTTATGTTTCCTAGTCTGTAGACTTCATGATAAAGCAAAAGTCTAAAAGATAAAATTTAGATAAAAGTCTTTATCAAGATTCTCCTAGTTTAAATAAAAAGAGAACTCTTGACTAAAATTAGATTAATTTAGGAAATAATTTGAATTCTAGTCTTTAATTTAATCTAAACTAGAATAATTTTATGAGCGAAAAATTTAATTATGGTTCTCCTTTACATTTAGTCAATAAGAGAATAAGCTAATACCAAAAACAAAACTCTAAAGGAGCTTTTACCAAATTTAATACTGATGAGAATATAAATTAATTTAAAATAAAATCTAATGGAATTCCAGATCTAAATTCAAATAATATTTTTGGAAGTGTAGAAATCTAAGAACAAAGATAAATGACAGAGTATTAAAAGGAGTATGAATCAGTTAATTCCTTAAACACAAATCAATTTATTGAAAATGTAATAAATATTTCTTTTAAAATCTAAATTTTTTCAAAAATTCAAAATTAATTATTATTTGATAAAACAAAAGTAACGATAAGTCTATGTACCTTAATCAAGCTAGCTAAAAATACCAAATCAGTAGATTTTAATTCCTTATTTGTTAAGTCCACCAATAAGCCAAGCAAATAGAGAAAACCTTAGCATTTTTCACTCTCAAAATAATTTAAGAAAATAATCAAATCAAGTATTGTTTGCATTCATTTTTTTGATAAATAAAATAAATTAAATTTAAATGGAAAATAGGAATACCAGAATTGATGTTAACTTAAATTGCAAGCATATTATTCATTCAGCTACGAAAATATATATTCTTTAGTTAATCATACAAAAATAATTTAAATTTTGTTATAAGTTTTAACTTAATTATATTGTAAATATTTTTTTTAGTATCATCTTTTTTTACAACAAACATACCATCATCAAAAAGTAAAACTATTTTCTTAAAATAAGTATTATTTTTTTTGTGATGATATTTATTTATATCAAGGATTTTATTAATGTAGCAAAAAATTGCATTATCTTGCGTAAAAAGCATGGCATAAAAGATTCATTCCCTAAAAAAAATAATTATTAGTTTGACAACTTAAAATTAAATTATTAAATCTAAAAATATACTTCTGTTTATTTTAAATGTAATTTAGGCTATCGATGTTGTAAAAATTTTTTTCATTAATTAAAAAAAAAATCATGCTTGATCAGCCTTCCATTAAAATATTGTTTTATAAATGTGATTACAATAATTTAATATAAATTAAATTGTAATAATACAAATTATATCAATGAATTAATTTTTGACTTAAGTTACTAGTTATTTATAAATTATATTAATTTATACATGCTATTCCTATAGATCAACGAACTATTCAAATTTATTAAATTCTTTATTTAATTTTAATTAGTACTTTTACTTAATCAGTAATTACATTAAAAAGTGATTAATCAATTGTTCTCCAATCTAAGATTTATAAGAATTAATGAAGGGAATAACGATAATTATATAAATTATTTTACAAATTTACCTTATTTATTGCCAGGATTCTACTTATTAACCTTACAGTTCCTTACCTTAGTACATATTGAATACATAAGCTTATGGGAAAATACTTATTGAATCTCAAACGCACCCAAATTTTAGATATGATGATCTGCTATTTTTAATTTTCTAAGAAGAGGGCTTAGTGATTTTGAACTATAAGCAACAAATGTCTAAAATAATTAGCTACAACTAAAAAATATAATAAATTTAAATTCGTAATAATTTTATTTACATAAATTAAAATGGAGAATTGCTAAAGATACTTCGCCTTGAAAGCAAATAGAATTTAAATTAGGTCAATTAATATTATCCTCCTGCAATAGTATAACATCAAATTGATTATTTTTTGGTCTCTGACGATGAAAGTATCATTTTCATTTCATCGGGATCTCGTTTCATTATTTTAGATATAAAAAATAAACTTTAAATTGTTGAGAAGCGAATTGATTTAATTAATCCCATTTTTGGATAACTTCCTAATTAAAGCTACAGTACTACTTGGATAACACAAGTAGGATCTTTTTTGTTTTTATCAAATTAAAAAGGTCACATAAACGTTCTACAAATTTCTAATGATTTTGCTTCTTTTTCATTTGTTGTTTAACTTTCTACATATGGTTTCAACTCTAAGCAAACTATATTTTTAAGATCTTTAGGAGTAGTATACTCATTATCTCGAGATTATGGAGTATATATTATCGATGTTTCATTTCTTTTAGAGGCAAACCCAGATATTTAAGGTTTTATTCACCAGACAAGTACAAATACTCCTAATATATTAACCAATAAAGAAAGCATCCAATATATAATTCAATCACCTGATCAAAATTATATTTTTTTAGCAGCCCGTTCATCAGGAGTACGGATATACGATGTTTCCTAAGATCCCTACAATCCTAAATTCACTTAAGGAATAAAAAGTCCTGGAATAGCAATAAATTTAAGCTTTTTTCTAGGGAAAATGAATATTATTCTTCTTAGTGATGGAGAAGGTTTAGTTATATTTGAATAAATGGATAAAATTAAAAATAGTATATTTAATCAATACAATATTCTAAATACAGAGAGTTGTGTAGCAGTAAAGCCATTTACAGAAGAAAAATGGCCATGGTTTATTGTTAATTCAAAAGATGATAATTTTATTGCAGTTAGCGGAGGATTGTATGGCCTTAATATATATGAAATTTCAGATGAAAACATAAGCAATCCTATTTTAATCTTTTAGTAGAACATTAATCCTTCATAAAATGACAGAACTAATGCTCTTCTTTATCTAGAATAAAGAGATTTATTAATTGTAGGATAAAGCAAGAAGGGAACAATAATTTATGATGTAAAAGATTTTACAAATCCTGTGTTAAAAAAACTCTTTAATTCAGATTAAGAAATAAATGATCACACTGATTATTAAACTAACTCAAATTAAACATTGGTAGCTATCTCATCTTTTCGCAGTATAATAATACTTGATTTAACTAACATAAATGACTCTTCTTCCACGATTAGGGTCTTAGCAAAATATGAAATTCCATCAAATAATTTAATTTAGAGAAGTATTTCAAGTATTTCTTTTAATGAATAATTTACCTATGGATTTTATGCGATTAGAGAGTATGGAGTATTTGCTTTTAAAATAATTTAAAACAATAATAACTCATAATATTATTATTCAATTGAAGTTTTTAAAAGCCTTTATTCAAGTGGCTCTTAATATGTTCAATATGATTTAAATCAAAAATATGTTTTCATTAGCGATGGAAATAATGGAGTTGCCTTGATAGATGTGTAAAATCCTGATAATCCTAAAATAGTTCAAAGAGTTCCTATAAATGGTTGGGTTATAAAAACTTACTAGCCCACTATTAATCAAAACTTGTTATTCGTTAATTAAATGGAGTAGGGTTAGCTCTCATTGTTAGACATATCCGACAGACTTAATCCAGTAAAATTAGCAGAAGTTTAATATGGGTATGAAAACTCATTTTCAACAGTTACAAACAGATTACCCATAAGATATTATTATGCCTTTACTGTTGAATAAGGCTTTCGAATATGTCCTAATAACTAATAGATTAATTTTATTTTATCTATTTAAACTTAGAAATCTTAGAAATTAAATCTTGACTAGAGTAATGATCAATTTAAAATGTTAATAAATTTATAAGATGGAAACGAATAGAGTGATAACAATTAACTAAGTTAAAAGGAGTAAGTATTGGATATTAATTAAGTATTAATATAAGACAAAGTCAAAATGATACTTTCACCTATATATTACTCTAATAAAATTATGCTGAACAACTTGTTCTTCTATTAAAACTTTTAAATTTAATAAATACCTTCTTGGATAACCTACGATTCTTCTACTATGTAAATAGATTTGATACCTAGCTATGAGAGTTTAGATTAGGATCAAGACACAGTTACTCTACTTCTTTAAATCTTAACTTAACTTACTCCAGAAATGATATAATCAAATATGATTACATTGAAGTAGGCGACTTAGTTAATCAATATTATGGTAAATAAATTTAAATTAATTATTAAAAAATTAAATTAAATTATCTAAAATTTAAACATATTGCATTCCTTCTAAATTAATCTTAGTAAAATAAAAATTTTTTTAAACAACTTATCATATTAAAAATCTTATAAAAATGAGAAAATTTTTCCAATATATCTAAAATTATTAGAAGGGTAGACGGTATTTTTAAATAGTCTAATTTATTTATTCAGAAAATATTTAAATAACTTTATTTTAATGTGTTTTTATATTTAACAAAGATTGATATGGGAATTGTTGACGAATAAAATTATTTTATACCATCAAATGAAAGAATTTATTTTGCAGTCCCTGCAATAAAGTAAGTCTTTGGAAATTTAGCATAATATGAAACTATATTATAGCAAGTTATCTATAACTTGAAAAAAGTTTAATTCATATATCCTGTAACTTTGCAGATTTTATCTTCTTTAGTTCTAAATAGCGATCCTAAAAATCCTAAAGCTCCATTTATCTCCACTTTTTCAAGCAATATTTAATTAGATATTCAATTCATTAATTAAAATTCTTCAACTCAAGAAATTCTTGTAGAATTTGTTTCAGTGCAATACACTGAAATCGTTGTATAAATTTTAAATAATAATAAAGCACTAAGAGCAAAATCTGATAAAGATACATTAAATAATTAAATCCAAAAAGGATTTATTTATGGAGTGAAAAACTTTAATACTATTGAAACTAATGAAATCTAAGCTATATTTATAGTTAATGATGGAGTTAACAAACCAGTAAGTACTACTTTTAAACTTTTCAGTTGCCCTTATTTACTCCAATTGCAACCTCTTTAACTCTCATCTACTACAAGTCTCTAATAATAATACTCCTAGTAATATCCTAATGACTTAACAGTTGAAGAGCAATTCACAATACGCTTTACTCCAACTGTATTTATTAGTTCTAGTAAATAGCAGCTCTCTTTTTCTGTAAATATTTAATAAAAATATTTTTAAAATTTAAAGATGCAAATCATTTTAATAATTTGAAATATTAATAAAACTTTTAATTTTATTTAAAATGTATCAACATATATTTGAAATAGAAATTTTATTGAAATTAGGCTTATTTATTACAAGATGGAGAATGGATAAAATTAGAAAAAAATGGTTCACTTTGGATTTCCTTTGATCCTACTACTTTAACGCTAAAGGGTGAGAGATACTTCTAAGATTTGTTTAAATCCTATCAGATAAAAATTTGTGCTTCAGACAATTTTACTTATATTGAAGACTCTTTTACTATATATTTTAAATAGCTAAGTATAGTTATGATTTTTGTTATTGCCTTTGTTGGATTTATTTTTTTTACTTTAATTATCGGAATCTATTTGTGTAGGCATTCAATCCATAAATTTTGGAAATACAAATAAATTTCATACAAAGAAATAACCATTAATGCTAAAGTTTTATTCAAAAAATCTATCGTTTTAGCCCCACACACTTAGTTTAACTTAGATTTGATAGTCAAATATTTAATTCAAAACGTTAAAGAAGTTTTAAAAAACCAGAATAAAGGTAAAGCCCCATCTAAAATGTAGATTAAATAATATATTATTTCTAAATACACTGACCCTCAAACTGGTGAAATATTAATGTAAGATCTTTCGAGTGATGCAAAATCAATTTACCATAAAAATCCTGCATAATTTAAAAACTTAAATGGATTAGAAATTAGTTAACTAGATTCTAGAATAAATATTGGTCTCTTCTGTATAATATCAAACTGGGCCTTGGAAACAAATTAAGATTCAAATAGATCTTTTAAATTTTTAAAAAATTATGCCTAAAATAAGATAAAAACTAGTGATTGGTATCTGGTAAATTTTTAAATAAACAAAAAAGATAATTTATTTTTAGCAATTTTTTTACTAACTTTTATTAATTTTAAATTAAAATTAGTCAATTTTTAACATATTTAGTGTCTTTCAAACATTTTTTAGATTAATTTATAAAATTTTTCTAAAGTTGTTATAAAAAAATGAAACTCAAAGCCTTTAATTTTTCAATATTTCAACTAATTAAGAAGAATATTTGATATTCAAAAAAATAAAATTATTAAAATGTTTAGTTTTATTAAGTAAATTAACAAATAATTTAAAAAAAAGTATTATTTGAACGTCACAGATTCTAAATAAGTAGACCATGGTACAAATAACTCTAGAACAACTGGATCATCTGATTAGGAATATCCACCTATGTACTAGATTATAGAAATAGATGAGGATAATTTTGATTAGGTTTTAGAAATCATAAAAGAAAATATGAGAAAGCAAAATTAATAAAGTGAATTAAAAACTAAAGTTTTGGAGAATGCAATACTATCTTAATATTATGGATATAAGGAGAATCTAAAAGCTAAGAATTGGAAAGTAAATTTTGGATAAACTATGTACTTGCAGATGAGCCAGCTGAAGTAGGTATTAGTAAGATAAAAGGAAGATGACCTGGCACAAAAAAAATCATTTTTATCTCAACTTTCTATTATAAAGTAATTCCGTGAAGTTTTTCTAATGAATTTCAAGAGAATTAGTCTGAAAAATGCAAATAAATAAAATACAAACTTGCCAAAGTGGCTAAATTATGAGTTAAGCGATAATAATATTATTTTCATAATGAAACCTTAACTCAAAGATATAGGGGAATATTTAGTTGAATTATAAAATCATAGTAAATATATTTTTTATATATTTAAAATTATTGTTAGAGGTTTTCCAAGACAAGCTATTTAAATGGAAAAATCTACCAATAACCTTAAGCTTGCAAATGAAAATTTAAATTTAAACTAACAAGTTAATAATTCGTTTGACAAAAATAATGAGTAAGATTTTAAATTTGGTATTTTAAATAAGCTATAAACTGTTTAATATGCATAAGAATCACCTAAATCTTAAAATTTTTAAACAATCTAATAATTTATAAATGATAAACCAGTAACCTAAAGCATTCAAATGCAAAATCTATCAAATAACTTATTTATTAAGCAAGGTAAAATAAATTTCTTATTTATTAAATTAATATTTATTTTTTTAATCAAAAGTAACTGCTATCTCTTAATAGTGAATAGATAGATACACAAATAAATTAAGATTGATTTTAATAATAATTATATAAAGCAATATTTTGATAATTAATTAATATTTCAAAGTTCTCTTTTTTTATATTAAAAAAATACTTTTTTAAAAAAAATTAAATTTATAATAAAAATATAGTTTAAGTTTAAATATTGGCTTTTGAACAATAAAATAAAGTTTTAAAATAAAAATAATGCTTTTTAATTTATTTTAATAAAAAAACAAGAAAAATTAATTTAATATATTAAAATTAATTTTGGTAGACAGAAACAACTCATTAGAAAATAGAAAATAACATAAAACAATAAATTATTATAAATAATACTATTTTCTATTTATAAAAAAATATCAATTTTAATTTAAATAAAATAAAATATAATTATGTAAAAAAATTAGTCTAATAAAAAAATTATTATTGGAAAAAAATTAAAATTAATTTTTTTATTTTAATTTAATTTATAAGAAAATTAATTTAGGATATTTATTTCTAAAATGGTTAAATTAAACCTGTAAAATAGCTTCGCTTCTGTAAATCATACATCATTAAATTTCCTCTCTTTTTAATTAAAAGTAAATTATATGTAAAATTTCTATATATATAGCATTTGTAATTTATAAAATTCTTCTTATTTGTTTGAACAAAAACTTAATAAAAAATTTGCTTTTTTAAGCATTATTTAATATTTATTATTGCTAGATTTACGTCAAAAAGGGCGCTTTTTAGATTTAAATAACTAGAAAAAATCAAAAAGGCTCAAAATAATTTGGCTTTGGGTTCTGCAAAATACTCTCAATTTATTTAAATTTGATAATTCTTTTAAATATTTCAAACTCTTCATTTTTTGGAAACAAAAATAGTGCTCATCATTATTAATTAATTGCTACAAATATTCATTAATATTTAAGTATAATTTTAAGGATTGAATAGGAGATTAATAATAAAATTAGTTTATATTTTTTATGAAGCTTATTGTTTTAACTATTAGCATGCTGCTTTTAAACTTTTGTGTGGATTGCTTAAGAGTTTTCGCTACTTTACCATAGATTATAGTGGAGACTAACGATATTATTAAAAGCACTTTAACAAAATCTGAAATGAATCCTGCTTATCCTAACTTCTTTTTTTTGACATTTTAAGGGGCAGAGTTTGCAGTTGTAAACTAAAAAGATTACTCAATAATTGGTAGGATAAAAGGAAACATTGTTAATGCGATAGTCAAAACCAATTTTATTTATATATAATATATGGATAATTATATTTCCATTGTTAAATTAGAAACAAAGTGGAAATAATTAAGTTCAGTGAGCAAATTTGAACCACAAATAGGTATTAATTGCTTTGATGTTTTAGATGATGAGTAATATATGTTAATCGCTAATCATGGCAGTATATTAGTAATATCTCTTCACTCTAAGCTAAATCCTTATGTAATAAATTAAGTAGGACCAACTTTGAAAGTAGAAACAGCTTGGATTTCAATAAATTACCCATATTTAGTACTAGCCAATAAAGGAAAAAACCTTGGAGTCTTTGATTTTTCAAAATCTATTGAGTAAATGAGCTTTCTTACTCAAATTTCCCTAAAAAATTCTAGTTATATTACTACTTTCATGAATTATAATGACAAAACATATTTGTACTCTTATTGTAAATATTTAGGAGTTATAACTTATGATTTTACTATGTTATACAATGATAAAAATTAGTTTATTAATATGGTTAAATAGTATAATGATTAAAAAATTACGATTAATGTTATGGAGATGCAAGGAACAGTTAACAGTTTTGCTGTTTCTCATAAGTATAATTAGCTATTTATGTCTATCAGATCAAATGGTATTTTTATTTATGAGCAGTAGCCTAATAATTTGAGATTTGTATAGTAAATTTTGTCAAATGATCTCTCCAATTATGTCAGCTTCTCTGATCTTGATGAAAATTTTGTTCTTCTTGCAGATGGAATTAACTTAAAGATATTTTGTTCGCAATAATTTGATCAGCTTAGTGAACCAAACTCGTTAAACGTGTTTAACTTAAATTAGAATTAAATATTGTTATAAAATTTTACAATGAATCAATAAACAGATCGAGGAAACATTTACTACGATTCTAATAAATAATTGATATTTATAAGTAATAAAACAAATATTTTAATATACTAAAATGAAGATATCCAATAGCCCTATTCAAACTATAGAACTTTAACTGAAAAAAAATACACTATTGTTTATTTCATATACTTAAAACTAGGCTATTTTGTTGCATTGCGAAATCCTGAAAAGATAACATTTTATTAAATTAACTATTAATCATCAACTACTTATCCTTAATTAAATTTGTCTTGTCCTAATTGTGAATTTTCGAGCTTAAGTGTCAGCTATGATGAAAGTATTTTGTTTGTAGTAACTAAGTACTCAATATTAGTATATGATTTAAGCTCTTTAAGTTAAATTAATAAAAGTAATCCAAAATTATTACTCAATTATTCTCCAGAAGGATTATCTTCAAGCGCGTATCTAGACTACTTAAAGCTTCACTGGAGCAATAAATTAGGTTTTTATTCGCTTAAGAACTATGCGATTGTCTTTTTCAACTTTAAAAATGATTATTAAACTGCTGAGATTTAAATTGTTAAATAATTTCTTGTTTAAGATATTGAGTATTTTGATTTTGATAAACGAAATTTTAACTATCTTATTATATGCAGTGGCACAAAAGGAATAATAATTTTTGATTGTTTTGGGATTGAAAATGGATAACTCCCTTAGTTTGCACATTAAGTGAGTATTAATGGCTGGACTGCTAATTTTGATTAACCTGGGACGAAACCCAATATTATTTTAACCAATTAAAGTTAAGGAGTCTAAATATCAGTTATAAATATAGAAAATATTTTGGAATCAGCAGTAGAGTATTAAATAAATATTTCAAATGATGAAATAATTTACTAATCTATATTTTTTAGCTAAAATTCTGATGGATTTTTAGCTCTTTCAACAAACAAAGGGTTTAGATATAGCACTGTTACAAAACCAATTATTTTGTATTATTTCTTGATGAAACAATCTTAAATAAATAGAATTAAAACATTTAATGAGTAGCAAGTGCTCTTAAGATCCTTTCAATTTGACAATAGCTCATATAATGTAGAAGTAAAAGAAAATAAGCTTATTATTTAGGTCAATGATGTTTCAGAAATTAGAATTTCTCCTATCTTGTCAAGCTCTTAGATTAAATTTAATAATATCTTTCTTTATCAAAACTATGAAAAAATTGCTCCTCCTGAATGGCTGACTTACTAAGAAAAAGATTTGCTTATTAAAATTCAACCTCCAAAGGAAGTGCTTAATAGCAATAGAGGAGAGATAACTATTGTTCTTTAAATTTATCAAAGTATAACTCCAAACTACTTCACTAAAGTTATTTATATTAACTCAGCTTAGAGCTAACAAATTTATTAGTTGCTTGTAATTTTTTTTTACACAATTCTTTATTATATTAAAAATTTACCATAAATTAAATTAGGCTAAAAACTCTATGATTGATCAGTAGGGAATGTTTTTAAACAAAAATTTTTATTAATTTACCTATTTAGAAGGAGATATCAAATAAATTTTGTCAAATTTATCACCAACATAGCTTAGTATAGCAATAGATTTAATCAAATTTTCTTATTACTCCTTGTAGTATTAATATCCAATATAACTTAAAGTGATACCTTCTCTATCAGTAAATCTTTTTAATTAAGATAAAATTGAAACTTTGGATGCTGCTTGTAAAGTAAAAATAAAAATTTTGAGCCAAGCAAGTTAAAGTGTTAAGCTTTTTGGAGCAAACTCATAAGATACCATTCAAGTGAGTAATTTTGTAGATTTTACTGGAGTTTTTATACTAGGAAGTCAATAGTAAATAAATTATTACATAGATAAATCTTTATTTTATGGGATACCTTATAATTCTACTATAGAAGATTATGATCCGTAAATAAGATTTGAAGCTTAAGACAGTTTTAACTTCCCTGTAACTTATGCTACCTAACTAATCAATTTACAATATATTAACAGAATATAGCCAATAGTTTAGCAAATTTCCCTTTAATCGCAGTACGATGAGTAGTATTCTTCAGGACTTACAGTGCAATAAGATTTTTCAATTTAATTTTTAATGAATTCATTCAAAAATTCTAATTTTATCCCAATATCATACAAAGTATTTATTTATAAATTTTATTATTACAATTAATATAATGTATTTTTATTTATATAAACTTATTTAAAGGCCTACTTATTACATGATGAATCAAATTATTTATATCAGGAACAAATATGCACAATCTCTTGTAGCTATTTCAATTGGATTCAGTTTGATGCTTAGAATTTGAAGATTTATGGATAGGCAGGTTTTATTAGGTTTAAAAAAAAATATAAAGTTCTCATAGAAGCATCTGATTAATTTGGGAGTATTAGTGATAGCTTTGAAATTTAATTTAACAATTTACCTCTTTCGCTGATTTTGATTCTAGTTTTTTTATCATTAGTCATTCTTATTAGTTTAATTTTGATATACTTTTTGAGAAAAAGAATCCATAAAATAACTGCTTTCTATTCCTATACACATTCTAAAATTGAAGTAATGGTAAAGTAAAAGTATTATAAATGCATAGTGTGTGCACCAAATATTCTAAAATCAGCCAGAATTATGTTTTTTTTACTCAAAAAAGATTTCTTTCAAAACCTTAATCAAAATACAAAAAAGAAACAAAAAAAATAAATTCTAAATAAATAATTTGCAGAGTGCTATTTTAACGAATAGGGAAACCTGGATAATTAAAAATTAAATTCAAGATTAATTCATATTTTTAAAGTGAATAAGCAAAAATTTCCACAAATTTAGTTAACAAATATAATTTAAAGCAATTCTAATTTTAAGATAGCTATTTATAGTCTCCTCTCATAAGAGCTCCTGGTTAACTCTGATGCCAAACAAATATACAATTATTTGAAAAAGGAAGTAAGAAAAAGTAATAAATATCTCGATTGGTATAAAGTAATTAATTTTTATAATAAATAAAATTCAACAATTACATCTTATCCATTTAAAAAATCTATTTTTTTAATTTATTTAAAAAACTTTTTTTGATTTTAAAATTTATTTTTTAATATTCATAATTCAATAAATTTTAATAAAAAATTAAAATAAAATTAATCTTAAATATCTTCAAAAATTTTTTACATATTTTTAATTTATTTATTATAAACAAAAATGATAAATAATGAAATTAAAAAATAATAATGTCAAATTAATTTATTTTTCAGAAAAAATAATTATTTAATTTTAAATAAATAAATTATAGGAGTTACTTGAAATTGATGAAGAAAAATTTATTCAGGATAAAAAAGATATATTTGAGAGTAAGTAAGATATGTCAGAAAGACAGTTTGTTGCTTATCCTGATATCAAACTAAATAGACAGAAAGTAGAATAGATAATTTAGGATTAAAAAAAAATAATGACTTTATTTTAAGATTAAAAATTGGTAACTATCGTAGAAAACGCTTTAAAGTCAAACTACTACGGGTATGATTTAAGTACATAATTAAAAGATTGGAGAAATTGTATAGGAGAAACACTGCACACTAAAGCAGACAGAATCAACGAAATAGAAATATTTGAAAAAATATATAATATTTCGAGTATTAAATAGATATTATGTTTCCCTTTTATAAAGGAAAGATTTTATTGTAATTATAAAAATATCTGTTAAAATAAAATTTTAAACCCAGACTAAAAATTACCTAGGTGGATTTAGGTTTTAGTTACTAACAATTAAATTCTAATCAAACTTTCGCCAAAACGTGCCAGTGTTGGTGAATACATAATTACCTTCAAAAACTCGAAGGGATACACAGTATATTCGTTTGGTGTATTGCTCAAATTCCCTAAATCTCCATAAATGACTTATCATGCAACAAATTAAAACAACAACGAATTTAATTAAATTGAGATGAAAAAGTAAGTATAAATTTCTGAAGAAGAAAGTGTTGAAGATGATGATAGTCACTAAGAAAGAAAGAAAAAATCTTAGAATTAAATTGTTATAGATTTAAGAAAAATTAAATAAGCAGACAGCAAAAATATAGACACTTAGACTTATCTACAAACTCAAAATAATTAATCCCCTAATTCTAAGTTTAATTTGAGATTATAATCTATAAATTTATTATAATAAAATTCTCTCTAAAACTTTCGCCGAGGATCTATTTAATCTGTTGAGCAGCTCTAAAATGTCAGCTTGATAAATTTAGAAAAAATAGACTATTATTAGACTAGCTAAAATGAAATTAATGAAGGTATTAATACTATTTAAAGCTAAAAATGTAATTTTTTATTTTAAATAATTTCTTAAATCCTCTTAGCAAAAACTATTTTAATAAATAGAATTCTTGGGCAGAGACGTACGACACAAAAATCCCTTTTGATATTTCTTTCAATATATTTAAAATTTTTTAAATATGTATAAAATTACATAATGAATTGAATTGTTTTTATAATTCTTGATTAGCATTTTTATAGTAATGCCAATAAAAAATTAAAGAAATTCTAAAAACTTTAGCAGTCATTTTAGTGATTTATGATTGAAAAAATCAATTAAAATATTAATTATTTTTATATTGAATTTATTTGTTTTATAGGATTTATATTTATGAAACTTTTAAATTTGTGGTCAAGAAAAGAAAGGATTTAAAAAATAATGAATCACTTTATTATCTTAGTTAATAGTTAATTGACTTGACTATCTAAAAGCTAAATTATTTGAAATAGTTCAATTTCATTATCACTTTTTTACTGTAAATACTAAAAAATAATTGTTTTTTTAACTTTGATAAAGTGCATTAAAAATACTTGATAGTCAATAAATAAATAAATTATTTAGTTTAAATTTTTTATGATTTAATAAAAATAAAGTAAGTAATTAAGTAACTAAATGAGTATATTGAAGTAAAATAGAGTTGTTAAAAAATTGTATTCAAATAAATATAATTAATTTTATTATTTAATTGAAAGATCACATATGTATGTTTCACTCCATCTTTCCATCCATTTATCATACAACTTTTTATTCTTATTAGTCAGCTTCTTCGTCAAGTATAAGCTTGTCACTTTTTTTAATGAATTCGATAAGAAGTTATTAAAAGTTTTCAGGAGTAATTATCTTTCTCTTATCAACAAAAACATTTTCTTCTTTTACATTAACTTGTGATTGCCTAGATTATATGCTATTTTAGGACCCAATTGATCTCTAAGAACCTGCTGCTTGGCTTCTAGATTCCGAAACCTACGAACCAGCTTAGCTACTAGCAACCTTGGAGCTTCCATCAGCTTTTTACCTTTTTTATCTTTCCTTTCTTTCTTTTTCTTTTTTGAGTTTTGCTTATTTTTCTTCTTTTGTCTCTATTTTAAGAGTGTATTTTTAGTTGAATCTAAAAGTTTTGCTTAGTACGTCCTATAATTTAAAGTACTGCATATTATCCACTGTTCCTATTTTTATCTTATAAATTTAGGAGGTATTTTATCTGAACTTTAAGTAGTCTTGCATTTAGTATGTTCTGAACAAACTTGGATGGGCAAGCCAGGCTTAACTCAAAGAACCGTATAAACTTAAAAATGTGGTAATAATAACCTAAATATTATTAAAAATAAATATTAATCTAATAAGAAATAAACAATAAATATTTTTACTCTTAAGTTTGTAAAAGATGTTATGCTTTCAGCAGAACTCTTTCTAATGTTATAGACCAAAAGAATAGAAATAGTAGGAAGATCGAGATAAATTAGTTTTTAGAATTTTGTGAGTAAAATTTAAGGAATTTTGACATTATTTAAAAAGTTTGGAATGAAAAACCCAGTAAGCTAAATTGTTGAAGAAGTCGAAAATCTATCAAGTAGAGAACTAAGTGCCATAAAATCAAGTTACTATCCAATTTAAGTAAATAAGTTGATAAATGCTGTATTATGTATTGATTTTGATAAAGACTATTTTTTTAACCTGTAAATAGATATCATATTTATCAAAGCTGGTATAACAGTCCACACTATTTAAACATGCAAAAATATCAAAGCTACCAATCCTATTTATTTTTAAAATAAATAAATTAAATAATTTAATAATTTATGTGAACAGTGATTTATTTCTAATTTGTCATTTATTCTTTAAATTTATTTTTAGCAATAATAATTAAACTTTTTAATTCATTTATTTACCTAGATCCTCAGCTGTTTTACAAAAGTAAATGTTGTGGGAAAAAACCATATTTGAATAAACGCTGTATCGGAGCATGAATGAATTATACAGCAGCAAGATCACAGAAATACTTTTCATTGTGAATATTTTTTTTGAGACAATGATATTTTAAATATCATACAAAACAAAAGCTTCCAAAACAACCATCATAGATGTAAAAAATAAAAATGGTGTATCGTATTAAACAGGATATTTACCACAGCTATATTTGGATTCGTATTCAGGTAAATAATAACGAACTAAAAAGAAAGGATAAAGAACAGTAAGTCCAATTATAATTACAAATATGTTAATCCAAAAAAGAAGATCTACATACTTTACTATATGCCTTTCCTTTACTCTATTGTTAGTAATTTCTTCATAAATTTTGTCAAAATTCTTTTTTAATGGACTTTTGATATATTCAGCTAGCAATCTTCCTTGCCTTCTCAAAAAATCCTATTTTAAAATAAATAAATAAATAAATTTAATGCAATTTTAAAAGATTTAAAAATATACAGTTGAGCTTTTTTTATTTTTATTTCTTGCTAAGAAAATATCTAATTAAGCTACATCTTCATCAAAATAAAAATCAGTATTTTCTATGTTCTCTGGTACCATTTTATCAAATTCAATAATTTATTGGTTTTCAATCTTTTTTTTCGAAGATTTTCTAAATGAAGCCATAATTTTCTTAATATAGTATTAAATTTTGAAACTTAAAAGCATAATTAAATGGAAAGCAGTTAATGGGAATAAGATCAAGCTAATAAATAAGATTGTTATTTTATTCTTTTTCCATGTGTCTTTAACTATTAAATTAATTGCATCAAACAAACCTAGATTCACAATATTTTGCACTATCATACGAGCATCTACAACTTAAGAGAGCCCTCCTCCACATTCTTCAAGAGCTTTCTTGTAAGCTTTCTAAAGATTTCTGAGTCTCAGTACTTTATCTTTAAAAGTTTTGTCTTATTCTAATTTTTTTACAATTTTCTTATCCAATGATTGCTACTCTTCTATAAATAAGAACTTTAAATCTTAGCTCTCATATTCTTTTTGATCTCTCTCATCTTAACTTATTTCACTCTGGTAATCTAACTTTTACTGTTAAAAAATAAAAACATGAATGATTAATTATTCACACAATTTGAAAAATTTTATTATTGAAAGCTATCAAAGAATTATGTTTGTTTAAGGAGTTTCTTAAAAAATATGTTGATAGAAAAATCCAGTTAATTTTTATATTTTCTGATTTATTTATTATAAAAAGGTATACCAAAAATCCTCGTAAAGTAAGGTGCTTTAAAATGTTTTTACAATATATATTTTTGGAGAATTAAAAATTTAAATTTAACATTTTATAATTTTGATTTTTGTAATTGCTTCATTTATGAGAATACCCAATAATTAATATTTTTTCATATCAAATTAAAATTTTTAAAAATGAGCTGATTAGTAAAATGTTAATTGAATCTTGTAATGTAAATAAATAAATAAATCAATCAATCTTTACCAATTCTTTTTGAACTTCATCAAGTTCAATTTTCTCTTTACTCAAATCGTCTTCTTAATTTTTTTATTCTTCTTCTTCATCAAAAAATTTAGGTATATTTGGATCAAACATCTATAAATTCAGCTACTAAGGATTTGCTACATGATTCTCTGCACTATCTAAATCTTCTATTGAAGGTCTCTTATTAAAAGGAACTATTTTATTATCAGTGAGAGCATTTAATTTCTTTTTATTCTTTTTAATATAATGGGCTATTTCTTTTTTATATTTTTTGACAACCCACACAGCTTCAGTCATGATACTTCTTTCTAGCAGTTCTACTTAAAGCCTAAGATGATCAGCATCATTACCTGTTGCACTAATAATAATCTTAAAGCCCTCTGGGATACGATTAACTATACTTGAAAATAAAAACTTTAAACCAAAAGGTGATAAACGACGATTTTATGATAGGTCAAGTAAATTGAGATGAGTCAATTTACCATCATCACCTAGAATTAGAGAGAACTTTTCTGCGAAATCATCACTAACATTTAACCCTCTTAAGTTAATTTCTCTTAATTACTTAAGGCGCTCTTCAATTAAATAACTCAAATGCTCAAACAGTTTATCATCTAAGACATGATCAGGATTAATAACACCACTAATCATGTCATCTTCTTCTTTTTCCTAAAACTAATTTTTAACTTTTGAAGATCTATCTTTACCTTCCTTTAGCTCTAGTATATTCTAATTAAGCTTGATCCAAGGTTAGATGTGTTGAGATATGTAATAGTTGAGACCATAAATGTTCAGATGATTATTCTCGCCTAAGTTAAGAGCTTCTATAAAAGAAAATAGATTCTCAATTTCATAATTATTATCACGCTTATTAGTATCAAGTAGCTGTATTTCAAACTCCAAAACATCAATTTAGTTATCTAAATCTTTGTATTTCTAAGTAAATTCATTTATTTTTTTATCTTCATTTTTCAGATCTTCACTCATTAAGTGCAGCTTAACAAGCTCTTTATGTAGTTTTAAAGCAATTGGGTTATTATAAATACGAGAAGTATTAGATTGCAAAGTTAATTGAGACATTTTGATTTCATCAAATTAATGTTTTATTAATTTTAAAGTTTTTTCTTTCTTAGTTTTTGTTTTCTTAGAAAACTTGGAGGCAGTCTATGCAACACTCATTCTATGTTCCATATTTTTTCTTTTTTTATGTGATAAAGGAGTATGAGACTAAGATTCATTTTCCTAAGAACTCATCAAGTTATTCTCTTCATTTATAGTATTTTAATGGGCATTTATGGTTTTATTCTCTGACTGCTAAATTGCTGCATTTGCCTTTTTTTAAATACAAAGAAAACATTTATTTATTTATTTATTTATTTATTTATTTATTTATAGTTGAATAATGAAAGTCTTACAGAATTAATATAAGAAGAATCTTGAGGAAGAACTATTTTTTTATAAATGTTATTTTATTATTTTAAGTCATCTTCTAGTGATAATGCTCCTTTTAAGTTATCTTTTTCATTTGTACTTCCAAATTTTAACTTTTATATTGTTTAGTAAGTTTGCATTTTGCTTGTTGTAGTTTCTTAGCCTTCTTATTGTTCATCAACTTTATCGTTTTCATCAATTTTTTCGTTTTCTTCTGCTTTTTCATTTTCATCAGCTTTTTCATTTTATTGGCTTAAAATGTTTTAATCTATATCTTAATTCTTTTCATCGCTTATTCTGTCACTAGCTTAATCATTATCTCTCTTTTACTCTTTATTATTTTCATTATTATTAAAAATTAAATTATTTTAAAAAAATAAAAATAAAAATTAAATAAAAATAAATTTATTATACCTTATTCTCTTTGACTTTAATTATCCCCATTTGACAAAAATTTATTTTCTTCATCTTTTATTTCATCTTATTTTTGTTTTTGCTAAAAATCTTCTCCATCACTCTTTACGTCTTCATTTTATTAAGAATTCAGATGTTATTCTTCATCATTTTCTTATTCAAAATTATTTATTTCTTGATCTTCTTAATCTATTTTTTCATCACTTTAATTTTAATTATCTTCTTCTTCTTCTCCTTCTCCTTCTCCTTCTTCATTTCCTTCATTTTATTAATCTTCATCTTCTTCATTTTCCTCATTAAGTTCTTTTTCAACTTAATCTAAATATTCCTAATCTTGTTATTCTTCTTTTTCATGTGAAGCGCTTTATTCTAAAAGCTCAAGATTCTGTTTCCTTTATTCTTGATTGAAAAGCTCACGCTCATTTAGCATGAATTCACTATCATCGTTTAATTTTTTTTCAACTTCTCCATCATCAAAAGGATCATTTTGAGGTAAAAATTCTTCTTACTAAGGAGTTAAAAGAGGAGAGTCCATTTTAGAGTCACCACTCTTATATTTTGATTCTTTTAATGTTAATTATTTTTAAGGTGCCAACTGCTCTTATTACTTTTTCTTCTTTTGGTCAATCTTACTTTGTGGAACTTTCTTTCCTACTGCATTTAAAATTTTTGTATATTTTCTATCTTTAAGTCTTTACAGTTGTTTCTCCATCTTTTCTTTTCTTCTTTAAATTTATAATTACTTTTTTTGTGCTTTCTTTTTCGTTACTAAAAGTAGCTATTTAAGTTATTCATCATTTTCTTTCAAAATGTTCTTTTATTTTAATTTATCACTTTCAAGTGCCAACTGATAAATCAAAGAAAGAGAAGACGCGCTAATTCTCTTTTAAAATGTTTCATTTAGAAGGTACATCAGTCTTATAGATGTTGGTATATTTTTTTACTAAAGTATGTGATTAAATCCATATTAAACTAAAGGGAATTTTTCAGGCTGTAGATAATGAACACTTCCATATTCTTTGCATATTTTTTCTATATGATTATCGTTGACAGCTAGCTTCATGTAATTAGGTAAATTTTGCATCAATGCAGTTATATCTAAATTAAATATGATCTTCTTAATGATAAATTCGAACATTTATAGTAGTTCATGATTATTAGATTAATTTATTTTTAAAATAAAATCAAAATTTAAATATTTAAAGTTGTGCTTAAAGAAGTCGCATTCAAAAAGATTCTTTAAAAATTGTTTTTATTGCTTCGCTCTACTCAAAGGGAGATTATCCAAATACTTGTTTAATTAAAACCTTTTCAATAAAATAATAAAGTTAAAATAAAAAAATATATTTGCAAATATTATTTAAATTTATTGAAAGAATTAAAAAATAAATTATTTTATAATTTAGTAATATTCTCCAAATTAAGAATTTAATTTTTATATTAAATAAAAAAACTTACCATGGCTTGAGATCATCACTTAGAAGGATGTTAAAAGTGACACTGTTTTTAATCTCAAAGCAGTCTTCAAAGTTAATAAAGTGCAGTAAATTTGATTATTTGAGTTTTTTGATTTTGACAAGATGATAACTATCTGCTGTGGTTTTTCTTAAGCTAATTTCTCTTAATCCTTTAAAAAGACTTAAGAATTCATAAAGATTGTCTTCGTTGATAGAATTCTTTTGCAAAGCTTAAATCTAATGAATTAATTATTTTTTATCAACATCTTTTTTATCGTTTTCTTCATTATTTTTTTCTCCTTTATCGTCATCATTTCCTTATCCATCCTCATTTTATCCTTGGTTTTCTTCTTAATCTCCACCTGCTCCTGCCATAGCTCCGCCATCTTCTAATTTATTATCCTATTCATTTTTATTCTTATCCTTATCTTTATCATCATCTTCTGCTCCATCTTTATTATTTTCTTCTTAATTTTCTTCCTAATTCATTTCATCAAATTCATCTTCTTTAGTTTTCTTTTTGTTTGTTCTAAGGTCGTTAATCTATTTAGTTAGAGAATCTTTACTGATAAGATGTTGATTTCCAGAAAAATCAAGATAGCTAACATTTTCAGGAATCTCTTTATCTACTTTAATAACTTCAGTTAGTTCTTGTATTTACTACAAATTTAAATTTGGTAAAATCCAATTAATGACTGTTTCAGCTAAGTTAGTATTTTTTGTATGACTGAGCAGAGTCTTAGCTTCTTCCAATCCAAATTAGATATCTTATTTGAATTGTATTTCTTTTAAGTTTTAAATGAATAAAAAGAAATCTCTTATTTTTGTCGAATTTTCTGGGAATGACTTAATTATCAGTTTTTACAACTAAAGTAGAGGCATAAAATCTTTTATTTTATCCATAGTCTTTGTAATTTATTCTATGATTTCTCCTGCTATTTCTTTACTTACACTGTCTGGAATTTCTAGCTTATTTAAGAAAAAGCATGCACTCTTATTTAATAATATTGCTTCATAAACAGAACCATCTATACTTGCTAGGTTCTTTTAAAGTAGATTAAACACTTAAGTCCAATCAAAGCCATAAAATGGCTAAGTAAATAGCTTCTAAAAATGAACTGATTCAAGTTTTTTAAAATCAATTCTATCATTTTAAGCCAGATTTGAATTAAACCTCACATTATCTTATTTAAATAAATTCAAAAGAAAATCATGGTCTTCTACATGCTCAATTATTTTTATCATTGTAAGTCTCTAAATTCTATTGATATTCAATTTTTAAAAGTTCAATTTAAATTTTTTTCCTTTTTATAGTGTATCGCCAGATTAGGAAGATTAATTATTAGATTGTTATGATTGCTATTGTTTAGAATTGGATTATTGATTATCAATACTCACCTCTGCAAGTTTAGGAATGAGCAAATAATTTAGATATTAGAAATAACTAGAATTTTAAAGTATATCAAAATATTCTTCATCTACCTCTGTTTAAGCTACCAAACTTTAAATATCAAAACTACGAGAGAATATGTCTGACTTTATGAGCAGTTTTGCACACTTTAGAGATATGGGTAGGACTGTAACTAATTGTTTAATTCCAGAAAAGCACTTACTCTCTGCTAGCTTTGTCAAAAATAATTCCTACTTTTCTATATTTGATGCTCTATCAATTTCATTTTTATCATCACTTTATGATTCTCTGATGTCTATTTTGTAAGCTGAAAATTACATTTTTTTTGCAAAAATCCTTTCAATTTGATCTTTGTCTATAAATTGCAAGTAAATGATGAAATGCTCTTAAATTTCCATGTACTTACTGTTTAAGAAGATATTTTGTATTCTTTAATTTATTGTATAATTTTCAATAAAAGAGTTGATGTTGAAATAATAAGGCTTTATGTACTATTAGTTAATCACTCTAGATAATTATTAACCTGTTTTGTCTGTTAAATGACTTTTTTCATTAAACAGATCAAGTATTTTCACTGTTTTTAAATTTAAAAATTTCATGTCTTTTTATGAAAAAACACTATCAAAACCGAAATTGTAAAATTTCATGTGTTGAATGCAACTCAAATCTTAAATTTGTCTAAATACATTCTAAAAATCGACAAATCTAATCAAAAATTAAAAGTAAGTTAGGTCTAATGTAGTGTGACGCTTGTTATACCATTCTCTTGTCTTAAGGAAATATTTTTCAAATAGTGAATTTAATTTAGGAATATACTCTTCCCAAATATAGTAAGTTAATTCCTATTTATTCTTGAACTAATCCTTATTCGAATTATCTTATAATTACTTTAGAATTTCTTGCTGTTCCTCATCTAAATCATCGAAATCATCATCTTCTTCTTCATCATCCATTTCTTATTCAGCATATTCTATTAAAAATGGTTTCACTTATTCTATCAATTAAATAAATATATCCTCAAAGTCAAATCTAACACTAACATGGCGCTTCTTTACTGCTTACAAAATGTATTCTATCTCACTTATATGTAATCCTTTATTGTTATTAATAATAATTTTATCTAGATTAAAGAAGTTATTCTTCTAAAATAGGCTCTAGCACTTAGTCTTTTCATTGAAATCTTATTCCTGCTTAAAATAGTTAAGAATTTATTAATCATTCTCAGTTTTTGAGCTCATCAGAGTGCAAAATGAGAAATTGATTGTTTTCAAATTTCCTACATACTTACTATTAGCAAATGCTTCCCAAGCTCTTGGTTTTATTTTATCTGAATTTATTTATTTATTTATTTTTAAAGAAATTAATAGGGTTTGTCATAATTATAAAATATTTAGAATTAAATAAATTAAAATGCCAAGAAGAATAGAAATTATTAAATTATTTACATAAATCACTGAGATCGATTTCTTTGGAGTTCAAGAGATGAGGGAGTTATGCAATTTCAACAATAATTTAGTCATCAATAAGTTTCTTATTATCTTTTAAGAGAGATTCAATATCAAATTTAGGTTTATACTTTTACTTGAGCAGTATAATTAAATGCTAAAATTTTTATTTTTAGAGGTGTTAAATGAAAATATTATCTTGTTTAAATTTAAATTACTTCTTTGATTTCTAACGATTTTATAGACAGCTATTGTAGTCTAGGGAAGCTTTTTGATTAAGCGATAGTGATCCATACATCCTTATATTCTTCTGCATCTTTGACATCGTTAAGTGTAACTCTATCAATAAATCCTGTAAAACGAGAGAGTTTGAAGAGAGACTTTATTTAATTCATAAAGAGATTGCAATTATTTATTTCTATAAATTTAATGTTATTCATGTAGAAAGAGTTAATCATTGCTTGAATAAATTATGAAGTATCAACAACTTCTGGTTTTTTCATGAGATTTTCAATTTTTAAATTCATGCTCAAGTACTGTGCTCTCAAGAAATAATGATAAGACTTTACTAAAATTTTATCATCATCTTTGATAGATATTTTTTATAGTTTTGGTAAATTTTTAGAATTAGCCAGAGACACAAACGCATCTTCGCTGATATTTGTTGTGTTTAAATATATTTCCTTAATGTTAATGGCTTTTTGTGACTTAAATATTTTGATCAGCTTTTTTAATTGTTAAAAATTAGTTTACATAAAGTAATTTTAGAAATAGAATAAAAAATTAATTTTAGAAATAAAATAAAAAATTAATTAATTACAGAAGATGAAGTGCATTCTATTTTAGTAATATCAAGAGTAGTAAAATTCTAAAGGTATGGAGATTGGCTTAATTCGTATATCACATGGTCATCTAATTTGGAATAGGTAGATTCACAGTATTGTTTAAATAGATTTTAAATTCTAAAACTCATATTAAATGGAATTGTTGAAAGAATTTAGCACAAACTATTTTGTGTGACTTTAGTGCCCTCTATATTTAGATCTACTAGATAGGGGAATTTTTTTATTTCTGCAAACTGCTTCAATTTCATTTCTGTTTATTTTTTCTTGAGCTCTTTGTTTTACATCATTTCTGATAGTTTAGTAGTTTAATTATTCAATTTTATTTGCTAAAAGCTAGATATTATTTCATCTGTTGACACATCAAAAAGCATATTCTACATTTAAATTAAATTATAAAATAAAAAAATTTTACACAATATATTAATCTTACAATAATATGCTCATCTCTTATCTATTGGATGTTTTTTACTGATACATATGTGATATAGTTATATTTACCAACGATCGAATCACATAATTTAGAGAAGAGATTACCAGAAATATCAGTATTGTCAAGTACCAGCTTTAAAAGTGTTTAGTTATTAATGAGTTTGTTCAGTTGCAAAATATATTTATAATCTAATGCCGTTAAGTATTCGTAAGTCTCAAATTAAATTGAATCTTTCACTTGTTAAATTTTAGATTAAAGATTTTATGTCAGCAATTTAATTGCTGGAACACCTTGATACTCACTTGGAATTGAAATAATTTTAAAGCTAAACTTTTCACAAACTTTTTAGATGTTCACTTCTTTTGGATTCCATTCAAAACAATTTTTAAGAGCTTAGTAGTTTTGTTTTCTAAAGTTTAGATATATGTATTTCAATTCTTTAAATGTATCACTCTCTTTTGCAAAACATTCATTTATTAGTTAAATAAGAGTTTCAGATTAAATTTATGGGAATATTTCTAGCTAGATGTAGGATTTTTTAAAAATATAATCTCTAATTTCTTTGTTAGCCAAGTGCTTCAGAGTAGCAGAAAGTCTTCTCTGCTTGCTCTATAACATTTCCATCAAATCAAAATTATCAGAACAAAACGTTTTCCAGAATCTTAGTTCACTAAATTTTTAATCCGTAAGGTTATATGTATTCTCTATCCACATATATTTCAGACCTTTCGGGAAAGGAGTTTTATCAATTGACATAAAATTATCAAACTCTTCAGCTTCAATACCTGTATTTGCCAAATCTAATTATTCAATAGTATCTTATCTTGAGCTATTTCCGATCAGACGCAGTCCTTTCGAAGTGATTTTTGAGTACTAGAAGTTAAGCTATCTCAACTAATTAAAATGATAAATAAATAAAAAAATAAATAAATAAATAAATAAATAAATAAAAGTATAGAAGCGTCTATCTAACATTGAAATAAACCAGAAATAGTAGTAAAGAATAAAAATGGAAATGTTATTACCTCTTGATCAGTGAATTTGTATAAAATGAGAGATACGATTTCGTCATCTACCTCATAGTAATATTATGATAGTAAACTTTGATATTTGAAAGAATAAAAATCTGTTAAAAGAATATATTCAAGAGATTTTTTTATTTTTAGGTTTGGGCACTTTTCAAAGAAAATAATTTATAGACTTTCTCTAAGATAAACAGATGCACAAATTGCAAGGACAACCTTTTCTGTGAGCAAGGTGTAAGAGATATCTATTTCTTTTAGATTCTTGATAATTTAGGTGCTTAAGAAGAACCTGCACATAGAATCATCATTAAGGATCTTATTATATGCCAAGTATAAGTACTCAAATATATCTTTAAAATTAGGGAATTCTTAGCTTGCCTAGTTTTGATCTTCTTAATTCTCTTCTTAGTTTTTAAATCCTTTATTAAGGTTCTTCATTAAGCTATCTTTTTAATTTGAAGCCTTCTTTTCATTTCTTCCATCTACTTCCTCTTGAAGAGACCACTTTTAATCACACAAACTTAAAGAATCAAAGAATTTATTATCTATATTTAATGCAAATCTCTTGATAAAGTAGTCATATCTGAATTTTTTCAAGCTGTTTGCACTTAAAAATAAGTCCTATACAAAGCTTCCTATAAATATTTCATTTAATTTAGTTGGCTTATTAGAAGTAAGAATCTTATGTTGGTATTAATCTTTTAGTTCTTTGCAATGTTAGGCAAACACCACTGGTGTCATTTACATAGCTGATGCATATGGAATTTTATCCATATACTTTTTAGGTTCTTCAGAAGGTAATTTGTATTCTTCAATTTACTTCTCTTCGAATTAGATAGCTTCTTTTTGATCCTCTACAGAATATTAGTAAATAAACAATAAAGTTAACTTAATGTTAAATTTAAGCAATAATGCAATAAATCAATAACACATTTTTATTGAATACCCTAAAAACTCAGATTAATTCATATAAAAAAATAATTTTTTTGCTTTAAAACCCTACTTACATACTTATTAGTTAAATATTTTCGGGTTATGATCAAATTTATTGGTTATTAATTATATCTTTTATTATGTAAAAGCATTATTTTTCAAAATAAAAATTTGATATTTAAATAAGAAAGACTTAAAAATATTAATTAAAAAGATTTTTTCGTTTTTAAATTTAATTAATTTTTGTGAATGGTTGATTAGTAACTTGATATTTCAAATAAATATAAAATTAACTAAAAAATTACTTGTTAGTTGATTCATAATATCTTAGTAAGAATACCTCACATTAAATTCTTAGTAACGCTATTTTATAAAATGGTATTAATTAAATTAACTAAACATTTAAATCTAGCTATTCTTACATTGTTATCAATTATGAGAACTTCTAAATGACAACCATCATCATCTTTTGACATGTTTTTAATTACATTCCACTACATCATACTATAAACATATGAAAGACCTTAGATACTAATATAAGAAGTTTTTCTTAGGTCAATTGTTTTAATTAGTAAGCTCTTTGAAACTATTTCTTACATAATGTTGTTCACTTCTTTATCTTGAGAGAGTGAACCTTACAAACTAATTTCCTAAATAAATAAAAGAATTGTTAAATTATCTTATTATTTTAATACTTTTTTTAATTAAAAATTAATTAAGAATCAATGTGTCATAATAATTTTAAATAATTACTTTGATTTAACTTATAAGTATTTAATAAAAGATATTTTATTCCATGTAGTATTTTTAAAATTAAAATTTTTGATTTAAAGATAAATAATATATTATTATTCTTATATATTTACTTTGATAGTTTTTTTTCTGTCTGAGTATTTTAATGTGTCTATGACTCTACCACTAACTAATGAAGGATTAGAGTTGAATAGATAGAAAAGATCAAGATTATAGAGCATCCTAGAATCAACTAAATAAGATATACCTCTTTCACTAATCTTTTTGCAGTTTGTTAGAATAATTCTCTCTAAATTGCAAAAATTCTCTGTAACAGCTAAACTTTAGAGAGCCTTATCTGAAATCCAGGTAGAAGATACATTTATAGTTCTTAATTTCAATCTTTTTTCACGACCCTTAAAGCAAAGATACTTAAATCCGATATCAATATTTTTGAATCCATTGTCTGACAAATCAAGATAATCAGCATTACACATGTAAACAGACTATGCCATAGCTTTCATAAGATCTTCATCAATCAGCATTTTTAATTCACAAATACATCCTAAATCAAACCCTTCATTTAGTTTCTCCATTTTGCAAAGTAAATGAAGCCCTTGCTTACTTACATACAAACATCCCTTCATACCAATGTATTAAAGTTTTGAAAAAAGCGAGTGATGGCTACTTTTTAATTAACTGTTGTAAATGTACTCGAGCTATGCATCTCCAAATTATGTATTTCTTACATTCAACCTCATAATAAATTTCATCCAATTTGATGAGAGCAAAGTTTAAAACCCTGTCTATGAAAGGAATTAATTATTTTCTAAATTAAGCTCTCTAATATTTGTTGATACATTTTTTGATTCTAAATTCTTTTTTAAATCTTTCATAAACAATAAACTTTCATCTTAAATCTTTTATCCTACTTCATTCAGTAGTAATTCTATTTTGAATTTTGTCTTGTTTATGATGTGTCTTAAATCAGAGTTCTTTCTCTATTTAATTATTTTTGAATAATTATTTATTAAGAATTCCAAAACTTAATAACTTAAACTCTCTCAAATTTCAAAGTAAATATAAAATATAAATATATGCTCAAATATTGATGATTTTAGCTGAAAAATTCAGAATAGAACCTCAAAAATTGATATCTAGTTAAATGAGGTTATATATTATTTCATTTAAAAATTTCTTGATCGAAGAAAATTGTTTGATGTTTTAGGTTTTAATATATTATTAAAAAAAAGTAAGAAAAAAATTTTTTTAATGAATTAGAACAGTAGATATAGTAGAGAATGGGGAAAAAAGAAAAATAATTATAAAGGATAAAAAAGTAAATTTAGACTAAAATAATTAATTACAAAGACATCAAGTATCGATGAGTCAACAAAGTGAGCCTTGGCACATTTAATAAATATAAAGTTCTTCATTTTGAAATCTTCAGATTTCTTTTCAGAGTTAACTGAAATCCAAAATTTCAGTAAATTTTAAACAAAAACATTAGTGATTCTTGTATCGTTAATGTTAATGATTTCTAGGTTTTTGAAAATATCTTTTTAGATCTATGGATTTTCAAAGCTGAATTCATTTAGAACTAGTCTTCCCATACTATTTAGGTTCATTTCAAATATGTTTTATACCATGTGCTATAGATTGACAATAAATTAATTAAAGACATCATCTGTAACTAAATGAGAGCAATCTTATAAAATTTAAAAAACATCAAAATTTTCACAAACCTTTCTCTGTTTATTCTAATCAGATTTAAAAATATCTAAGATTCCTCCAAAATTAAAATTAAATTTGGACTTAGATGAATTATCCTTGCTTGATTTCTTTGATTTTTTCATCATTTCTTTTTCTTTCTTTTTTATTTCCTCTTTTCTCTTCTTTTACTATTCTAATTCATCTTTCATTCGTTTTTTCTCATTTTCTAGCATCTCTTGTTTCTACTCTTCGCTTACTTGGAATCTCTTTGTGAATATTTAAGCATAAGATTCATTTGCTAATCCATCTATCATTGACTCAATACCTCTAGTTGTGAGTTAGTTGCAGTCTTTGATACTCATATACTACAAGGTTCTTAAGAGTTTATTGTTTTAATCACTAAAAAATCTAGCACATGCTTCGTCATCAAAATTAGTTCTTTTCAAATCAATATAAACCAGATTCTTTTCAGGTAGCATCCTTAAATTAGATAACTCTTTGGAGGATGCTTTAATTGTATTAATCTTTAGCTTGCATAGCTAAGAAAAATTATCATAGAAATATGTTATAAATCTATTCAGAGAATCATCAAACAAATTTGTTTAGCTCATGTCTAGTATTTCCAAGCTAGGCAGCTAAACGTATTTAAAGAATCCTCTTATTTTAAACCCTCTTATCTGTTTGCACGATCTGATGGATAGATGTCTCAAGTTTAAATGAATACTTTCTGCCTCTTATGCTTCTAAAATAGAAACACTATTTGACTTATCATAAGCTTTTCGCTTATGAGAAACCCAATATTCTTGTAAACTATTTTCTTTAGATTAAGACGATTCTAATAAAATGTCTATAAATTTATTACAGACTTTAGTATTCGAAAGATCAATATAAGCACATCTGTTAAGTAGTCTATGCTTAAAGAGTTCTTCAATCAAAGCAGAATTGACAAAGCTGCAATCAGAAAAATCTAAATGGACAATAGAGGGACTCTTTTTACTAATTAGCTTAAGTTTTTAATAATCTTTATGCACATCTCCGCTATTATTTAACTACAATTAATCTCTCTAAACTAATTAACTTTCTTTATCTTGGTATTCATTATCATTTATTAGTCCAAGTTGACTCAATTACTACCTTATAAAGAGATTTCCTTTAAAATTTAAAAATAAATTAATATTTAATTAATTTTAAACTTTTACTTTTATTTTCTAAGATGTCAATAATAAAAGTTGAAATTTAACAATTTATGCAATCCATATTTTTCATATTAATGCATCTCAAAGTATCTATTTAGGTCAAATATTTTAATCCTTTCAGAGTAATCTTTTATTTTTTAAATATAAAATTAAATAGCTGCTTTAATATTTATTTTTTTATTTACTTATGTCTTGGAAACGTCAATTTCTTGCAAGCTAAATGAAACTACAGAGTTATCTGATACAGTTGTACAGAATGAATCATCTATATTGGTTTTTGATACATTTAAGCTTTTCAAATTTTAAAGCCTAGTACTTATAAGTAAAGTTTTTAACTCTTTCATGTCTATGAAGCAACCTTTGAAACTAATAACTTGTATCTTAGAAAGGCAGTCCATATGTCTTAAATTTATTAAACATTTAGATGTGATGTTGCAATATTTTAACTTTAGAATTTTAAGTTCTCTCAAAGAATAAGGAAACATATTATTAAATGTGATGTTAGCGACTAAAGAATCCTTAGCTTCTTTTTTATCCTTCCTTTACTTCGCACTAATATCGAATCCATTATAAGAAATTGTTTTAATATTTGTATAATAATCAGAATTAAGAGGAAGACTATCGAAATCATGGCAGACACTATAATCAAATGATAGTCTTTCTAAATTGCTTTTGATATCTAAAAATTTTTCATCACTCTAGATAACTTCAGATTGTATTTCTTCTTCCTAATCCTAATCTTAGTTGCTCTCAGAATACTCGCTATCATTTTCATTTTCATTATCTGCTCTGTTTAGAATTTAATTCTTTTTAGCTTCGTTGTATAGCCCTATTTAAGATTTCTTAGTAAAATTTCTGAACTAAAGCATTTAATTTAGTATTTGCCCTTGTTCACCCTAAAGAATTGGATGCTTCTTTATTTTGATTTTTCTGAGTTATCTATCAAAAATATAAATTTATTTTTAAATATTTATTTTATTTACTTGTAATAAAAAAAATTAAAAAAAAAAATATTTTATAAAAATTGAATTAAAATAAAATAAAAATTTGCTTTTTAATTTTTTACTATCTATCTATTCTACATTTTTATTTAAATGAGAAAGAAAAAAATAACTTCACTAAATCATTTAAATTTTCCATTCAAAATAGTTGTAGAAATTTATATTATTTATTAATTGTATTTACTTATAAAACTATGAAGCTGCGAATTAGATGAGAGTAGTTGATCTTAAAAATGTGACTCCGATCAGAGAAAGACCGTTACCTTATTTTTTATTTTCTGGTTCTAAAAAAGAGTTATTATCCCAGTCTTTCAGGCAATCCAAAGCACTTGGGGAAAGATATTAACATTTTTTTAACTAAATTTCTACATTTATAAATGAATAGGTCTATTTAGTGCTAGATGAATTTTTGTTGTTTGGGTTCTATTTATAAGCAAGTTGTATTAAATTCGTTTTTTATAAAATATATTTACATCATCAACATGCGATTTCTATGCATTAATTTAATCTAATACATCTTATAGATTCTAATCACTAATAGGGCATTCTTCAACTGCGATAAACCCTAATTGCTTAAAGTCTACCTAATTGAAAAACTCTCTGATTAGTTAGTTCGAGCACTTCTTAATTGCTAAATAATTGGCATGATTTATTAGAAAGGTATCAGAGATTTTAGAAACCTCTGAAAAATCGATATGGTTTTTGAAAAAAAATTTAATTTTTTGGCATACGAAATTTTCATTAGCCTAAATTTCACTTGAAACTAATTCGCTTTCTCGCATTTTTTCATAAGCTTCATTTAATGTTGCCACACAATAAGTTTTTTTCTTTAAATTTGTTCCTAACTCTCCAATCCTAAAGTCCTATAAACATGAAAATAAGAATTAATTTTATTAATTTGCATAAAAAAAGATTTCATACCTACTCTACTGTTTAGTGATAGTAATCATAATCGAGAGCTGCTACCATGTCCTAAATAAAATATAATAATAATAATTATTTTATTAAAAATAAAATCAGGAAAAGGATAAAGATTATTTTGAAATATACATATTCACTGTCTATTTGTCTCTTGTAAAGGTAGAAAGCTATCTGCTTGTTGAGCTTTAAGACAACCTTTACATAAATTTTATTCATTCCAAACATATCTACTAATATAATAAATTTATGTTAGATTGAATAGCTAATATTTTGTAAGTAGAATTAATGTTTTTCTTAATATTATGTTGAGTTTGTTTAAATCAATAAGTTACTTAGTTATTAAAAAAAAATATTTATTATTATTGTTAAATTAGATCAACATTTGCATTTATTTTAAATCATAATGATACGAAATCTGCTTTTAACAAATATAATTTATATTTAAATTTACATTAGATAAAAAAAACAAAAACTCAATAGAAATAAGAAATTTTGAAATATTATTTCCATTATAGCTATGATGACTGCTGCATTGCTCTAACTAATTAAATTAAAAAAGTAAATTAAGGAATATATTTAAATTTCCTAATTCACTAAATAAATAAATAACTAGTTGCTTTAATTTCTCTAAATAAAATTTCTACAAACCTTGTTTTGTGTTTAGTTTCTTTCATGTGACAAGCAGCTAAAGTTTTTTTTACCTAAATTTCATCTTTTGTTTCTATAAGTTAGTTATAGGGATTTATAAAATTTTTTGAAAATATTTTTAGTGGTAATTTAGTAAGTATAAAAATAACTATGAAATTTAAGTTTTTAATTATTGATAAGTCCTAAATTTACCCAAATTTTGGTATTTTTTCAAATTTTACTTAAGAACTTTGTGTAACTAACATTCATTCTAATTATTCATGAATAAAAGTTGTCAATTTTTTTATGTAAATAAAGGAAATAAATTTTTTATGATATGAAAAAAAAAAATTAATATATCATTAAAATCAGTACTAATTTTAATTAATGTTAATAAAAGAATTGTGTTTACAAATTATAAATAAGTTAACAAATCTCATAATTATTAATTGACTTTTAGATTAAAAATAAACAAAAAAATATGTATTTATTTTTATATTTATAAACATCAAAACAAATTTTTATTTTATTTCAAAATAATTTTTGCTTAATTATTCATCAAAATTTCAGTTTTTTGTTTTTTAATAATTATTTTAGGCTAAAATTTGCTGTCAAGTAAAAATTTAGAAAAAATCAGTTAAATCTAAGTAATCAAATGACAACGATTTTTAAAAATCAGGCTGGTTTAAATTTACTATAATAATTGCTTCCGCTATTATTTATTCTTAGTTAGAATTAATTAGGACTACTTTGATTCATATTTTTTTTGAACGTGAATAATTACTTTGTATCATCCAAGACATTTGAGGATGAAAACTCATTTAAATTTATGCTAACGTTACCTCCTGTTACGCTTATTGCTTGATTAGTGTTTAAAGGACTCATTTATATTGCTCTATCCTAAGAAAACTTACTTTTAGAGGGAGTTACTGTATCAGAAAAAAATTTGACAGAATTATTTCCTTTAGATATTGGTGTATCTAAGCTTTGCATATCATTAGCGGCTTATTGTATTCTCTACTCATAAAGCTAAACTTCTTTCTAAAAATATTTTTTAATTGTGATCATTTCTCTACTTTTTATTAAGTATTCTATTCTCCATGCCTGCTTTCCTCTTGACTCTATTCTGTACATAAAGTACAAAGATATTATCACAACCCACAATATTGGCTGCCATGAAATAAAGTCAAATACAGAATTTATGTAATTTAAAGAGTTTATTTTTGATGAAATAGATTCAGCAACTGTTGTATTTATATCCAAAGGACCGCATATCTTTAAACTGTTTTAAGAATATTATTTTCCTTGAAAATATTCTGCCTAGACTTAATAGCACATAATAGCAAAATATATGAGAGATAATATGTTGCTCATTACATAAAATTTGACAAGTTTTTATTGTATAAATTATCTTGAAACGCTTGAGAAGTTTTAATATTTCAGTTTCGTAATGACCAACCAGTTGAAACCAAAAATAATTAAATGCGTTAGACAATTAAAAAGTGTAATCAAAGGAAAAATAGGAATGAGTATGTTTGTCATCATAACCAAAACAATGAGTTAATAGGAATCTTCAACTACTTTAAAAGGAGTCAATTTTCTGATTTGCTATTCTTTTTACTTTGTTCCAAATATCAATGCAAAAAAGTTTGGAATTACCATGCTAATTAAACACCATACTGCCTAAGCAAAATAAAGCGACAAAATTGAGTAAACAAGCTATTCAGATGTACATTCATATTTGGATGTTATATAAACAAAGTTATTTTGTAACCCTATCAATCTGAGATCTTAGTCTGAAAAGCTAAGAGGACTTAATTTCAAGCATGTATAAAAAAGTGCTAAAGAATGGATTAAATATTGTTTCCACACTTTTACATGGCAAGAAAGAGTGTATGTGTTCCAGTTCTCAAATTAAGTCATAAAATACGAAATCTAAGCTGAGACATAAGCTATGAATACACATGTAAAAGTAAAAACTAAAGGCATTTTTAGTATTATTGTTGATTGAAAAAAATCCATTTGATTTAAATAGTGAATCAAATAAAGTCCTCCAAGCACTAAGAATATTTATATTGCTATGACTAATATCCTTAACAGATATATCCAATTTCCATATTTTTTTCTCCTTTCTATAAGCTATCCAGTTAAACTCCAAGTCAAATGCACTCTTTACTTCAAAGCAATCTGTTACCTTTTCATAAAATCTATTTTATTTTATAAAAAAAAACATTTAGATTAATTGTTTAATTTAATTTATCTAATATCATAATAATATTTATTTATTTTTTTAACATATTGCTTGTATATTACTTAATTTATAGTATTGAATTTTTGAAGGTAGATAAACAGTTATTAAAACCAATTATTAATTAATTAATTACCATAGTTTCTTAGACGAAAATTGACGGAAGAAAAAACAAGTTTAAAATTTTCTAACTCTTTAAAGGATTAAGCTTCACTTTAAATTTCCTTTCTATGCATATGAGAAACTCTTTAGTAAAGTAAAAGAATACTGAGTATTATAAATACAATGAATATGGCAATATACACTGATAAGTTATTTTTGTTGTATTCATGATACATAAAAATCGCGAAAGGAGAATTCAAACTGATATCTGGCTAGTTTGATAAAATTTATATAATAATAAAAGGAAGAAAGAGTATGAAGAACACAAAGGAAGAATTAAAGTGCATAGCTATGCAACCAAAATGAAGTTACTCATTTTTAGAATAATAATTAAGAATTCGGTTAACATATCTACTGAGCGGATAATTATTAGTAATATAAGTTTTAGTTTAATTAAAGCAATTATACTTTTTTATAAGCGCTTGCTACAATTCATAAGGTAGATGAAATACTTATTCGTTTTAATTTTACTAATCTAGTGCTTATTCTAAAAAGCTTCTTCTCTCAAGATTTAGATTTAGAATTGAGCCTTTCCTCACTTTCAATTTTTCTTTTAACCTTTCTAACTAAGTTTTATGTTTCACAACTTTATTTTCTAAAATGTACTTTTAAGTATTTAGATACTCAATATCCTTTTATTTCTCTAATATGTCTTACTTTTTTTCTAAGTCAAGAGCAAGTACTTGTTATTATTGCTTTTCTAACTTTTACTCTAAATCTTCAATAACCAAATTTTACTAATCAAGTAATCTTGCCTTACTTTTCAAATCTTAAAGATTTTATGTGTTTACAACAGTTTTAGAAGGTCCTTTTTTTCTCTAAAACTACCTCTTCATTTAATAATCATCTTATTTGTTATTATCTTGAATAAAATCTCCTTCCAATTGTTCATCTCTGTTATCTTCTTCATCCTCATCTACATCAACTGTCTTTCTAAATTTTACAATACTAGTTGGTTTTCTCAATTTTGACCTGTTGTTCATATTAAAGTCATCTCTTTCACTATTATCTAGAACAATTTACACCTTTTTTTTTACTACTGAATCTCCTTCATTCTTTTTACTGAAAGTCTACTATCGTTTTTTTTTTCTTTTTTATCCTTTGTTTATTTATTTTTCGCTATTTAATGAAACACTTCTCTCACTTTCGCTATCACTTTCGCTTTCGCTTTCACTTTCACTGCTGTTAGAGGAAGAATCTTATTTTTTACTTTTACTTTTCTTTTGTTTTCTCATTGATTAGTAAATATTTACTTCAAGTAGAATAATTAATTTTCTGTTTGTAAGTTCAATTAAGAGGATAAGTCTTTTCTTGTAATTTAATTTCTTTAAAAAATTAATATAAATAATTTTTAATAGTAACTCATCACTCTCTTTGCAAATAGTTTTTTTAATATTATTTAATTAATTTTAGAAGAATATTTAAAACCAGTAATTTATAATAATATGCAACAAAAGAAATCTTAGTTTAGGTACTAAGCAATTTTAAAGTATTAAAACAAAATGTTTAAAAATTATTCTTAAAATCTATTTTTTTAAATTCTTGAATGTATTTTAATTCATAAATATGTTTTATAATAAAATTTATTTTACAAATCAAAATTAATTGAAAGAATTTATTTATAAATAATAATTTTAAAATAATTTATCAAGCCACTCTAAAATTATTTTGAAAGTTTATTTATATTTATTTTATTAAAAAATCATTTTAAATTGAAATATTTTTTATTTATTTAAATTTAGACATAAAAATACTTTAGAAATTTCAAAGAAGGCGCCTTTTCTGCACATTTTATATTCATAATAAAAATATATGAAAGATACTCAGAAACAATTTAGATTTTAATGAATTAAATCAACTTTTGAATGAAAATACATAGGTAAAAAACAAACACCAAACTGATAATCAAAATCAAAGAAAAAAGCATAGATTGAATGTAAAATATAACCCTATATAAAAATCATATGTAAAAAAAATAAATAATAGAATCAAAATGAATAAGAAAGCAAGACGACTTGCTTTTCATTTAGTATGAGTAAAAAAAGTAGGTTTGCTGTGAAATATAATTAACAAAATAAGAAGAGAGCAAAGATTTATGAAAAAAGAAAGCATTCAATTAATATCAAAATCAATTAATCAAATTCATATAAATTAATTGAATAATCAATTAAAAAAGAAAAATATTTGATATTTTAATTATATGGAAGAAGAAATTTCAGAATTTTAGGGTGAACTCTCCTTGGATAAAGGGAGACACAATAATTAAAAGGATATAGATGACGAAGAATCCACTTAGCAATAGAATAAAGGATGGTTGAGTAACTTGCATCGCGAGTCAAGGGTTGGAGAGAAGGAATATTAAGCTCAAATTCCTGATCTTCTTTACCAGAATGAACAGCAGCGCAATTAAGTTTTTAAGAAACATAAAAGGCTTTATGAGCCTTATATAAATGAACTGTAAACTTACACTTACAGGAATAACTTGAGCGAGTATGAAGTTAAAGAATATCTCAATTTTGCGAAATGCATATCCCTTAAGGACAATAAGAATGACAATGAAGGTTTATTAATAGGCTTGCCTTCTTCCGATTAAGTGGAAGCAAATGCACTCAATTTCTTGGCAAAGTGCGACTATTAGGTGGTTAAAGCAAAGTTTTACCTTGTTTTCCCATCTTTAATGTATTTCAATGCATACAAATCCAAAATTTAGAAGCCTGTTTCTTTAACTGAGCAAGAAATGCAGGAAAAGATTGATCAATTCGTTTCTTAATTGTAAGAAACTAAATTAGGTAAAATATGCAATTATTAACACAATATAAAGTTGAATAAATTAGGCCAACTCTTTAACTACGAAAGGAAAATTATTTGCATTTGGGTTAATCAGGACAATAGAAAGCAATATTTCAGTTTAGAAATAAAGAATTTTCATGATTGTGCCCAGCATGCACCCTCTTTTAATTTTTATAACTTGATATTTATAGTAGATAAAGTATTTTTAAAGCCAAAAAAAGCCTATATAAAAAGCTGCTTTTGTAAATGGAAAATAACTAAATAAATACTTTTTAAATTTATGGATAGGTTAGCATGAAAAATGGAAGCAAGAATTGAACGAATTGCTAGAAACAAGAAATTAGATACAAAAGGTAATCCATATTTTTAATTCTAATTTCACAATTATGGAGAATAGAGCAGAGCTTCTTAAGCAAAAGCAAGGAGAAGAAGATTAAAATAAAGGAAAAAATAAAAGAAAATAAAGAAGGGGTAAAAAGGAATTTTAAATTATGTTGATTATTTCGCAAATTAATGGCAAAAGATGATAGAAATTACAGTACTTATTTAGGATTTATGATTAGAATAGGGTGAAAATCAATATATTATGAGGAAAAATCTCATAAATAAGACAACTTTTTTTATTTTTAAATAATATTTTGGCACTCATTTTATTCTAAAAGTTCCTTTTATTTTATTCTTTTCAAAACTTCCTTCCTTAGAGCTTGTATTTTCTTTGCTTTCTCGCTCGCATGCTCTTCTCCTCATTAATCAATAAACTCCTCTCTGATGATATAATTTTATTTATAATTAAAATTCACAACAAACAAATAATGCTAATTTTATTTATGTAATATAGATCCATACTCATTTAGAAGCTGGAAAGCAACTACGCTATGAAATTCCAGATTTTATAAAAGAGGTCTTTGATAAAGCTTAAAAATTTTCAAAAGAGCTCAAAAAGATTATGCAAGACCGTGCTACTCTAGAAGAGCTTGAATAAAAAAACCAGATATCTCTAAATGAGCATAAAATTATTACAAATGAAATGATTTAATTTGAATAAAGTAATTTACTTTTAATAATTTTCTTCATATAAAAACTGTCACTTTTGAATAGTAAATCTTAAATATCAATTAAACCTACATTTTTTATTAGTCATTTTAATTTAAAAAGTTCGAAATAGGGTATTAATAAATTATTTGGTTTCAATAATAGCAAAAAGCATTGATAAATAATTAAAGAAATAACTTTCAATTTCAAAGAAATTAGAACAAATAATTGCTATTAATTTAAGTTAAAGCAAATAATAGGAGAAGCAAGCTTGATACAAATAGATAAATAAATAAATAATCTATCATTTCAATAAAATTAAACAAAAAGAAAAATTATGCCTATAACTAAATAAATAAACACAGAGCAAATTAAATTAACTATCTATCAAACAAATTAAAATTTATATTGACAAAAAATAAAAATAAGTTAAGTTCTTAATCAAATCACTGAAGCATCTTTAATCACAAATTAAATATATTCCTTTCATTTCCTTTGATTTTTAAGATTAATACGATATCATTTCATCAAATAAAAATAACAAATCAAATTTTGAAAACCCTTTTAAAATGATTTTTTTATAATATTTTAGGCATTTAACGTTGCAGAGACTGGCTTTAGAGATTAGAACCCTATTATGCAGATTAAGATAAAATTAATTTAAAAAATCTTAGTGGATTTATTAACGAATATAAAGTAATAAGTTAATTTTTAATTATTTTAAATAATGAGAATTTTAAATATTTTTATAAATAGAGTTTGCCTCTTAAATGTGATAAATTTGAAAAGAGATTTAAGTATGTTTATGAATAATCTCTAGACCTCATAGAAAAAATTCCAAACTTCTCAAGGATTTCTAAAACCAGAGGCACAAATAACCACGAGAGAATAAATATTAAAGAAGCTATCAAAATATTATAATAAATATAAAAGTTAAATGTTTATTGTGAAGAATTCGACTCATTTGAGTGCGCTTTGATCATTACTCTCGAAAAAATAAACAATTTATAAATGCATCTAAATGATGAAAGACTTGTTTTTACTATAGATTTATTAAAATAGCTAATGAATGTAAGAAAAAACTTAAAAAAAAGAATTGAAAAATTAAATATTTTTTTATATTACTAATAGGAAGCATCAGAACTAAATTTTTAAAGTCCTATTTAAGATTAAATCTAAGATCTTTACACTTATTACAAATTAATAGAAAAAATAAAAAAGTAGATTCATGATAATTCTAAACTTTCATCTTTGCTTGAAGAAATCACTAAAGGAAAGGAGAGAGGCTTTTAGTCATAGGAATTAGATTCATTAGAGGCTCAAATCATCAAAACTATTGAATGGTAATAAAATTATATCAAATTTAAATGTTACTTACAATAATTTTAATTAAAGGTTCAAAAATTTTGAGAAACTTAGAGTAGAGAAAAAGAATGTTCCTGAAAAGAAATTCTACAATAATTTTAAAATAGACCAAAATGAGTATAAAAAACTATAAACTTTAGAAGAGATGAAGCTTTAATCTTAACAATTAAAAATTGAAGAGAAATCTCTTAAGGAATTCAAAGAAATTTTGAATGAGATACAAAATTGGAGAGATAATTGGAATTAAATGAAAAATTAATAATCTGAATAAGAAAAATCTAATGAAAATACCTCTTAAACTGATAAAAACAATAATTTAAATATTTCAAAAGAAGCCATGGAATTAGAAGAAAATAATTAAAACGAACAAGGAGAAACTCCAAATCTAGAGAAATTCAAAGCAGATTCTTTTGATGAGCTTTTCAAATTTATTTAAAAAGGTCTAACATTTGGTAAGCTAAAGATTATTTTATTTTTCATATTAACAGTTATTTTTTTAAGGAATATAAACTCCTGAACTATTGGAGAGCATAGAATACTACAAGAGAGGTGTTAGTTGGACTATTTCTAGTTTAAGCTATATTAATGAATACTAATCTACTCAAACTAAATCAGATATTCTTACTGATAATTTATTTAGTCAACTGCAAGAAGTCTTTAACAAAAATAAATATGAAAATGAACTGAATGTCAAAAATAAGCAAAATTATGAAAAGCTAGACATTTATTTAGAGTTTCCCAGAATTCCTTCCTTCTGTTATAAATCTTAACAATACAATTACTTGAAACAATTAAAGTAAATTATTATTTTTGTCAGAATAATTTTTAAAATTCATCATTATTTATAGAAATGATGTAGTGCAATTGGAGAAGGAAGTTTAAGAAATAATTGATTTGGATCTGGAAGAGTTGCAATCTTTAGATTACTTTTCAGTATTGGAAACTATTCCAAAGCTAGATGAAAGACATAAAAAACTACCAATGAATAATGCTAACATTAAAAAATTGTGGAATATTTATGTACTTTAAAAGTGGGGTAAAGAAGCTATGTTAGCTAATAAATACATAAATGAAGAATTTAAAGATAACAAAAATCTTTAAGAACTACTTAAAAAGGAAGGTATCCTCGAATTTATCTCAATTGTTGATTAATTAGCTTAATAGCTTTAAAAGTCTGACTTGTAAGAATTCATAGACTCATGTAAATAAAGTTGGACTTAAATTGATCAAAAGTTTAGCCGTCTATTAGATATCATCTTGAAGAATCCTATATAAGAGACTCAAACTCTGGTAGAAAGTAGCTAAGACAATGATAAATGGACTTACCAAAGGATCAAAACACTTCTAAAAAATGCTTAAAACTTTACTTTGAAAAACGAATTCTTGAAATTGTTTTAAGATATCTAATCTTACATAGATTAAACTGATTTGTGGATTTCTAATTTTTATACAAAAACAATATGCAAAAGAACTATTTATACAAAAGGTAATTTTTTTTTAGAGAGAAAGACAATTAAGATTTTCTTTGAAATATAATAAATAGATGGAAAAAAAATAACAAAGAAAAAAGGAATTAACTTAGATGATTTAAATTTGAGTCCTTTACTTGAGAGAAAAGCTTCAAATGTTGACTAATTACCTGAAAACTAGATATCTAGACAAAGTTCTAGATATTTTGGAGCTTTTGAGCTTGATAAATAAGACACTATCAATGAAAAAAAGGAAGATAATGAAAGTGAAAAAATTTAAATTGACTAATTTTCTGCTGATATTAATAATAATGACTTCTCTAAAAACGATAAAATGTATATAGAAAACCAAGAATACCTGGAAGAAGATAAAAGCGGATATAATTCAGTAAAGAAAATATACTCTGAATATAATGATGATACTAAAATGGACTTAGAAAACCTCAACAAGGACACACCTTACAAATCAAACTCTGTTGCAAAAGAAGACCTTTTAGATGCAGACATGACTAATAAAGAAGAAGAGTCTAATATAAATGATGAAAAGAGTGAAAATGGCTTAAATCGAAGCTATATCTCCAAACATGGAACAAAAATAAATAAAATGCTCGAAGATTCTGAAACAAATAAATAAACTAAAGATGTAAGATACTTTATCTCATATTTACAAATTATTATTAAGATTAAATTAATTATATGTTTTCTTTTAAATTATTTATTAAATTAATTATGAAAAAAAAAGGCTGAAAAGAAATAATTAAAAAAGAGCAAAATAAATACATTTAACTATTATTTGAGCTACCCAATGATACTCATTCAATTCTACCAAGGACTCATTAGAGATATAAATAATTAAGAAATGATTATGGCACAGAATAAAATGATTGAGCTGATAAAGTACAAAATAAAAGCAGGAGAACTTTTAAAGAGAAAGTAAATTAATGGATTTTAGTTAATAAAAAATATAATAATATTTTTTTTTAAAAGACCTACCTTAGAAGAGATGAAAAGTTATATTAATAGAGGTGAAAATTATAATTGTTATATTCCAGAGCTAAGTATTATGAAAAAAATCAATAAATGGGCTAACTAATGGGTCAAAATGGCTAGATAAATTTTAGATTCTATTTCCAAGAATAAAAAAAATTTAAATAACACAAAACTAAAATCTAAAGATGTTCTCCCGTTAGATTTCTGTGAAGAGAAGTATATGCTAACTTTTGATCCAAACTAAATGTGTGTGATTATAACACCAAGAAAAAAGACAGAGTCAAGTCAAGCTCAACCAAAAACAATTGATTTAAAGAAGAGTAATTTGGTTTTAAATCTAAATTATATTTATATATTTTATTTTATAAAAGAGAATGAATCTGGATTTTTTGACGGAGATTTAGAATCTTAAATAAATTACTTGATTAATAACGAGTAACAGCAAACAAAGGAGTTAGAGTAGAAATAAAACACAGCTATGTAGTTAAAAGCTGGGCCTGGAAGAAAGTCAACTACTACTTAGCTGAAGCCAACTGGCAAAAGAAATATGCCCAACAAGTATATTAAATCTCACTCTAATAGTTCTTAGTTACAAAATTAAAATCGTCCAAAGAGAAATTCACAAATTCCAAAGCATTTAATTTAAGGATAATACCATCTAGACACTCCAAAACTGACTCCTGACTTACCCAGCTAAAGTCCATCTAATTCTCAATAAATTTAAAGTATAAGACTTACTCCTGTTAAAGTAGGTAAAGGCATAAAAGAAGCTACTATTGAGAAGGTAAAAAGAAAATATGTTCGCAAAAATCAAATTGACACAATAGTAGAATAGCCAGAATTGAAGAAGAAAAGATTAATAAGTAAAGATGGTTCTAAATAGATTGTAATTGAAGATAGAAACATGCCTTTACAGGATAAAAGGCTAAAGAAATCTTAGCTGAAGTAAGCTGAATTACTACAAGCGAATGGAATAGATGCAGAAGTCCAATAATAAATTGCATAGATTTCATAACTTCATTAGCATTCCCATATATAAGTTATTTAAGAAGATGAAAATAAGGCTTATTGTATCTGCAGAGGTTATTCGGGAGAAGAATCAATAGGATGCGATGGATGCTAAGATTGGTTCCACTTTAGCTGCATAGGTCTAAAGCCATAGTTAGGCAATGTTCTAAAAAAATACTACTGTATGGGATGCTGCAAGAGGTTTAACAGACCTTACCTATAAGGACACAAAACTGAGTTCATTTGGGATTCTACTGAAAAAATATCGATTGACTAATTTAACGAAATAGTAAAAGAAGGTCTTTCATTACCATTACAAATCAAGGAAATAGATCTCATTCTTGAGCTTAAACTGAAAGGTAATTTATTTGTCTATTATAAATAATAATATTTTTTTATTTTCTTAAATTAATTTTTCTAAATAATCATTTAGTTGACGAGTAATTACTAGAAATGTCTACTTTGATTGAAAGAGGACCTGACTTGCTTAAAATAATTGAAGTAAATTGATTTGAAATATAAAATATATCAAAAGAATTTAATTAAATATATGAATTGGATTAAAGTTAATTCTTTATAATAAAAGCTGTACGAATAGGCATAGAAGTTAGATAGTGATTAAAATTGTGAGCAAGTTGAAGAACTTAGGAGATAAGAAGAGGAAAAAGATAAACAACTATTTTAATGCTATTTAGCTCGTAAATATAAATTAGTTTATTTTTTATTGGTTTAATTTAAAAAAATAATATCTTTTTAGATTTTGGATTTCCTATCGATTTTCCACAAGCTGATTAGCTTCTTTTGTTAATTCAAAGAAGAGACTTTACTAGATAGATTTTAAGACATCTTTATTCGAATAAGCTTCCATTAATTGAATAATTTTTCAATTAAGTATAAAAATTATTCGATTTAAATAAAATCCTTGTTGAATCTAGTTAAGATCTTTGCTTATACAATCACTTAAAACAGATATACGAAGTAAATAAAATTGTAAACAAAGAAAAAAAAAATTTATAATTTAAAAAAAAAATAGAATTCGATGGAAGTAAAAAGTAAGCTAGTTTAATTAAGTAAACAGCAGGTTGATTTAGAATAGTATACTGTATTATTTATGTAGATTGAGAAAAAGTAGCTTATAATACCAAACTTAAAAGAACATAAGTAGCTGGTAACAAAAAATATTCTATTTAGATTTTTAGAATTTACCTAATATATTCTTCAAAACAAACAAGGTCGATGATTTCACAAAATGGCAAAATGAAGCATAAAAATTAATAAATATCTTTAGTAGCATGAACAGATACAATAAATAATAACTTGAAATAGAATTAAAAAATCTAATTGAGAGATATGAAGCTCGTATTATGATAAAGAGTAAGCTAATTACCAATTTGAAAAATATTCAATAACAACTTCAACAAGAGCCATAAATCAATCAATAGCAATAAATGTAATAAAATATTGGATACTAAATGAATCAGAATAGCTAATTTAAGGCCATGATTCATCCTCCTCCTCCACCATACTCTGAATAATAAATTTAAATAAATAACTAAAAATAAATTCGTAATCAAATTTTAAATTAAATGTAAAACTTCAACTACGATAACTCTGAAAACTAATTCCCATAAAATACCACTGAAATGAGAAATGTCTATTAACAAAACCATCGCTATCCTAATGCCATGAGTATATTTTTAAAAATTATTATGTTAATGTATAAAATAAAAATTTATAGTTACAGGCAACGAAGACGAAGAAGATGAAGACTCAATAAAATCTTTTGTAGAAGATTCAAATGAAGAATATGGAGAAGATTTTGATGATGAAGGAGAAGCTGAAAATTAAAACATAAATAAACATGGTGTTTTGTATTACTAGAATGGGTATGAATACTAGAATTTAGCATAAAATATGCAAAATAGCTAAGATGATGATAATGAGGAAGAAGAAGTTGAAGAAGAAGATGATGATGACGAAGAAGAAGAAGATGATGAAGAAGAAGAAGAAGAGGAGGAAGAGTAAGAAGAAGATTAAGGAGAAGATGGTGATGATGATTATGAGCAAGAAGAATAAAATTAATAGCAATAATTAGAAATGCAAAATAGAGCTTTTGAGCAAGATAATTAAGAAGAAGAAGATGATGATGAAGATAATGATGAGAATGAAGAAGAAGAATAAGAAGAAGATGAAAATGACGATGATGATGACAACAACGATGAAGAAGAAGTTGAAGATTTTGAAGAAGAATAAGAATATGATGAAAATGAGGAAAATTAAAATAGTTATAATAAATTTAATTAAAATGAAGATTTTTAAGAAATTGAGAATGATAGATAAGAAATGGAATAAGAAAACGAAGATGAAATTGATGAGGAAAATGAAGGTGTAGAAGAGGAGGTAGAAAATGATGAAGAAGATGATGAGGAAGAAGAAGAAGATGAAGAAGAGGAGGAGGAAGAAGATGAAGAAGACGAAGAAGAAGTAGATGATGCTGGATAAGAAAATAATAAATAAAATATTTAAAATGAAAATAAAATAGATTCAATAAACTTAGTTTAAAGGGAATAATAATAGTAAGTAGATTCTAAATAAATAATTAATAACAATAAATTAGAATAACATTAAGGTAAATACAAAGATGTAACAAATTAGAGTCCTTCGAAAAAAATTTCATAAACAAATGGTAGAAGTGAAGATAACTTTCAAATAAGCATGAACCCAATAAATTTAGCAAATAATAACAACCATCAATATAATGATAGTAATGTAAATCCAAACGGAAATAAAAAAAATTACATGTATAACGGAGAAGATTTCTCATCAATAAATATGAATATAATACAAAATTAAAATGGAGATAACCATATAAATAATTCATACATCCCTAAATCTGATAACAATAACAACAACAACAAATGAATGATTGATAAAAATCAATTAATAATTTAAATATAATTAATAAAATGTGTAAAATAATTAAATAATTCAATAAACAATAAAATAATTAAATCAACAAGTATTAACTTCATCTACTAAAGAAACTTAAATAAATTAATAAAAATATTATAAGTATAATATTATAATAATATTAACTTTTAATTTGTATAATACATACATATACTAAATTAATTAATTAATTAACTAATTGATTAGAATAATTATTTTAATATTTCTAAAATTAATACATAATTTAATTAATTGATTCAAACATTTATAAAAATTATTTAATTTAATATTGATTTATATTATTATAATAAAACTAATTATTTTATCAACTAGCTTTAAAAATTCAGTTAAAACTTTAATTACTTAATCGTTCATTCATTTTTAATTTAGTTTTATTGTTTAGATCATGAATTAGTAATTTGTATGGACAAATATTATCTATTTTTCAAAGCACTAAGATTAAATTTATCAAAATTGAAGATTTTTATTATTTAAATAATTTAAAAATAAATTAATAAATATAAAGAAATTAATTAACTATCTTAGATAAATTCCAAACAACAAAGTCAAACAAATTATTTCATATAAATAATAAAATTAATAGTAAAATAATTATATTTATTTATTTAGTATCAGTAAAACTTATGTTTTAGGATAGCGAAAAGCTTACATAATTATTATTCAAAGTAGATAATATTGGAGATATGCTAAACTATTTCTGTTTAATTTATTGTGGTTATATATTTATATTTGTACTTTGTTTTATATTAACTTAATATATATTCTAATTTGATAAGAATATGCTATATAATTAATTATTACTTGAATAGCCAATGCTATAAACAGATATTTTAACATCTTAGTCGAATATATTCTAATTATATCCATTTATGGTATAGCAATTTTAGTTTTATATTTGATTATACAATTTATAGCAATTTCATTATTTTAGCTTTATCCTACAAATATTTAATTGTAAGGTGCTTAGAAATATCCTAACATAGTTGTGAAACCATCTAGATAATCATATGATTAAACTTGGGTGATTGATAAATTATTTTCTTAATATGTGAATGTTACTTGAAAGATATATGATAACTAAAATTGGATATTAAATGATGTGTCAGATATCTATAGAACTTATGCTATAACATCTTGCTGAGATATCACAAAATTATATTACAGTAAAATATCCTTCAGATTGTATAAATTATTAAGTTAAGGATCTATGTTATTATAATATGTAGTTACTATTTTCCCACTAGCATAAAAGATTAAGATGAGATTATTAAAACTGTTTATTATATTCTCACTTATTATACTTTAAGAATTTAGGTTCATTTTATAGATAGTAGCTTATGTTGATTCTTCATCAAGAATTAATTATGAAGTAGACGCTCTAAAAGGACCAAAAAGCCTAATATCTAAGCTTGAACTAGAAAAAATGTTGGTATATATATTAGGATATGGAATATCCTAAATAAGTTAATATATCTTGATGCTATTAATATTAAATGAGCTATAAGCACTATTTTACAAAATTAATGTTATGGTATAAACAGCTAATTTTTATTGGCATATAAAGTATAATTTTAAATCTGTAGAGTTATCTTTATAGTATGTTTGACTTGCATCTTCTAACCCTACACAATTGCTATAATCAATACCACTTATTATAACTAAGGATCCTATTGAGAATTAGTCTTGATCAACTATTAAATTTTAGTTTTTAAGTATTTTGAATTAATTTTAATTTTATGTTAAAATAGTTTAGTTTTAAACTCTGTTTTATATTGAACCACTAGAGTTGTTAAGTTACCATCCTAGTAAATTACTATTGAATATACTTGGATCGCTTCCGTCATATAATTAAAAGGTTTAGATAGAAGAGGTAGAGGAATTAGAGTCTTAAATTTAAGTTTTCAAGCTTTGTATAGAAGATGATTACTGATTCACTAACCCATATACAGCAGAAGTGTCTCTTCTTAAAATAAAATTAAACGTTTAGTTTTATTCGTTTTGAGAAACAGTAAAATTAAAAGGTATTAATACTTAAGACTGGTAATATGTATTAGCAAGTTAGAGTTAAATAGAAATTTATGCACTTTATAGGATATTATAGCATTTAAAGGTTTATAGCAACTAACAAATTTTACCTGCTGAATAAATGTTTAGATTGCTTTACTCAAGCTATAGAATACCATAAAATTAGTTTTAACTTGAGCAACGATCTACTCTATAAACCATATACTTATTGGGATAAGATTGTTACTAAAATAGTAAATATTATTAATTCGTACTACTACCATATAAAGTAATAGGCTATACCTATGTATTAGGTAAGTTTTAGGAATCATTATAAAGACTTCGAAGTAAGATAGGAGTTGAAGTTTAAAAATTGTTGTAAGAGTACTAATTGATAACAGGAATGCTTGATTGATCGGAGTAGTAAATAAAAAATGAATCTTTGAAAATCAAGACTTTTTATAATTAGCTTAAGACTGGTAAATTTATGGTACTTCCTATTATTATTTAATTTATGTAATCATATGCTGTTATATAACTGCTGCTGTAAATGAAAGCTATTCCATTCATAGTTGTTATTTTGCTATTTGATGGAAAGTTCTACTAGATTACATTTTAATTTATTAAAATAGGCTGATATGAGCTTTAGAATGATGGTTTATAACTTACTGATGTGATAGTACTTCCACATTGAATAATTACTATGCTTGCAGTTATATCAGATGAAAATGTGAAGTAATTCTAATTATTATCACATTAAACTGTAATAGTATTAATGTAAAGGATGTTTAGGTTATCTAAACTGGGCAAAAATATTCTTTTTTATGGCAATGAAGAATCACTTTAAATAGTAAAACTACCTTAAGAATCAACAAAATCTATTGGAGAATTTTAAGTGTAGTTCATAGGACTTTGAATATTAAGCTTATTTAAATCGCTTATATTGCAGTAATAAATATAATACTGATTTGATGAATTAAATTGCTATAGCAAAGCATTATAAGGCATTTGTTAAATATTGTATATTAAATAATCTGAGGTATTTTGCAAAGTATAGATAGAAGAGCTCTATTCAAATTAAATTATAGCTAAGCTTGATATGTTTTAATTATTTTTTTATAAGTTTACTTGTGAAAGATTTTATCCGTAAACATATTGCTCAATATCTTCGTAGTAAATATATGAGTTATTATATGATTAGCCTATATATTTTTATCCTATCGTAACTGTGGAGGATGAAAATAAAATCTAAGGTTAGTTCACTGTTTTAACATTTAAACTTGTTTTGTAAATTATAGGGATAGGTCCTGTTGTAATTTAGAATTGGATTGGCTGATCAACTTAACCTTTAATGATAATTGCTGGTTAGAAAAATTGAATGCTTAGAGTCTCATAAAAGATGATCTACTACCCAGACACTTAGTTGACAGTTATTAGAGCAAAATTGTTTAAGAAGTTATAGAAAGAGTACTAGTAATTTGAGGGCACAATTTGTTAGGATATAACTCTAGAGTTTGTCATATCAATTACTTAAATGTAGGAAGAGCTTGAAAGTAGCAAAAGATTGTTAGATAGAATTAAACCTGTTGAAAAGATTTAATTTATTTGAAAACTTTTACAGTAGTTCAATGAGTTGCTACTTAGAACTGTTGAATACTGCAAAGAACATACCTTAACATTTAAATTATCTATAAAAGTTAACATGATTTAGTTATTTATTTATTAGCTGAAAATTTGATTGTATGAAGAACTGGATGTAATGTTAAGAGAAAAATATACATCAGACAGAAAAACTACTTGGTTATCACAATCTCTGAAAATGGAATAGGTTTGTACATAGTTTAATTCTTAAAACTACTATATTGTTTAACAATTTGAACTAGGAAATATGTTTATTTAATTTATTTGATTCTATTTCAGGACATATATAAAGTAGTTGTTATCAAATAAAGAAGTGATTATTATTTAGTTTAATTATTAGAATGCTTTAGCCTAATAAATTAAGTATGTATTTTTAACGGATTGAATAGATAATTTTTATGAAGTTTGATTAAATGTAAACTAAAATACACTAAAGCTTTAGTCTGTCAAAAAAGCTAAACCTTAAGTTGAAGAGTACATAGAAATGCTTGTTTAAATGGTCTATTCAACAGTAAATATCAGCAATCTATCTAATTCCTATGATATTATTTAATTATTTTAGATAGAAATACAACCAAATACTAAATAGTAATCGTATTTTTAGCTATTTTAGATATTAATGATGCTCGCTGCATTCTTTTGAGTATTACTGACTGGGTAACTTGAAGGGAAAGTGTAATTCATAGTTTGAGCTGTTGGAGTTGATTAACTTACTAATGGAAGAATAGATTCAAAACTATTTGTAGATTAGGGAAGGCTGATTTCTTAAATGTTCTGCTCATAGAAACCACTTAAATCTAGATAATACTACTCATTTGGAAGTATTTAGATAGTTTTCTAAATAATTTATTGCTAGCCTAAACAGAAACAAAATAGAAGAGGTAAAATTAAAAAGATTTAAAAGCTTTGATCTTTCATTTTAGAGTTTTTTAAATGTCTTAGATTTAGTAAACTTATTATTACTAATCTTATAATGTATTTTGACAATTTTAAGGATATAATATCATTAATTTTACTATTTGCAAATCCAATAATCAAAGTTAAGCAATAGTAAAAGAATATCAAAAAAGCTTATTAAAGAAAGGTATTTTAATAGTAACTAATTGATATATTAAATTTCGAATATTCAATTTGATTGTTGTATTTAAAATTAAATAATAAAAATTTACCACTTTTTTTTGATATTATAAATATTTTTTAGTTTGAAAAAATTTCTAAAATTGATAAAAAAAAAGTAAAACACAATAATTTTCATGAAGAGTATTAAATAAATAAATAAAATATATTATTTTAAGCTCTAAATAAAAATAAAAATAGTTATATTTATTATTGCCCAATAAATATAAACAAAATTTATGAAATATATTTATAATATTTATTTTTTTAGTGTATTTGAGACCTATTTGAAAGTATTTTTTTATTTAATAATGGATATAAGTTTTGAATTACTCTCTTTAAATGATAAAAATATGATTTAAAACTTATAAACATATATAATTAAGAATTTTGCTTCACTGTTTTAAAATATTATATCATAAAAAATTATATTCTAGTAAATAAAATTAATTTGCAAAATTAATAGTAATTGAGTGTGAAAAAATTTATTTTAGTTTTTTAAAAATTAATTAAATTAACTATACTAATAAAATAAATTATACTTATAGAGTGAACGAAGGAAGTATATTTTTAAATAAATGCACTCTTAAATTGGTTAAAATAAATTGGAAAAAAAATTTTTACTTTTGCAAAAATAAATAATGAGAGTAGATATAAGTAAAAAAAATAAATTTAAAATGATGTAAGAGCATTTTTTAAATGAAAGAAAGCATTATGAAATTAAATAAAATTCAACATTTTCGTTGAGTCTTTAATTTTTAAGTGTCTAATTAATTAACTAAAATTTGTTTCATCCTTCAAAAATTAATAAACATAAACTTGAAAATGACATTTAAAACTAAATCTATTGACTGTAAATTACAATTAACTGCTTAAGACTTATATTAGAATAACAAAAAGCTATTTAAAAAGGTATTTTAAGAGTATTTTAAAAATGAAAAAAGAGATCATTAAATCTCATCAATAATATTCTGATATATAAATTGGGTTTTTCATTTTTGAATGGAGTAATTACAGAATATTGTTAATAAATCATTGATTAATATAATAATTAATATTATTTAAATAAATTTAATTTTGTATTTTAAGGTTTTTTAAACTTTTATAAAAGATTTTAAGAAAATACAATTTTTACTTTTGTTTTTCTAGGTTACTTTTGAAGTCTATCTAATAAGTTAAAAAATGATACTTTGAAATTAAATTTGTTATCTGTATACTAAAATTAAATATTTAATTGTAATTTATCATAAATTAATAAATATATGAGAGGATATCAGCAAAAATATTTTGATGTGAAAGAGAGTATCATAATAATGCATAAACATTATTCTGATATTTAAATTGAGTCTTTCATTTTTGAATGGAATATTTACATTATATTATTCATCAATCACTGATTAAAATAATGTTTAATAATTCAAACAAATTTCATTTTTAATTTTGAAAGTCTGCTTTAAAATGATATTTTCTATTGTGCCAAAATCTCTGAAATTTTATTTTAATTTACCTATAGTTTTATCTTACACTTATTTTGAAAAAACTAAAGTAAAATTATAATTTTGTAAACTAAGTAATTTAATGAAGCGATAATTTTATTTAAAAACTGCTTTTTTTCTAAATATCCATTCAATCAATACATTTTGTAAGAATTTTTTAAGCACAAAGAGCTGTTTTTACAATATAAACCATTACTTTCTATTAAAAAAACTTATTTTATTCCTTTTATTTTATTAATTAACTGATTATTAATAATTTTTTGGAAGAATTAAATTTTTCTATAATATTTAAAAAAGAAAATTAATTAAAAAAAAAAACTTCTACCTTTTACCTCATAAATCTAAATGAATTTGAAAAAGATAGACTTTTTCTCCTATCAATTCTAATTCGATTTTGGGAAAAACAACTAAAAGAAAGGAACCACTTTTGGAGCAATTTTATCTATTTTTTTAATAATAATCGTTTTAACATACTCTTCTTATTTATTTTACTAATATTTAAGTAACTAAATCAATCCAAAATATGCATCACAAAGTTTTGTGACTGAAAATTCTATTGACATCGATCTTTCAGAAGATTTAATTGGGTTTAGATATGAATATGGAGTTAATCTTAATATTGATGACCTATAAGACTAATAAAATCAAACATATTTGGTATTTATTCCTTATTTTTACTTTTAAAACGGGAGGTATTTCGAATTAATACCGCTAAATTACAGTAAATGCACAAATCATAAACTAGAAGGTTTTAATTGTATTGATTTCTCAACAGTTAAAAATTACACTTTAACTCTGAGTACTAAAGATAATATATTTTCAAATATATATTTATTTGTGTATTAGTGCTAAGATACAGATATGACTAAAACTTTTGTGCCTAATAATTGTGCTAATTAATTAGACATTGATAATATTATCAATAATCCTTATGCTAGCTTACGCTTGAAATTATATACATCTTAATACAATACCTCATCCTAATAGTCATAGTATGGATATAGAAATTCTTATGTATATTTGTAAGGTGAATAATTTTAGCTATATACCTTTAAAACTTAAAAGTAAGTAACTTATCTAAAGAAGGGAGCAATAATCTAAGATGAAACAAGTTTTTCTGCTCCTATTTAGTATGAAGTACAAAACTTTAACTTTAACAGATAGTCAATAATTTAAAAAGCGAATTAAACATCCTTAATGTAAATTACTATTCAGATGGATGAAACAATTTAGTATATTCACATTTAATACTCCAATCTTCCTGAAATTCTTGCATAATGTAACAGTGCATTTGCTTTTTTGATGTGCTTAGGTTTTTTTGGAAAAAGAATTTCCTAAAAATTAATGAAGTAGGATATTTTTTTCCTCTTTTTATAAAATATGTTTCATGGGACTTACAAAAACATTCTAAAATAAACTAATAATTTAGAAGCAAAAGATTAGCATTATCATAAAATATTGCTAAAATAAATATAATTAGGATAGAAAGAAGATGAAGATTAAAGCTAAAAAGAAAATTTTTAATCTATTTTTATTCCTTCATTTGATACGAAATCTATAAAATCTGCTGATAATTCAGTGAATGGAATTTAAAATAAAGTATTTAATTAATAAAATAAAATTCAAAATCAAATTTCTCAGGAAAATAATAATAGCTAGAGTTAATTCTAAGATTATAAATAAAAAGTAAAGTAAAGGAAAATAAATATAATTAATTCACCTATAAAAATAAAAAGCAAAATAAATATTGAATAATTTTAAAATAATATTGAAATTAGTACTTTAAAATCTTAAGAAACAAGTTAAGAAAAATTATACTTGCCTTTAAAAAAAATAAATTCTTTGAAAAAAATATAAAATGTTTAATAAGAAATCCTCTAAAATTAAATAAAAGTAGATCATTCTTAAACCATATTAAAAATAAGTGATTATTATAAAAAAGTGCTTGAAACCATCCAAAACAACTTCCTTATGAAAAAAATTAAAAATACTATTTATAAAACAAGGTTTTATAATTTTATTTAAACTTTCATAAAATAATAAAATTTTATATTTCATAAATTAATTAGGTTTTTCAGAAGAAAGGAATATCTCAAGTCTCTGGGTTTAGATCCCATCCATAAAAATATTATCGAAGATCAAGTTAATTCAAATTTAGATATTTTAGAAATTTATAAAGATCTTCTTCTCGTAAAGAAGGCTGTTCTAATGCTTTTAAGTAAGGATTAATTAGCTGCATTATAGCTAATTGGATTATCATCATGTTATATGCAATTTAAATCTGAAGATGAAAATAAAAAAAACCAATTATCCTTCAATAGTAAATTTTAAAACTACTTATTTTCATTTTTTTAATTTAAATAAAATATGTAATAGCCAATAATTTGAGTCATTTGGAAGAATAGTTTTGTTTATTAAAATACAGTGCATTGCAATAGTAATATATTAATTCCTTTTTTAATAGGATTTGTAATAATAAAAATATAACTGATCTTGACTAAAGAATATTTAGTTCTTTATAATGAATATTTATTTAAGAAGTGCATATATTAAATTAAAAAAATATTAAAATATCTTTAATTTAATCAATATAGTAAAAATTCATTTAAATATTTTTTAAGTTTCTCAAGAAACTTTATATCTTGTATGTTGAATTGGGATAATTAAATAAAATAAAAAACAAACAAGGTATGATTGACCAAAAAGAAAAAATTAGATAAGTAATAAAATAAAAAAAATTGTATTATCAGTAGTGAATCAATTAATATTATTAAGTTGAAAAATAAATTAAATTCTGTTTTTAGAAAAAATGAGGTTTTTTAGTTTTTTAAAAAAATAATTATAATTTACACTAATCAAACTTTAGTATCAATTAAGAGGTTTTGCCTTTTATATAAAAAACAGGAAAAGAGTAAAGTTGGCTATAGAATAAATTAAATATTAAGATTGTATGCTCAAAATAATAATTTATAACAAAGAGCTTTCTTTCATAAATAGTTATTTTTATATAATTTATATTTAAATTAATTATAAAACAAAGAATATTACAGCCAATCAAATCAAATCAAATCAAATCAAAACAAAACAAAAAATTAATAAAAACTTCTACATAAAGCATCAAACTGAAAATGGATCTTTCAAAAATAGATATTTTCTCTTCTCCTTTCCAATTCAATTTTGGAATACAAACTAAAAGAAAAGGTAGTTTACCTGGAGCCATTTTATCAATATTTCTAATAACAGTTATACTCATTTACTCATCATACTTATTTTATCAGTATTTTAGCAATCAAATTAACCCCAATTACTCATCTCAAAGTTTTATTTCAGAAGAAACAATCTCTATTGACCTTTCAAATGATCTCGTTGGATTTAGATATGAGTATGGAGTTAATCTCAATCTTGATGATTTATAAGATTAGTAAAATAAGACATATTTAGTATTTGTTCCTTTTTTCTATTTTTAAAATGGAAGCGATTTCTAATTGATACCTTTAAATTATACTAAATGTAGTAACGCCAAGCTTTAAGGGTTTAATTGTTTGGATTTTTCTAATCTTAAAAACTACTCACTAATTTTAAGCACCTTAGATAACATATCTTCAAATATTTACCTTTTTGTATACTAATGTTAAGACACAGATATATTCAAAACTGTTATTCCTAATAATTGTGCTGATTAAAAAGAAATTAATTCTGTTATTAATAACCCCTACGCTGATTTTCGTTTGAAATTCTACACCTCTTAATATAATACTACATCATAAGCAATTTAATCAAGCTACAGAAATTCATATGTATATTTGTAAGGGGATTAATTTCAATTGTACACTTATAAAACTCAAAAGCAGATCACTAAGCTCAAACAAGGAGCTATAATTCAATCTGAGAGCACTTTCTCTTCTCCTATATAATATGATTTACAAAATTTCAGCTTCAATAGATAATCTTTTATCTAAAATGCTAATTAGACTTCCTATTTGTAAATTACTATTCAGATGGATGAAATTGTTTAAATAATACAAATTTAATATTCAACTTTTCCATAAATACTTGCTTAGTGTAACAGCACTTTAGCACTTTTGATGTGTTTAGGTTTTTTAGGAAGAAATTTTGCTTAGAAGCTGATGAGATAAGAAATTTTTCTTCTTATGTTATAGAATATGTTTCTTGGAACTTATTAGAATATATTAAAAGAAAGTAAAATTCTGGATAAAAAGGATGATGATTATTTTAAAAATTAAATGAAATTCGATTAAAATAGAATAGAAGAACGAGAAGAAGACCTGAAAGTAGATAGCGTTTAAGAGATTATTGTTCCTTCCTTTGATATTAAATTAATAAAATCAATTAATAATAGCCATAATTAATCACCTATAAATCAAATCTAGCCACCTTTAAATTCACCAAAATATTAAAATAATAGATTTATCTCATTTGAGTTAGCTGAATAAAAGTTGTAAGGAGCGAAAAAAAAAACAATAAAAAGTATATTTAATCAAGAAATAGGTTTAAAAAGCCAATAGAGGAGGATTTAAAAGAAAATAAAATTAACAAATTCAAAGTTATTGAAATAAAATAGTTTAAAAGATAACTATTCAATTTAAAATAATTTTGAAAATATAACTTTGAAAACTTAAGAAACAAGCTAAGAATCCTTATTTAAAGGATTGAGTAAGAATTCTCATTTAAAGAAAAGCCATAGCATTTATTCAGAAGGCTAACGATAAGACACTATTTTATAAACAGAAAAGACTCAAAGGACGAATTTTGTTGAGCAATATTACTTTAAAAAAATTAAAGCAATAAAATGCTAGTCTGTATTGAAAAATATTCAAAACAAAATATTTAAAATGAAGTATTTTTATTTTTTTTAAATAATTCTTAAAATTTTATTTAAAAAGGTGTTTTAAGGTAAGTGATTACTAGTAATCCCAAGGATTATGCTAAAATGACAAGCGCGCAATAGATGACTATATTAATTAAAGCTTAGATGTATTGCAGCTCTATAGAGATATTACATTTTTAAAGAAAGCAGCTTTAATTCTACTGAGTAAGGATTAGTTGGCTATTTTATAGCTAGTTGGTTTATCATCAGATTTTTTGAAAGAACCTGAGAGTAAAATATTTATAAATATTTAATAATAATATTTCAATTTAAAATAAAGGAATGAGCTTTTTTGAAGAATAGTATTCTATTTTAAGAGACAGTAGCTTGTAAGAAAAATACATAAATTTTTTCTTTAAAAGAATTTAGGATAGCCAAGAAATAAGTGAAACAGATTTAAGAATTTTAGATTCTTTATAATGAAGCTTAAAAGATATTTATCTACCTTTCTTATTAGAACTGATATCAATTATCAAAATGATCCTAATAAATTACTAATTAATATTCGATTTATAAAATCTACAAATTACCTATTTATTTATGAATTTAATTATTTATTTTAGAGTTATAAATATGTAATAAATTTATATCTAATTAAATAAATATTTGGTGTAATAAAATATATTATTTTAAATTTTAAAGATTTAAATAAATTAAAATTTATTATAGCTCTTCCATTAATAAATATTATTGTTAATTAATATATTTAATTTGTTAAACAAAGGCATTTTGAATGTTTTTATTTATTTTAATTTGTTTAATTAAAAAATCATAACTTAAACTAAATTAATCTGTATAAAAAATGGAAATTGAGTGAGACTGTGAACTCAATTATTTTTTATATTTTTTTTCAATTTTACAACATTATTTGTTTATTTTTGTAAATTTGATTATTACAAAAAAAATTTTTAAATAAAATTAAACATAAGTATTATCATTTTATCATAACTACTTAACTTACTTAATGTATTCATATGAGAAATTTAAAAAATCTGATAATATCAATTATCTCATAATTTTTGTAAAAACTTCTCTCATTATAATTAATTAAAAATGTTTATGAAGATAATGATTTTGATGAATTAGATGATTAGCCTAGATAAATTCCAGATTTTAATGAAATTAAGAGTATTTGGTTTATTTAGAAATAAATGATATCAAAATAAACCGAAGACAATTAATTAGAAGAATTATCATAATTAATTGTGTAAAAATTCATGAATTATGATGAACTAATATAGAAAAGTGTGCATTAATAAAAATGGAGATTTAATAAATTCAAAATTTTTGAAGATTAGCATGTTCAGTATTTTGGTATTATTTATTTCATATTGACTATCTATTATTAATTTAAGCAATTTTTAATTACTTTAACTCTTCCTCTATAAAGAATATTATTTTATAATAATTTACTAGCTCTCTAAATCACATCACTATTATAAGTAATAGAATAATTTACATACTTATATTTTAAAATAATATGTGAATCATATCCTCTTTAATTATGAAAAATAATTGGTACTTTTAAAAGAAAAAATTCCCATTTTAGGTACGCTATCAGAAAAATTAATAGGGTCATATCCTACTTATTTGTATGTTGAATATTGTTAATAAACAGCACTTGGTATTTAAGTTTACACAATTCTATTGATATTGATCTTTCAGAAGATTTAATTGGGTTTAGATATGAATACGGAATAAATCTCAATATTGGTGATTTATAAGAATAATGAAATCAAACCTATTTGGTATTTATTCCTTATTTTTACTTTTAAAACGGGATCTATTTCTAATAAATACCCTTAAATTACAGTAAATGCACAAACCATAAACTAGAAGGTTATAATTGTATTGATTTCTCACCAGTTAAAAACTGCACATCTATAGTCTTTATGCTAGCTTGCGTTTGAAATTATATACATCTTAATACAATACATCATCCTAATAGTCCTAGTCTTGATATAGAAACTATTATGCATATTTTTAAGGAGAATAATTTTAGCTACATACCTTTGAAACTTAAAAATAAGTCGCTTATCTAAAAAAGGGAGCAATAATTTAAGATGAAACTGCTCCTATTTAGTATGAAGTACAAAACTTTAACTTTAACAGATAGTCATTTATTAAAAAAGCGAATTAAACCTCCTTAATGTAAATTACTATTGAAATGGATGAAGTTTAGTATAATTGATTTAGAACTTTATTTTGTTAAATATATACTTTATTTTAAATTCTATTCATAGAGTTATCAGCAGATTTTATTGATTTCGTATCAAATAAAGGAGTAAAAATAGATTAAAGATTTTTTTTAGCATTAATCTTCATCTTCTTTCTATCCTAATTAAAATTTTTCTTGCAATATTTTATGATAATGATAATCTTTTGTATATAAATTATTCGTTTTTTTTAGAATGTTTTTGTAAGTCCCTTGAAACATATTTTACTATAAGTGAAAAAAAATATCCTACTTCATTAATTTTTAGGAAATTCTTTTTCCAAAAAAACCTAAGCAAATCAAAAAGCAAACGCACTATTACATTAAGCAATAAATTCTGGAAGATTTGATTTCACAGGAGAATAACTCTATCTAGAGTTAATTCGAAGATTTTAAATAAAAATTAAAGTAAAGGAAAATAAATTTTATTATGTTAATTCACCTATAAAAATAAATATTGAATAATTTTAAAATAATATTGAAATTAGCATCTTGGAATATTAAGAAACATGTTAAGAAAATTATTTTTGCCTTTAAAAAAAATTAATTCTCTGAAAAAAATATAAAATATTAAATAAGAAATCCTCTAAAATTAAATAAAAGTAGAACCTTTTTAAATCATATTAAATATAAGTCATTATTATAAAAAAGTGCTTGAAACCATCCAAAAACAACTTCCTTATGAAAAAAATAAAAAATATTATTTATAAAACAAGGTTTTGTAATTTTATTTAAACTTACATAAAATATTAAAATTGTATATTAATTAGGATTTTCAAAAGAAAGGAATACCTCAAATCTCTGGGTTTAGATCCCATCCATAAAAGTATTATCGAAGATCAAGTTAATTCAAATTTTGATATTTTTGAAATTTATAAAGATCTTCTTTTTTTAAAATAAAGGTTTTCAAATGCTTCTAAGTAAGGATTAACTAGCTGCGTTATAGCTTACTGGATTATCATCATGTTATATAAAATTTAAATCTAATGACGAAAATTAAAAAAACCAAATATCCTTCAATTGTAAATTTTAGAACTATTTTTGTCTTTTTTTAAATTTAAATTAAATATATTATAGCCAATAGTTTGAGTTATTTGGAAGAATAACTTAGTTTACTAAAATACATCTCATTTCAATACTAGAATATTAATTCCTTCATTAATAGAATCTGTAATAATAAAAATATAACTGATCTTTATTAAAGAATATTTAGTTCTTTATTATGAATATTGAATTAAGATGTGCATATATTAAATTAAACAATTACTAAAACGTCTTGCATTTAATAAATATAGTAAACATTTATTTCAATACATTTTTAACTTACTCAAAAAACCATGTATTTTTTATGTTGGGTTTGGATGTAATAAATAATAATTAGGCTATTTTTGAAGAAACAAGAGAAATAAAAAATTGGATAAGCAATAAATTTAAAAAAAAAAATAATAATTTGTTCTAATCAAACTTTAATCATAGAGTTGGAGATTTTAAATTTTATTTTAAAAACAAAAAAGTAAATCTGCCCATTCTTTCAAATATAGTTATTTTAATAAATATTGTAAATTGAATAAATTGCACCACTCCCCCTAAATTACTTGTTAATGCTTTGCTAACTTTATTGATTTCAAGATATTAAAGGAGGGTGGTTGCTTTTTTGCAACACAAAAACTAATAAATTTAAATTAATTGTAAAACAAAGAATAAAAAAACAAACAACCAACCAACAAAAGAATAATAAAAACATTTACATAAAGTATCAAACTGAACATGGATTTTTCCAAAATATATATTTTCTCTTCTCCTTTCCAATTCCATTTTGGGATTAATACTAAAAGAAAAGGTAGTTTATCTGGAGCCATTTTATCAATAGCTCTAATAATAGTCATGCTCATTTACTCATCATATTTATTTTATTTGTATTTTAATAATCAAATTAACCCAAATTACTCATCTTAAAGTTTTATTTCAGAAGAAATAATCTCTATTGACCTTTAAAATGACCTCTTTGGATTTAAATATGAGTATGGAGTTAATCTCAATCTTGATGATTTATAAGAGTAATAAAATAAGACATATTTAGTATATGTTCCTTTTTTCTATTACTAAAATGGAAGCGATTACTAAATGATACCTTTAAATTATACTAAATGTAGTAACACCAAGCTTTAAGGGTTTAACTGTTTGGATTTTTCTAACCTTAAAAACTACTCATTAACCTTAAGCACCTAAGATAACATATCTTCAAACATTTACGTGTTTGTATATTAATGTTAAGACACAGATATGTTCAAAGAATTTATTCCTGATAATTGCGCCAACTAAACAGAAATTAACTCTACTATTAATAACCCTTATGCTGATTTCCGTTTGAAATTCTTAACCTCTTAATATAATACTACATCATAGGCAATTTAAACAAACTACAGGAATTCATATGTATATATGTAAGGGGATTAATTTCAATTGTACACTTTTAAAACTCAAAAGTAGATCACTCAGCTTAAACAAGGAGCTATAATTCAATCTGAGAGCACTTTCTCTTCTCCTATATCATATGATATACAAAATTTTAGCTACAGTAGAGAATCTATGATCTAAACTTTTGGTTAGACTTCTTATTTGTAAATTACTATTGAGATGGATGAAATTGTTTAGGTAATACAAATTTAATATTCAACTTTTCCATAAATACTTGCTTAGTGTAACAGCACTTTAGCACTTTTGATGTGCTTAGGTTTTTTAGGAAGAAATTTTGCTTAGAGGCTGATGAGACAATAAATTTTTCTTCTTATGTTATAGAATATGTTTCTTGGCACATATTAGAATATATTAAAAGAAAATAAAATTCTGGATAAAAAGGATGATGATTATTTTAAAAATTAAATGAAATTCGATAAAAATAGAATAGAAGAACGAGAAGAAGATATGAAAGTAGATAGCGTTTAAGAGATTATTGTTCCTTCCTTTGATACTAAATTAATAAAATCAATTTGTAGTAGCCAGAATTAATCACCTAAAAATCAAATCTAGCCATCTATAATGAATTCACCAACATGTTAAAATAATAGATTTACCTCATTTGAGTTAGCTGCATAAAAGTTGTAAGTAGTGAAAAAAAAAACAATAAAAAGTATATTTAATCAAGAAATCGGTTTAAAAAGCTAATAGAAGAGGATTCAAAAGAAAAAAAAATTAGCAAATTCACAGTTATTGAAATAAAATAGTTTAAAAGATAATTGTTAAATTTAAAGTACTTTTGAAAATAATACTTTGAAATCTTAAGAAGCAAGCTAAGAATCAGAATTATTATTTAAAGGATTGAGTAAACATGTTCATTTAAAGAAAAGCAATAGCATTTATTCAGAAGGCTAACGATAGGACACTATTTTATAAACAGAAAAGACTCAAAGGACAAATTTTGTTGAGCAATATTACTTTAAAAAAATTAAAGCAATAAAATGCTAGTCTGTATTGAAAAATATTCAAAACAAAATATTTAAAATGAAGTATTTTTATTTTTTTTAAATAATTCTTTAAATTTCATTTAAAAAGATGTTTTAAGGTAAGTGATTACTAGTAATCCCAAGGATTAGGCTAAAATGACAAGCGCGCAATAGATGACTATATTAATTAAAGCTTAGATATATTGCAGCTCTATAGAGATATTACATTACTAAAGAAAGCAGCTTTAATTCTACTGAGTAAGGATTAGTTGGCTATATTGTAGCTAGTTGGATTATCTTCAGATTTTTAGAAAGAACCTGAGAGTAAAAAATTAATAAATATTTAATAATAATATTTCAATTTAAAATAAAGAAATGAGCTTTTTCGAAGAATAGTATTCTATTTTAAGCGACAGTAGCTTGTAAGAAAAATACATAAATTCTTTCTTTAAAAGAATTTAGGATAGCCAAGAAATAAGTGAAACAGATTTAAGAATATTAGATTCTTTATAATGAAGCTTAAAAGTTATCAATATATCTATACATCCATCTTTGTTATTAGATCTGGCTTCACTTAACTTTTATTTTATTTTAGAGCAATAAATGCACAAATAATTATATCTAATTAAATATATATTTGGTGAATTAAATGTATATTTGGTGAATAAAAATAGATTATTTTAGTTTTTAAAGGTTTAAAAAAGTTAATAATTTATTTTTTACTCTTTCATAAATATTATAATTAATTAATATATTTAATTTATTAAACAAAAACATTTTACATGTTTTATTCATTTTGTTTAATTAATATATAATAAAAAATTTTAAATTGAGAGAGACCATGAAATATATGATAAAATAATAGCTCTACCCCCCAAAGAGACTATAGCTAATCCAAGTATTGAATAATTTCCTCAAAATTAATGAAGTAGGATATTTTTTTTCTCATATTGTAAAATATGTTTCAAGGGACTTACTAAATCATTCAAAAAAATCAAATAATTGAGATACAAAAGATTAGCATTATCATAAAATTTGCAAAAACAAGTTTAATTAGGATAGAAAGAAGATGAAGATTAATGCTAAAAAGAAAATCTTTAATCTATTTTTATTCCTTGATTTTATACGAAATCAAAAAATCTGCTGATAACTCAATCAATAGATTTAAAAATAAAGTATATATTTAACAAAATAAAGTTAAAATCAAATTTCTCAGTAGAATAATTCTAGCTAGAGTTAATTCTAAGATTTAAATAAAAAGTTAAGGAAAGGAAAATAAATGTTATTATGCTAATTCACCTATAAAAATAAAAAGCAAAATAAATATTGAATAATTTTAAAATAATATTGAAATTAGCATCTTGGAATCTTAAGATACATGTTAAGAAATATTATTTTTGCCTTTAATAAAAATTAATTCTCTGAAAAAAATATAAAATGTTTAATAAGAAAACCTCTAAGATTAAATAAAAGTAGAACTTTTTTAAATCATATTAACAACTTCCTTATTAAAAAAATGAAAAATATTATTTATAAAAACAAAGTTTTATTATTTTATATATTAAACTTACATAAAATGTTAAAATTTTATATTTAATTAATTAATTAGGTTTTTCAGAAGAAAGGAATACCTCAAATCTCTGGGTTTAGATCCCATCCATAAAAATATTATAGAAGATCAAGTTAATTCAAATTTTAATATTATGGAAATTTATAAAGATCTTCTATTTTTTAAAAGAAAGCTGTTCTAATGCTTCTAAGTAAGGATTAACTAGCTGCGTTATAGCTTATTAGATTATCATCAAGTTAAACACGATTTAAATCAAATGATGATTATTAAAAAAACCAATTATCCTTCAATTGTAAATTTTAGAACTATTTTTTTGAATTTAAATTAAATATATTATAGCTAATAATTTGAGTCATTTGGAAGAATAGTTTTGTTTATTAAAATATTTCGCATTGCAATAGTAGTATTTTAATTCCTTCTTTAATAGAATTTGTAATAATAAAAATATTACTGATCTTAATTAAAGAATATTTAGCTCTTTTTTATGAATATTTATTTAAGAAGTACATATATTAAATTAAACAATTACCAAAATGTCTTGCATTTAATAAATAGAGTAAACATTTATTTCAATATTCTTTTAACTTACTCAAAAAACCACGTATTTTTTATGTTGAGTTGGGATGTAACAAATAATAATTAGGCTATTTTTGAAGAGACAAGAGAAATAAAAAATTATAGCAATAAATTTTATTATCAACAGTGAATTAATTAGTAAAACTAAGTTAAAATAAATTAAATTCTGTTATTTGAAAAGATGGTGTTTATTTAAAAAAAATGATAATTTGTTCTAATCAAACTTTAATCTTAGAGTTAGAAATTTTAAATTTTATTTTAAAAACAAAAGAGTTAAGTTGTCCATTCTTTCAAATATAGTTATTTTAATAAATATTGTATATTGATTGATTAAATTCCACCACTCCCCCTAAATTACTTGATAATGCTTTGTTGACTTTATTGATTTCAAGAAATTAAAAGAGGGTGGTTGCTTTTTTGCAAAAACTAATATATTTAAATTAATTGTAAAACAAAGAATAAAACAAAGAAACAAACAACCAATCAACAAAAGAATAATAAAAACAAACTTCTACATAAAGTATCAAACAAACTGAACATGGATTTTTCCAAAATAGATATTTTCTCATCTCCTTTCCAATTCCATTTTGGGATTAATACTAAAAGAAAAGGTAGTTTATCTGGAGCCATTTTATCAATATGTCTAATAGTAATCATGCTCATATACTCATCATATTTATTTTATTTGTATTTTAATAATCAAATTAACCCAAATTACTCATCTTAAAGTTTTATTTCAGAAGAAACAATCTCTGTTGACCTTTAAAATGACCTCTTTGGATTTAAATATGAGTATGGAGTTAATCTCAATCTTGATGATTTATAAGAGTAATAAAATAAGACATATTTAGTATATGTTCCTCTTTTCGCTTACTAAAATGGAAGCGATTTCTAAATGATACCTTTAAATTATACTAAATGTAGTAGCGCCAAGCTTTAAGGGTTTAACTGTTTGGATTTTTCTAACCTTAAAAACTACTCATTAACCTTAAGCACCTAAGATAACATATCTTCATACATTTATATGTTTGTATATTAATGTTAAGACACAGATATGTTCAAAGAATTTATTCCTAATAATTGCGCCAACTAAACAGAAATTAACTCTGTTGTTAATAACCCTTATTCTGATCTCCGTTTGAAATTCTTAACTTCTTAATATAATACTACATCATAGGTAATTTAAACAAACTACAGGAATTCATATGTTTATATGTAAGGGGATTAATTTCAATTGTACACTTTTAAAACTCAAAAGTAGATCACTCAGCTTAAACAAGGAGCTATAATTCAATCTGAGAGCACTTTCTCTTCTCCTATATCATATGATATACAAAATTTTAGCTTCGATAGATAATCTTTTATCTAAACTGTTGGTTAGACTGCTTATTTGTAATTTACTATTCAGATGGATGAAATTGTTTAGGTAATACAAATTTAATATTCAACTTTTCCATAAATACTTGCTTAGTGTAACAGCACTTTAGCACTTTTGATGTGCTTAGGTTTTTTAGGAAGAAATTTTGCTTAGAGGCTGATGAGACAAGAAATTTTTCTTCTTATGTTATAGAATATGTTTCTTGGCACATATTAGAATATATTAAAAGAAAATAAAATTCTGGATAAAAAGGATGATGAATATTTTAAAAATTAAATAAAATTCGATTAAAATAAAATCGAAGAACGAGAAGAAGACATGAAAGTAGATAGCGTTTAAGAGATTATTGTTCCTTCCTTTGATACTAAATTAATAAAATCAATTTGTAGTAGCCAGGATTAATCACCTACAAATCAAATCTAGCCACCTTTAATGAATTCACCAACATGTTAAAATAATAAATTTACCTCATTTGAGTTAGCTGCATAAAAGTTGTAAGTAGTGAAAAAAAAAACAATAAAAAGTATATTTAATCAAGAAATCGGTTTAAAAAGCTAATAGAGGAGGATTCAAAAGAAAAAAAAATTAGCAAATTCACAGTTATTGAAATAAAATAGTTTAAAAGATAATTGTTAAATTTAAAGTACTATTGAAAATAATACTTTGAAATCTTAAGAATCAAGCTAAGAATCAGAATTATTATTTAAAGCATTGGGTAAACATGTTAATTTAAGGAAAAGCCATAGCATTTATTCAGAAGGCTAACGATAGGACACTATTTTATAAACAGAAAAGACTCAAAGGACGAATTTTGTTGAGGAATATTACTTTAAAAAAATTAAAGCAATAAAATGCAAGTCTGTATTGAAAAATATTCAAAACAAAATATTTAAAATGAAGTATTTTTATTTTTTTTAAATAATTCTTAAAATTTTATTTAAAAAGGTGTTTTAAGGTAAGTGATTACTAGTAATCCCAAGGATTAGGCTAAAATGACAAGCGCGCAATAGATGACTATATTAATTAAAGCTTAGATGTATTGCAGTTCTATAGAGATATTACATTACTAAAGAAAGCAGCTTTAATTCTACTGAGTAAGGATTAGTTGGCTATATTGTAGCTAGTTGGATTATCTTCAGATTTTTAGAAAGAACCTGATAGTAAAATATTTATAAATATTTAATAATAATATTTCAATTTAAAATAAAGAAATGAGCTTTTTCGAAGAATAGTATTCTATTTTAAGCGACAGTAGCTTGTAAGAAAAATACATAAATTCTTTCTTTAAAAGAATTTAGAATAGCCAAGAAATAAGTGAAACAGATTTAAGAATATTAGATTCTTTATAATGAAGCTTAAAAGTTATCAATATATCTATACATCCATCTTTGTTATTAGATCTGGCTTCACTTAACTTTTATTTTATTTTAGAGCAATAAATGCACAAATAATTATATCTAATTAAATATATATTTGGTGAATTAAATGTATATTTGGTGAATAAAAATAGATTATTTTAATTTTTAAAGGTTTAAATAAGTTAATAATTTATTTTTTACTCTTTCATAAATATTATTATTATTTAATATATTTAATTTATTAAACAAAAACATTTTGCATGTTTTATTCATTTTTTTTGTCTAATTAATTTATAATAAAAAATGTTAAATTGAGAGAGACCATGAAATATATGATAAAATAATAGCTCTACCCTCAGAGGGACTATAGCTAATCCAGGTATTGAAATTTGAAAGTTTTATTAATTAACTTTATTGATTTCAAGAAATTAAAGGAGGGTTGTTACTATTTTGCAAAAACTAATATATTTAAATTAATTGTAAAATAAAGAATAAAAAAAATAAACAACCAACCAACAAAAGAATAATAAGAACAAACTTCTACATAAAGTATCAAACAAACTGAACATGGATTTTTCCAAAATAGATATTTTCTCATCTCCTTTCCAATTCCATTTTGGGATTAATACTAAAAGAAAAGGTAGTTTATCTGGAGCAATTTTATCAATATGTCTAATAGTAGTCATGCTCATATACTCATCATATTTATTTTATTTGTATTTTAATAATCAAATTAACCCAAATTACTCATCTTAAAGTTTTATTTCAGAAGAAACAATCTCTGTTGACCTTTAAAATGACCTCTTTGGATTTAAATATGAGTATGGAGTTAATCTCAATCTTGATGATTTATAAGAGTAATAAAATAAGACATATTTAGTATATGTTCCTTTTTTCTCTTACTAAAATGGAAGCGATTATTCAATGATACCTTTAAATTATACTAAATGTAGTAGCGCCAAGCTTTAAGGGTTTAACTGTTTGGATTTTTCTAACCTTAAAAACTACTCATTAACCTTAAGCACCTAAGATAACATATCTTCATACATTTACATGTTTGTATATTAATGTTAAGACACAGATATGTTCAAAGAATTTATTCCTGATAATTGTGCCAAATAAACAGAAATTAACTCTGTTGTTAATAACCCTTATGCTAATCTCCGTTTGAAATTCTTAACCTCTTAATATAATACTACATCATAAGCAATTTAAACAAACTACAGGAATTCATATGTATATATGTAAGGGGATTAATTTCAATTGTACACTTTTAAAACTCAAAAGTAGATCACTCAGCTCAAACAAGGAGCTATAATTCAATCTGAGAGCACTTTCTCTTCTCCTATATCATATGATATACAAAATTTTAGCTAAAGTAGAGAATCTATGATCTAAAATGTTGGTTAGACTGCTTATTTGTAATTTACTATTCAGATGGATGAAATTGTTTAGGTAATACAAATTTAATATTCAACTTTTCCATAAATACTTGCTTAGTGTAACAGCACTTTAGCACTTTTGATGTGCTTAGGTTTTTTAGGAAGAAATTTTGCTTAGAGGCTGATGAGACAAGAAATTTTTCTTCTTATGTTATAGAATATGTTTCTTGGCACATATTAGAATATATTAAAAGAAAGTAAAATTCTAGATAAAAAGGATGATAATTATTTTAAAAATTAAATGAAATTCGATTAAAATAGAATAGAAGAACGAGAAGAAGACCTGTAAGTAGATAGCGTTTATGAGATTTTTATACCTTCCTTTGATACTAAATTAATAAAATCAATTAATAGTAGCCATAATTAATCACCTATAAATCAAATTTAGCCACCTTTAAATTCACCTATATATAAAAATAATAGATTTACCTCATTTGAGTTAGCTGAATAAAAGTTGTAAGTAGCGAAAAAGAAAAGAGTTAAAAGTATATTTAATCAAGAAATCGGTTTAAAAAGCTAATAGAGGAGGATTTAAAAGAAAAAAAAATTAGCAAATTCACAGTTATCGAAATAAAATAGTTTAAAAGATAACTATTAAATTTAAAGTACTTTTGAAAATAATAATTTGAAATCTTAAGAATCAAGCTAAGAATCAGAATCATTATTTAAAACATTGAGTAAACCTGTTCATTTTAAGAAAAGAGATAGCATTTATTCAGAAGGCTAACGATAGGACACTATTTTATAAACAGAAAAGATTAAAAGGAAGAATTTTGTTGAGGAATATTACTTTAAAAAAATTAAAGCAATAAAATGCTAGTCTGTATTGAAAAATATTCAAAACAAAATATTTAAAATGAAGTATTTTTATTTTTTTTAAATAATTCTTAAAATTTCATTTAAAAAGGTGTTTTAAGGTAAGTGATTACTAGTAATCCCAAGGATTAGGCTAAAATGACAAGCGCGCAATAGATGACTATATTAATTAAAGCTTAGATGTATTGCAGCTCTATAGAGATATTACATTTTTAAAGAAAGCAGCTTTAATTCTACTGAGTAAGGATTAGTTGGCTATATTATAGCTAGTTGGATTATCTTCAGATTTTTAGAAAGAACCTGATAGTAAAAAATTAATAAATATTTAATAATAATATTTCAATTTAAAATAAAGAAATGAGCTTTTTCGAAGAGTAGTATTCTATTTTAAGCGACAGTAGCATGTAAGAAAAATACATACATTTTTTCTTTAAAAGAATTTAGGATAACCAAGAAATAAGTGAAACAGATTTAAGAATATTAGATTCTTTACAATGAAGCTTAAAAGTTATCTATATATCTATTCATCCATCTTTGTTATTAGATCTGGCTTCATTTAACTTTTATTTTATTTTAGAGCAATAAATGCACAAATAATTATATCTAATTAAATATATATTTGGTGAATTAAACGTATATTTGGTAAATAAAAATAGATTATTTTAATTTTTAAAGGTTTAAATAAATTAATAATTTATTTTTTACTCTTCTTTTAATATTATTATTATTTTATAAATTTAATTTATTAAACAAAGACATTTTGCGTGTTTTATTAATTTTTTTTTGTCTAATTAATCTATAAAATATAAAATTGAGTGAGACCACGAATTCAATTATTTTTTTATACTTTTCTTTCAATTTTACATCAAGATTTTGTTTATTTTTGTAAATTTGATTATTTAAAAAAAAATTAACATAATTAATTATCATTTTACCATAGCTCACTCATTACTTACTTCATTTATTATAAGAATAAAAAAACTGTGTCTATTCAAAAGACAGATTTAAAAAATCTGATTATATCAATTATCTCATGATTAAAAAAAATTTCTAATTTATTCAAAAAAAGGAAGTTTTTATCTAAAAAAAATTTTTAAAAATCTGATAATATCAATAATCTTTATATAAATTTATTTTGTTATAAATATTTTAAATTAATAATAGATTTTTAAAATGATAAAAAATATTACTTTAAATTTCAATAAAAATAAATAATTTATTGCTAAAAGAATTTAATTAAATTTTTAAACAACAAGACAAATATAAAACCTGAAACCAATAAAATTAATTGATTGTTAAATATAATTTATATCATTCATTTTGTTTCAAAATTTGATCTTAAAGATTGTTATTAAATGGTTTCAGGTGGCACGATATTAGGATCGAAGAATATACTGTCTTCCTCCTCCTCTTCATATTAATCTTTTTTTTACTATTCTTCTGTGGTTTCATCAAAAATGCTTTTTTCTCCATTTTTAGAATTCAATACGATATCTGTATACTTTTTCCATGCTTACAAAGCCAGAGTTGCATAAAGCTAATATTTATGTATGATAAAAAAATAAATTAATTTAATTTGTTTTTTGATTAGAATAAATTAAATTACATGATTTTTAATTGGATTATAGACTTTCCATCTTCTTCTTTAGCTGAGTTGTGAAAGTTCTAGTTCCTATTAATATTAATATGTAAGTTAATACTTTTTTAGTTTATTTTATTCATTTTCTGTTAATTTACTTCTGCAGTACAATTCGAGAAAATGGAAGAATTCATATTATTGAAAGAAGACATTGAGCCATAACAATAGTTTTGATCAGTTTGAATTCTATTAAACTTTTCGCTAATTAAATAAAAGAGCAGATCTTTGTAGTAAAGACATGAATCTTCATTTATCTTAATCTTCATATTCATAATCCTTTTCTGATATTGCAGTTTTGATACCTTTTTCTTTTTATTGCTTTACCTTATTTGCTCTTCTTCTTCCACTAATTTTAAAACAAAAATATTAATTATTAAGATTTATTATATAGTGTATAAATATTACTTGTTGCATCAAATTTTACTAAGAAGTAGATGAGATTAGATACTTTCATCAAAGAGCCATTCTAAGAAAATTTATATTTATCCCAAGTACTCTCGAAAATTGCTACAATCTGCTTATATTTGTTTTTAGCTTAAGCTGATTCATTTAAATCAAATTTTCGGATGATATCTAAAACGATAACAGTGTTTAAAATGCCGTTGCACGAATAAATAATTATTAAATACAAAATATTTTTATAACCTTAAGATTAATCAATTAAAAAATAATTAGGATTAAGGTTGAAAATCATGAGCAAATACTCAATTATGCTTTTGCTTGAATTTTCTAAATAGTAAGATAAGCAAACTATAGTGGTCAGAGATACTGTAAATGTGAGAAGAGCTTACCTAAAAATTTACTTTTTAAATTTAATGATAGGAAACATATACTTAGTCCTTAAAAGCATAGGAAGCTATAACAAAAATTGAATTTGTAAGTTTTCATTCTTAAGCACATCTGAAAAAATGTTAATAACGAAAATTAGCGAAAGAATCAGTGACTGGGCTAAAAGAGTCTAATGGATTTTATAAAAAAATTTTAAAGATTAGTTCAATTAATTAAAAAAAATGAATTATTTTTACCTTATTTAAAGTTGTTAAAGAGGAGAAAGGAGTATTGTAGTAAACATGAGTATGCATTAAGCAATAGAGGAATATTAAACAAGAGAAACCTTAAATAGCTATAGATTTCAGTTAGTAATTTTCTACTGTTAAATATAAATACTCATCTTATGGTAAATACTCTTCTACTATGCCAATAAGAAAAAGAGAAAGATAGAACAATCCTGTCACTAAAGAAACAGTAAAATTATGCCATTTACTTTTCAAAAATCTATGAAAAATTGAAGCTTATTGATTTATATTTCTTGATTTAATAAAATAGAAATTGAATTTGTGGTTAGCTATTTTTTATTTTATTGAGGTCCAGATTATGTTTGGATTCTGGTATTTTAACTATTGCTTGGAATACTCTACTAGAATTATACTCACAAAGAAATTGACTGAAAAGAGATAGAGCAACTAGCTAATGAATAGAATTACATAGTCTGATTAATTTTTTATTGAAGGTTAGACGAAAAGGACAAATATCAGATAAATGGATAAGAAAATAAATAAGATTTAAAGTAAAACTTTCTTTGAATGTGATATGGCTTAAATAATATCAGCAAGTCTTTTAATACCAAAAGGTATCAGGTACATTAAAAAAATAACTCTAAGAAACCCAAAATAAGTATTTTAAAAGAATGGCTAGATGCCATAAGCAATGAGACATATGCAAAAAAATATCAAATTTCTTAGTGATTTTAGCAAGTATGATTTTCTATCGAAAAGCAAGCCATAACTAATACTATTAATAAGAATAATCAGCGCGAACAGAGGAGGTTCTACGAATTTCTCAAAGTAAGAAACTATAACATTAAAATCGTTATGGTAATTTATTGAAAAAGCAGAGCATAAGAAGTAAAAAATTTCTTTTACAGAAATTAGCAGATACAACATAGATGTCATTTAACAAAATAATACCGAATTAACTAATTTTAGGCATGCTACTCTTAGGCAATTTCTTCTAGAAAACAAGAAAAAAGACTTCGTGTCTTGGCTTCTATTGCTTGAATGATTTTGAATAAAGTTTCTCTAAATGGATTAATCCAAATAAGGATTTACAGATTAATTATTTAGAACTTATCTATCTTAAGTTCTTGAATCATCTTATAAATCGATTTCGTCTTCAAAATTATCATAATTTTCGCCTCCTTGCTAAATTGGCTATTTGGCTTATCCAAATTAAGTGCCTAAAGTGCTTAAAATTGCCTCTTCATCCTCTTCAATTTCGAAAATCTCTGAATATCTGAGCATCATTCCTTTCAGCATTGGCTAAAAAAAGAAGAACATCAAAGCAAGAGGTATGTATGGAGAAATAGCACTGGATGAGTTGCAATCAATATATGCATGATAAATAACGAAGTTGAAGAATACGATAACAGTAAAATCTAGTAGGAGAGTTGCTAAATGAGTAGAAACTGCAGTAAAGAACGTCATGTGAGAGCATATTCCATAAAATATAAATATAGCGAACAAACGGTAGTAGCTAGGATTAAACATCACAAGAATATAAAGAATATTCTTAAAAATAGAGATGGCATTTGACATTAATTTATCAATTACTATTTCATAAAATATGAAAAAGAAACTAAAGAATCTAAAACTATCCTAAGTATTATCCAAATAATAATAGACAGAATACGCAATAATAGAAATCCCTTAAATTATTGAGTATAAAGGTTTATTGTTATAAAGATTGTTCATGTTATCGTTATCTTTAAAGATTGCAAATCTACCTAAACTAAAATGAGTACCTACATATTCATAATATTGCTCTTAGCTAACTTTCTAAACTATGCTTAAGAGATTCTCAACAACTAATTTTAAGAAAAATAGACACACTAAAGCACAAGCAAACGCGAAATAAATTTAAGGCTGAGATAAATTGTATCCATTTTCATAATTATTAGAGTCAATTTTAGATCCACTTGTGTAGATTGTTAATACATAATATCTAAAATACTCAATTGAGCTAAATGAGTATATACCCTTTGGTGATAGTTCAGTTAAGTTGAACACATTAAAACTTATGTTAAAGAGCAAAATCAAAATAACTAAAAATCCAAAAATTTCTAAATTAGGCTTGAAGGAAGATTGTATAACATCAGTGATACTTCTTATTCTAATTGAAAGAGCTCTCAAACTCCACAAAGAAAATAAAAACTACCCGAAAAATAAAATATTTAGTAAATTTGAATAAAAATAAGAATGTGATTCAGAGATAAAAAAATTAGCAGCACTTAGTCCTACTCTATAGCATATAGAAAAATCAAAATTAACCTCCTTTTTTATACAACAAGAAGCAAAAACCCATATAATTAAATAGAGTGAAATAAGTTGCTTAGGTACACTTTAAGGCAATAATTGCTGAGGTATTATGTATCCATACAAAACACAATTAAAGATGATGAAAATCTTGTAAAATACATTAACACGTTCAAGAGCTCTTCTAGATTGAATTACTGAAGAATTTTATTAATAAGTATCAGTGCTTTCATTAGCATTTACATCTACATTTCCTGGATTATCTTAATCTATTTCTATTTTTTTAAATAAGTGTTATAAAAATTAATTGGTTTTATTTGAAAAAGAAAAATATCAAATAAATTTTAAAATCAATCTAATAAATTTTGGTTATTAAAAATTATTTTAAACCATCTTTAAAGCTTCTAAATAATTTTAAGGAAATAAATTATATTTTTTAATAATTATCAATTAATATTTCTAAGCTATTATCAATAAAATAAAGTAAAAAATAATTCATAAATTTAATTAAAATTTATGATATTTCATAATTTCTACTTAATTTTAAGGTTATTTTTAAATATTAAATTGAAATTTAATTATCTCAACTTATTAAAAAAATAAATAATTTACTTTAAAGATTTTATTTTGAGTGGTCTTGTTAGGATTAAGGTCTTTCACTTTTTTTAAATTTATTTTGTTAATTATTTTTTTTCTTCTAAAGTTAGCCTAAATTCGTTTTTAAGGAGTTTTCTTGTTAATTATCAATCGATAAATTAGAATTATCATTTAATTAGATAGATCTTATTTAAATTTCTTGGAGGTTTTTATTATCTTTGGTATTATCGAAATGGTGAGCACTTTCTTCGCTTTTTAAATTTGCAAAGGCTTATGTTTCGTTATTTCTACCAGTCATTGTATACTATTGCTGCTCAGTTTAGATAAAATTTGCTTGGTCAGATTCATATTTAATATTTGTTGATTAGTTAAAGAAATTAGCAAATAGCTCATTTGCACTTTGCTAATTTTAACTTACCTTTTAGGTCTAAAAAATTTTTTCATAACTTTATTTTTTTTATGTTTCTTCCTGCCCTTTTACTAAGGATTTTTTTTTCTCTCTATTAAAATTATCAGTTTGTTCTACTTTTGATTAATCTTCTGATTAGATATCTGAACTCACAATATAATAATCATTTTTTTGTATCTTTTTTTATGTGTCTTTTTACTCTTTACTAGTTTAGTTGAATTGCTTTGAAGCGACTGTGTTATTTTTTTATTGAAAAGTATCAGCTCTAGCTTGGAAAAGATGCTTACTAAAATCAGATGTTGGATCCTGCTGAAGAATAATTTCACAATTATGTTCTTCGCTGGCTACCTATTAATCATCTTAATCGCTTTGGAATTGTTTAATAATCCTTTTGCTATCGTCTATACTTGTGGGGTCATTTGAACTGTGCATCATCTTTATTGAGTAATTTAATTCATAGGAGTTGCTTCCACTGAATTATTTAGAGTCAATGCTCAACATTCCATTAGCATTAAGTTAACTCAGTTAATTATTGTTATTATTGTTATTACTATTACTATTCTAATTATTATCATTTTTGTTTGATATTTTTTCAACACTTAGCTTGGAAAAACCGAAAGAATTAGTTTGATTAGATGATGTGAAGTTCATTTCAATAATATCTGGTGTTGATGATTTTTTCTCATTTGCTGCATTGATAATTTCAGGAGAATTATAAGAATAGTTATCGCTATTGGTACCTCCGCCAACAATAACTATTCCACCACTGCTTTAAAGCGGATGGTCGTTTTAATGTTAATTTATCTGAAGCATATTAGATACCCAGAAATTCCCTCCACTCTTATTATATACTTCACAATCATTTGACTTATTTTTCATCATTCTCAAATGTTCAGGTATCTAATTTTCATTAAAATTTTGTATTGTTTCTTCACCGTTATCGCTTGCGCTACTACTTTTCCCATCTCCATTATTATTTTTATTCTCAATATGAAACATTGAATCTTCAACTTAATGGTCTATCATAATACTACCTTTTTTTTAATTTCTTTGTATAATTTCAGTATTTTGGGCTGGAGACTTTTGGTCGAAGGCTTAATTTTAACCAATTTAATGTCCAAACTCCTCTTTATGCAACTACTTGTGCTCTGTATTGGTATTTTATTAACTTTAATCAAATAACTCTTAACTCTGCTCACTAGCCTAATTATTTTATTCATAAATGTTACATTTATTATTAGCTTTTACTTAATCTTCTGCCGTTTTTTCTTCCTCTTCTACTTCTTCATCATCCTATTTAGCTTTTTAACTTTTTTCTTTGTCACTTTCTTCTTGGTCCTTTGCTTCAGAAACACTTTATTATTATTATTTATTTATACTATCCATCTAGGTATTTGATACATTGTTATCGCAAACTTCATAATCATCTTGCGAGCAGCTTTTTTTTGTTTTAACTTCATCAGTTTTGCTAAATTAAATTGTAAATTGGCTACTATTCGATGAAGCTTCTATAATGGCATTCGATAATTATCTATTCATTTATTCTTTTGAGAATATTTGATTTCTTTTTGCATTTGAATCTTCTTCTGTTGCCATGTGTTACTACTCAATTTCTTCATATCTATCATCGTTCTACAAAATCTACTCCTTATTATAGCTCTCTTCGTGAAAATTTATATCATCAGAGTCCTCGATTTATTTACTGATGCTTGTAAAATTATGTTTATTCATCTAAGAAGATTCATCCTACATCTTATTTTAATTATCATCGTTTGTTTCAATCTTAGTCTCTTCATTTTGAATGGATTCATCATGATTTACCTACTTACTACATTCATTATTTTGGTGATCTTGTTACAAGTCTTCTTCGTCCTCATCGGTTAGTCTTTTTAAATTTTATGAAGTATTATCAAAAAACTTAAATATAATCTCGTATTATTTATTAAATATATCTACATTCCGCTTGCTTCAATTTTAACTTCTTGTGACATTTTGAATTTCGGATGACTTTTTTATTACAAATTTAAGCTTTTTCTATTTAAATCAACAAAACTCAACTTAATTTAATAATATAATAATAATTAATGCTTTTTGCTGAATTTCTCTTTCTTATATTTCAAAAAGGAGTGATAACTATAAAACTAATTAACTAACTAACTATTCGTTTAATAATAGAGCAAGTCATATAAGAAAATAATATAAATATATGAATTAAATAAATAGTGTTTTTTGAGAAATAATTAATCTCTTCATAATAATTGATTTCTGATAACTAGCTTTATGATGTCAATTTAAATTGCAATCTAATCATATTTTAATTTAATATACAAACAATTTCAGCATAAATTATTAATTGCTTTTGATTAGCAGAAATCTATATCAATTAATTAATTCTACGTTCCGTTTAAAATGCTTTTTAGTTTTTTATAATTATTTATCACTTTGCATGAAATCAGAGAGATTATTTTAAATGCACTGCTAAGTATAAAAAATAATATTTTCTATTTGAAATTTTGTGTTTGTACAAATAAATATAAAAAACAGTTTGGATTATTCTACTGATTTAATATTTCCAATATTTTATTGGTAATTTGAGTGGATTGTAAAAATTTGAATACAGTATCATTAAAATTAATTGGATCTATTAAATTCTGTTATTTAAAAGTAGAGAAAGCGGATAATCAATTGAGTATAATAATGCAAGTTACATAAAAATTATAGAGTAAATCAATGATAATTTAATAATTATTAATTAATATATTTTTTAAATCAAACTTTATGAGGCCAATTTACACTTTCAACTAATGTTTATCTTTTAATAAGTTGGAGAGTTGATTTTTAATAAAAAAGAACATATGCTTCTTTCTTAGGAATCTATTTAATATAATAGTTAATATAGAATTTATATAACTAAATATAATAGAAAAATTATTTATAATAATAAAAATAAACTATATAATAAAAATTAATTAATAATTACATTTTCTTCAGGATCTTATATTAATGAAGTTTTGCTATCATTAAATAAATACCATTGCTTATCCTCTTAGTTTTTACAGTAGGCAACGTAATGCCCAAAATTTAAATAACCTTTATGAGATATTACTGAAAATAAATCATATATGGGTTTTTCTTTTTATAAAGTCTTTGGAATAAATTCGCTCATATCAAAATGTTGAACAGGGAATTAAACTTTAGTAGTTATTTTTTTCTTTGATTAAGCAGTATATTAAAATCTCTTCATACAGATCATTAAAATAGGAGGTAATTTCCACAAATCTATTTTCTTTTCAGACTTTTAGAAATCTTTACATTCAGGGCAGAACCTTTTTAAATTAAAATTATTAAATTTAAATAATTTTGTTTGTCATTTTAGATAATTCTATTTAGCCTTAACAATAATTAATCTAAACAGATTTAATATAATCAATACATCAATAAGATTTAATATTGATTACTTAAACATTTATAAATTTAGCTATTAAATTTAACGTATGCTTTTATGAAAATAGGGTATTTAAATTTATAATTAATAATTTTTAAAATTAATTAATTACCATTTTTCATCTCCATCCAGTATTTCTTTTTCTGTGAATTATTCAATACAATCTTAAATGTTTATTTCATTTTCAGCTTTTTAAGGAATGGGTACTGTCAGATACATAAAAGGTTCAAATTAATACTTAGCTGTTTTACATTTTAAGCATTTTAGTGTATTTTTGAGTTATCCTTAAAATAAATCTACTATGACACTCTTATTTCTTTTTAAATAATCTCCCCAAGAATCAGCTGCTAACTTTTCTAATTCTTTCTGATTTAAGTTTTTAAAATATTCTTTTTGTTCAACATATGGTTTCTTTTCAACTCTGTTTAAATCCTTGATTTAAATAGCAAAATTTACATAATTAAAAATAATTAAATAGCTATTATACAAATTACCTCATGAATTTGATCGAGCAAATAAAGTAAAAACTCCTAAGAGTCTTGTTATCTACCTGAAGAATACTTTTATTTTAATAATAAATAACAAATAAATACAATTTATTAAGAATGTTTAAAAAAATAAGTCTTTTAAAAGGTAGAAAAAATTATTCCAATTCAAAAAAAAAAATCTTTTAAATAAAAAATTTATAACAAATTATTAAAGGAAAATATAAAATAAAATTGATTTTATTTACTATTTTATTGAAATAAGAAATAACTCTTAAGAATTCATCAGGACTGACTGAATCTTCTTTTTAATTCCATATTTGTCTGGTTATAAATATTAATTTAATTTTTTAATTATATAAATTACTATAATTAATATGATTTATAAATACATAAAAAAAATAAGTTTAATATTAATTACCTCACAAGATTTGCAAATGCTTTTATTACAACACCTCCAGAACCCATAGGATTTTAAATATTAATTTCATTATCTTCCTTATTCTGCAAACAATAATCGGTCAATGGTTATAAGTTGCTTAAACATTAAAGTGCTATTTGTAAATAAAATTATATTCATTTTTAGTTTTCTACTAATTTAATTTTGTGATTATATTTAATAGTATTTACCAGAATTCATAAAGCAAGTGTTTCCTAAATTTATCAATCCAACTTTTCCTTTGACTTTATTTTCTGCAAGATCAATAACTTCTTCTTCTTCTTGTTCATCTTATACATTGCCCTTCTTTTGCTTTTTTTTATCTGAATAAAGTTTATTCTAATATGTTTCAATTCTTTCTTTATGATCTTTTGTATTGATTAGGTTATTTTTTCTTTTAAAATCATCGATAAAACTCTTCTCCTCCTCCTCTTTCCTTTTTTCTTCCTCTTCTTCTTTTTTCCTTTTCTCTTCCTATTCTTATTTTATTCTTTTCTCTTTTTCTTCTTTTGTCTCTTTACCCTTTTTAGCTTTATTTTTTTAATCTATATTTTGTTCACTCAAAGATTAAGTTTAATCCTAATCATCTTAAATGACATTCTCATCTTTTTATCTAGTTTTACTATTAGTTTATTTCTTTTCATCTTATTTCTTCAGCTACTTTGAAGGTAAATCAGCTTTAATATTCTCTAGTAAATCTACGTGAGCAGATCTTGTAATCCTTTTAGACATATCTAAATAAATCTTAACTCTAAAATGTTTATTTATTATACTTATACTAATGCAAATAAATAGCTATTCTTATTTTAATTAATATATATTTACCATAAAATTTCTTTATTAAATGCATACAATCTTTCTTATCAAAACTGAATTATTTGTCTATAAATCAAAGTGCACAAGTTAGTTAATAAACCGCGATAATTAATTTTTATTCATTATTAAAATTTTGTATACAAAAAACTGATCATTTTAAATTATAAGAAAATATCAAAAGAAAATAAAGTGGATATCTGATATTCTAATCAATATTTATCAATACTTTTATTAATTTTAATTATAATATTTTAATACTTTAAAAAAATATATTATAAATAAAAAAGGTTTCTATTTTTAAGGTTTAAAAATTATAATTTTGATAGAATAAGGAGAATAGATTTGAATTTTTATTTTGTGTTTTATTCATAATCCTATTTTTAAATACTTTAATTTATCCAAAAAAAAATAAAGGTCCCACTGGGATTCGAACCCAGGTCAAGGGATTTAAAGTCCCCAGTACTAACCACTATACTATGGAACCGGAACACAATTATAAGGTATTAAATTACTGGCTAATATCTCTTTTCACAATAAGTAATTTTAAATTATCTTTTATTCATATAAAAAAAATAATATATATAAATTTATCTTCAATTTAATGGTATAAATATTATTGAAAGATATCATAAGAAATTCCTTAAAATCACTAATAGCCAAAAATTAAGAACCATTTCGATTATAGTATAATTTTAAAAAATAATTAGTATTATCAAGGTTTAAAAAAATTCAATTTTATTTCAGTATAATTTTTAGTAAATAGTTTTAAATTACTAAATTGATAATAGCCTTTATATTTTTCAACTTCAGAAATTAATATCAAAAAATTTATTTGTTAGATAAAAATGATTTTATTCTTTTTTTGTTTTATATCCCCAAAAAAACTGCTTCAAATTTATTTTTCGCATTTATAAAATAAAACAAGATTATTTTAGTTTCATCTAATTTTAATAATTTTCTATAGATATTTGTATTACTTTAATAAATTACACTTTTTATTAAGTTTTAGATTAAACACCTTAAAAAATAAACAATTAATCATATTAATCTAAACTAAATATTAAAATCTTTCTCTCATATTTTCAAGTATTTTTAAGATAATTGATTAACTAAAATTAAAAAATTTTTTATGTCATTCATTTTCTAATATATTTAACAAAAAATTTTTTCACATTAAAAGAAAATGTCATTTGTAAGAACAAATTATTGTTTTGCTCAATTTTATTAATTTGATTATGCTTAGATGATTTCTAATTTATATAATTTTATTATCCGATTGATAAATAAAAGAAAGATAATTATTATAATTTCCTAATTAGAAATTAGAGAATAGGCAATTAGATAATTAGGTAATTAGATGATAAGGTAGTAGAAAAAATTCAAATTAATTTTGGTATTAAATAGACTTTAATTAAATTTTAAAATTTAAACAAATAAATGAAATAGAAAAAATATTAATTTTTAAAATTTGAAATTAATGATTATTAAATAAATAAATAATTAAAAATAATTTAATACTTACATTAATTAAAATGTGTTTACGCTAATAAAAAATACAATTAAACAAATTTGGGTTTACCTATTTATTTTCAAAATTTAAATTGAATTAATATTTTTATTCATTCTCTCATATAATTTATTCTATTAATTACTCACTAATCAATTGCATTTGGCTTTTTTTAGAATAAAAAGATTTAAATGATGAGCTTATAACTTAATTAACTTAAAATAAATAATTTTTATAATAAAATCTATATCAAAAAATATACAAAGTAAATAAAAAAACAAACAAATTAATAGGCAATTCTTTGATTGTAATAAAATGAATTAAGAAACCACAGATTCAAACAAATACCCATAATTATAAAATATGTAAAACGATTATCCAATTCAGCATGTTCCTATTTAGACCTATTTTGTTGTTGGATAGTAAGTAAAAAATTCAGAGTAGGTTTATTCTTGTGATGAAGAAACCTAACAAGCAAAAATTCATGATTAAGAAAAATAAAACCATACTATTATAGTAAAATCAAATCCTGACTAAATTAGTATTCAATATTCAAGTCCTGAAATAATATATTGCACTGCTTCTATGAGATCTGGGAAAGTTCTTTGCAATGTTGGTGTTGGAGTAAATGGTATCACTAATGCACTAGATTAAATATACTAAGAGCTGAATTTAAAATTCCCAGTATTTTCCTTAATTGGCTCACTAAATCTATTGTCATCTAATTAAATTAAAAGCAAAGTAATTTAACCTATTATTGACATAAATAAAGATATTGACTCTGAAAAAATAAAAAATGGAAAAGTTGCTTATTGCTGTTAAGCTCTCTAATAGATCATTTCTAAACAATTCTGTTACTTGATTACCATACTTACTATTTGCCTACTAATGCTTATAATTGGGTATGCAATATATATAAATAACTCAGTTTCAGGGTTATAATTAGCTGCGCCCTTTATTATTCACATTATTTTAACATTTATTTAAATGAAATTGTTAATTATTAGTCTCCTTTTCTGCCTTCCAAAATTAATCTAATTTAACATCTTTTTGGCTGCTTTAAATATCTTATACACAGCTATAATATTTATGATTTCCTTTTTTGTTGAAGCAAATAATAGTAGTTATGACTACGTTGGTGATCGTCTAGTGATCCAGATCCCCTGCTTTTTGATGTTTGTCGCTACTGTCTTTTTCTTTTGTGTAATTAAATCAGCAACTTAAAGATTACTCATTTTAGTAAAATAAACTGGATAGCTTGAATTCATTGATGGATGTTGCATATGAAATTTAAATAATTCAAAAATTACCTGTCATTTATATTTTACTAATTATACTGCATTTTTATATTTTAAAATATTCTGATTAAATTTTCTATTAGTATTTTAAAATATTTAGATGTAAACTTTTACATAAAATTTATCTCAATTAACATAAAAATATAATTTTTTAGTCCAATTATATGTTTAAATTATAAAATATTTGCAAATAACAAAAAAAATACACTTTTTTAACCTAAAATAATTAAAATTTATTATATTTTATGATTCACTTTTTAAGCATAATTTGAAAAATAAAATATAAATATATTAAGATTCTTATTATCTTAGTAGAAAAAATGTTTCCAGAATTTTTGTTAATTTTGTTAATTTTTTTATAGGGAACCATTTTTCCTCATTCACTTTTGTCCGCATATAATGATAATGTCTTTTATTAAAATATTTATTAAATAAAAAAACAATAAGAATTATTTTTGAAAAAGCGCTTTATTCTTTAATAACAGTTTACTGATCTAAGAATCTAATATTTTTGGAAACTTTTTTTGCATTTACAATGAAATCATTTTAGTTAATCTATTTACCTTTTAAATAAAATAATTTTTAAAGCAAAATAAAAGCATTTAAGATGAAATTTAGTGTTTATCTTTAATTTTAATTTGATTATAATTTATTTTTGATTAAAAATCTATTTGTTTATTGAATAAACTTCAATAAAACACTAAACTTGTATACTTTAACATATATGGAATATAGATAAGGTCAATTATAATAATAATAATTAATTAATTTGTAGTAAAAAGTTAAGATAATGAATTTCCTTCAGAAATTATTTAAAATACTTAAAAATACACTTTATGAATCTATGTTTTCATTTAACCTCAATTTACTTAATTTTGCAATCAAATCATTTTGGCTTGATAATAGTTCATATTTTAAATGTTTGTTTTGATATTCTTTGTATTCATAATTCAGCTTATCTTTTATATGATAAATGATAAGACTTTGATTCTTAAGCTCTTTTTGTTAAGATATGTATTTAAAGCTTTAAATGTCTCCGTTTGATAAAAGGAGTAGTAACTTTTTTCTTTTCAAATTGTTTAAGTAAATTTAATTATTTTTAGTATAATCAAGTTCTTAAATTTTATGATTTTTATTTTGAATTAAATTTTGCTTAATTTTAGGTGTAGTTTCTAAAGGTTTTTGTTCATAAATATAAGTAGCAACGCATAAATTAAGGGCTTGCTATAGCTAAATTTAACTTTAGGTAATTTCTTCATATATATAAAATTCTTTTCTTAAATTTGATAGTGAGTCTAGAATTATTTTCCAATGGTCATTATTTTAAATTATTGTATAGGGCATAAATTAGTTAATTTATCTGTTATAAACAATAATTTAGATTCTATCATTTTTACCTAAAAAGTTATACTTTTTAAAACCATTGATTATTTGTAAGAAATTGCATTATCTAAATGTCGGATCTAATTCGAGAAGAATTGTAGTATCTATTGGGATTCTTAATTCTGTGTTTAGATACTCTTCATCAATAAAATCTTATTTTAAGCAATATTTTTAAAAAAGTTTAGCTAAAATTTAAATTGTCCTCATTTTCTAAAAGTGGTCATAGTGAGTAGATATTTCCAAACTCTATGTTAAGTATTCAATAGCTTGTAACCAGTTTTTTCTAACTTTCTCTGTCATTCCAAGCAAAAATAAATGCTTGCTCTTAAATGTTTCACATATGATAGCTTTTACATTGTAATTTGATATCTAAATTGTTTTTTTCTTCCTAAATATGCTGTTTGTTTAATTAAATTAATCATTTGAAATGAAGATATTATTGGCGACAAATAAGAATTATATTTTTTTGAAATAATTTGTCAATTCTTTTTATATCTAGCCTAAATAAATAAGTATTTCAGATATTTCTTGATACAAAAAGATTTTAAAGATATCAGAGAAATCCAAGTAATGATTTTCAATTATTTTTTCAACTTGATAATATTAGTTTAGAGATTCTTTCAACAAAGATAAAACATTTTATTGTTCCATATCTAATTTTGTTTTTTTATTTGCATAAATCTAAAAAGAATGTAAATTTTTAATTAGCATCTCTAATTAATCATCATAATATTCCTTTTATTCTATATAAATTTATTAAAAGGCTGAGCACTTTTAGCTGTAGGCAAATGAAAAAATTCTTTTTGCAAATATAATAAGCTAGTCTTTTGAATCCTAATCTAAACCCTAAAGAAGTTTATAACTTGTTAATGTCGAATAATCTTCTCCAATTAAATTCAAATTAATTTATATAGCAGATTAAAAATACTCGGAAGATAGACTGTACTCATACTTTAGGAGGTATATTAGTCCCAAATTAAAATAACAGCGGCTTAAACCAGTTTAATTGTTTAGCTTTAAAAAGAGCTCCTTTGCTTTGGCAAAATGAAAAAGAGCATTTAAACTATCTTGAGTACTACTTATCTAAGATGATTAAACGGAGTAATTAATAACAAACTCCAAATCCTGAAATGTCTTTTTTATCACTTTCATTTCTAAAAACATGGGTTTCAATCCTTTTAAGATTTTTTTTGTCTCACTTTCTTCTTTTTATAGCATTATAATTTCCTATTCTTATTATTATTGATTTAGCGTACCTATTTAAATCATACTTTTATTTTTATGCTAATAAAATTATGACACTTTACCTGTCATTATTGTTTGTAAGCTTTCTGTCTATCCCTCTTTTATAGGCATATCTTCATCTTATTCTGAATATTAGCTCAATCTAAACGTTCTATATTAGCTAAGAGGTGACTCAGTTATTTATTTTTCTTTTTAGCTAGGTTAATTGGTTGATCGGATACTTAAAGGGCTTCTTAGAATTACCGAATCATTTGAATCTAATTTTTAGAAATAGGTATAAATATAGTCAGGCTAGTTTACAAATTAAGTTGAAGTCAGCTTAGTTTATCTTTTTTCAGAGCTTTTTCTGAAGTGGGTTGGTTAAGACCTCAAAGTCTCCCTATCAAATTAAGTTGTAAGAGTCCTGCTGCAAGACTAATCTTGCAATAGACTCTTTTTTAAAAATGTAGTTAATAAGCCAATTGGTTTCCATATTTAAAGCACTTAAAATCTAGCAAAATTGATAATAAATACTACAATAGCTACAATTAAAGCTATAAAAGAAACAAAAATTGGAATTTTAATATAATTAGCATTTAATAAATTGAATAGTTTCAAAGACTCTCTATTATCAGTAAATACTCGAGCTGTTAGAACAATAGAGTATGAGTAAGGTAATTAGCTCTCATTAACTTAACTTAAAATTGGATAAATCATGCTTATTCTTTTTAGAATCAAAAAATTTTATTACTTCAAATCTTTAAACAAATAAATAAATAAATTAAATAATTAATTAATTACTTTTTATTTCCGAATTTCGACCATTACTAATACAGTTTATCTAAATTTTAATTTTATTCTAAAGAATAATTTCCAGTTTTAATAAAATCTTGAGTTTAACTGATTTAATATTAAAAAGATTGCTTTTCCAAAGTGCATTCTTAGAATTTCTACTAACCCTAACAATTGGATGCTAAGTCATTATATTCTAAGTCTGGCCAAGAAGTTAAATTACTTTTATCTAGTAAAGGATGGGCAAATACCTATTTCATTGATTCTTAATTAATTTTATTAGTCTAAAAGATATTTTAATAAAAATACTGTGCTATTAAATTCATGAAGTAAGACAGAGTATGAGCAATTAGTTTAAGTCTAACCAAATATATTTTTAAGATTAATCATGTAAATATCAATGCTATTTACAGAGTAAAATTCATTCTATCTAGTAATTTAGCTAGAAAGAGTCATAAGTAGATCATTTCCAATAGAATCGAGATAGGGCTCAAAAAAAAATTATCCTTTCAAATTTAAAAAGAATTTAATTTATTCATCACAAATATTAATATTACCTTGATTTTTAGCAGCAAATTAGTACCATTTTCTGCATCTAGGATCATATGGCTCAATAAAATCTTTACCAAGGCAAGACTCATATTCAGAGTCGGTATAATTATAAAATCTAATTCGTGAATATTGCATAAATAAATAAATTATTAGTTAATTAATTTCAAAATACCCTGAAGGAATTCCTTATTAAACTGATGTTTTATCATTGTTATATATGAATGCAAGTTAGATTAACCCTTCGAGCTAAGAAGCATAAAAGGCAGATTTTCCATAGAAAGAAATAAAATCATTCTTTTAATGTGAATATAAAAAAAATTTTAAATTATAAACTAACTATTGAAAATAGATTCAGTAGAAATAAAATTCAAAAGGTAATTAAATTTTTAGTATTTTTTTTTAATCGAAAATACCATTTATATAAAGTATTGCTATTCCTGTGTTAGTAGATCATACCTAAACTTTTATCTAACGAAATATAAATCGACATAATACTAGCTTTGATTCAATTAACTATAAACATTTTCTGGGCATTGGTTAAAAATCAATTCTCTATAAGAACACACTGTAAAATAAGCCTACTTATTAACTTATATTAAATGAATGGTAAATGAGCAAATAAAATATTGTAAATTCTAAATCTAATTTTACCTGTTATTTCATTATTCTAATATTTTTTCAATAGTTTATTTATAACACTCATATGTATTTACACCTATTAATTAGTATTCATTTTGATAAAAGTTTATCATTTGTTAAAAGAAGTATGTATAAATTAATCAAGCAAAATAAACTTGATTTTATACCTGAGTAAAGCTATATCCTTCAATAATTTTAGAAGAGTAAATAGAATTCATCAACATTTATTTTTAAGTCTACAAAATCCACATTTCACTATCTTATTCCCTTCATTTTTAAAATAATTAATGACAACTTTTTGAAGTTAATGTAGAAATAAGTAATTTGTAAAATAGTAAATAATAGATTTCAAAAATCTTAATTATTATAATAATAATAAACCATGCTTCGAGAGCATCCCATAAGTTTTAATAGAACATTATTAAAACTGAGAACACTCCTACTATTATAGGCAAAGAAACTGTTAGGGTTAGCTGAATTGTTAACTTCTTCATATTTTAATTAGCTTATTTATGCAAATTATGCTTTTTCTTAATTGAAATTTTGGTTCTACTTAATAAACTGGCTTAATAAATATATTTATATAATCTTACGTAATGTTAAAAGAAATACAATATTTTTTATTTACTTTATAACTTAGAATTCAGCTAATATTTTTTGTAAGGAGATTGGTAACAAGATTCTTGTTTAGTTCATCATAATCTTAAAATAAAATCTCTTTATTTTCTTTCTGTCTGTATTTATTCTGTATTTATTAAAATGATAAAATAAATTTACTAATAAATTTTTACTTACTAACCTCTATATTTAATTTAATCATACTTTAATTAACAATACTAACTACATCATTTCCAATCTCTTTTATCTTATTTTTTATTATATTTTTAGAAACATTTTTCCAATTAACATAGAAATAAATATATTTAATCGTTTTAAAATATGTTATCCTTTCCATTTTATTATTTAAATTTATTAAAGTTATTATTGACAATAAATTTAAGAATTCTTCTTATTTTAATGATATAAACGGGTATCTTTTTTAACAATAAAACTGCTTACTTATCTTAATAAAATCTTTCTAAATAATTTTAATTTCTCTTAATTTTACAAAAAAAAATATTTTTAAAATAAATTTATATGAAGAAAAGGTGTTTTTTAAACTATATACAACAAGTTTGTTTTAAATTTAATTAAATGAGAATAAAATAGTATGTTTGAAATGCTTTCAATATCAAACAGAGTTAGATTTTCTATTTAATAATCAAAAAATTTAAAAAGATATAAATGCTACAAATCCTCATAAATTAATACTTGATTTTTTTAATATAAATCTATGAAAATATTTTGAAAAAATTTAAATTATCAAATATTATTTCATTTTAATTAAGGTGCAAATTCAAATTAAGGCGCATTGTATAAAAATGATTCCATTATCACCTTAATTAGAGCCGGACGGTATATGATTTAGAAAGCTTGTATTTGTTTCAAAATTCATTTAAAACACTTAAAAATACACTTTATGTGTCAAAGTTTTCTGTTAATCTCAATTTAGTTAATTTTAAAATTAAATCATTTTGACTTTAAAGTAATTCATAATAAAAATATTTGTCTTAAAATTGCAATTCTTTATAATTAAATAAACAATTGTCTTTTAGATGAAACGTAATAAGCTTATGTATTTTGGTTAATTTTTGTAGAGATTTTTCTTAGAAGTTTTAAATATCTCCATTTGATAACAGAAGCAGGAGCTTTTTTCTTTTTTATAAATAATTATGATTGCTATCTTTTGTAAATTAATCGTAAGACAATTCATTAGCATCCATTTCATTTTTTATTGAATATGTGATATTTAAAGTATTAAGCTCATAAATATAAGGCAGAGAAAGGTAAAGAGCTTATTATAGTGAAAGCTACTTTTGAGCTGCTTCTTCAAAATAAAAAAATTCCTTTCTTAAATCTTGCAATGAATCAATTATTGTTTTCCAATTATCATTGCTTTTTATATGAGTGTAAGGGACAAATTGGTTAATTTATTTGTTGAAAACAATAATTTATATTCTATCGGTTTTATTTAAGAAATTGAATTTTTTAAAACCTTCTAATATTTGTAAAAAATTGGATTGTTTATTAGCTGGTTCTAATTGCAATAAAATTATCAAATCTAATGGAGTGTTAACCTAAGAGCTTAGATATTCCTCATCAAGAAAGTCTTATTTTTAAGATTATTCTTTAAAAAGTTTAGATAAAATTTAAATTGTTTTCATCTTTTAAAAGTGATCATAATGAGTAGCAATTTCCAAGCTCTAAGTCAAATATTCTATTGCTTATAACTTGTTGTTTTTAGCTTTCTCTATAATTCCAAATAGAAAAAGCTGCTTGCTCTTGAAGGCCTCAGAAATCATTGATTTCATGCTAAAGCTTGCTATCAGTAATGAATTTTTCTTCATATCAATTTATCCTTGTGAAATATCTTCAAAAGAAATGTTATTCTTTAAAAACAAAAATAAAATTTTTTTGATATATTGAGTTAATATTTGTTATTTTTAGTCTTAATGTGCAAGTATTTCAGTAATTTCTTAATACAAAAATATTTTAAATATATCAGAGAAATCCTAGGCATGGTTTTCAACAATTTTTTCTACTTTTTAGAATAAACTTAGAGATTCTTTCAATAATAAAAGGATATTTTATTCTTTTAAATCTAACTTTGATTTTTAGTTTGCATAAATTTTATAGCAATCAAGATTTTTAATAAGCATTTCATTTGAGTTATTAAGATCCTCTTTTTATTCAACATATATTTGCTAAAAAGCTGAGCACTTCTAACTATAAGCCAGGGAGAGTATTCTCTTGGTAAATATGATGAGCTAATCTTTTGCATCTTTATCTTGGCCTTAAAGAAGTTTAAAACTTGCTAAGTTTTAATAATCTTCTCCAATTAAATTCAAATTAATTTGTATTGCTGACTAAAAGTACTCAGAGGATAAACTAAACTCATATTTTAATAGGTGGATCAGCCCTAAATTAAAGTAGCATCGACTCAAACCAGTTTAATTATTTAGCTTTAAAAAGAGCTCTTTAGCTTTGGAAAAGTGAAAAAGAGTATTCAAACTGCTTTAAGAGTTTAGCTTTGACTACTAAACAGAGTAATTGATTACATATTCTAATTATTGAAATGTTTTCTTGATGACTTTCATTTCAAAAAACATAGGTTTCAAGCCTTTAAGAATTTTATTTGTTCCATCTTCTTCTTTTTAATGAAGTTAAAAGTCTTATTCCTATGATAAACCATTTGATTATGTAGAAAATAGCCTGCTCCTATTTTGGTTTGTTAATAATTAAGAAGCTCTGCCTGTGGAGAAAGATTATTAACTTTCGATTCGATCTCTTTATGTTGAATCTTATACTATAATTTCTGAGTAAAGACTAAGTCTGTTAGTATTTAAGTAATTTAATGGTGAGTCCATCGCATTTGGACTATAATGGCCTTTATTTTTTGAATTCTATTTTTACCTGTTTGTACTTTTTAAGGCAAATTAATCAGATTAATCAAGATCATGAGACTAATTTTGAATGATATCATCTTTATTTAAAAGGTAGCTACCAAAAACTTCTCTCTTTTTAGAAGATTAATTATTAAATTAAGATTTTTATTTCATTCTCATAGAGGGCTAAGTATGGAGAGTCTTACAAGTAAAATCTTACAAAAGGCTTTTCTATAAAAATTAAGTAAGCAGTTCAATTGGATACCAAATCTAAGTAGCCTAAAATATAGCAAAGTTGACAATAAAAATAATTATTGCAAAACTGATTGTTACAAAAGAAAGAATAAGTGGGAGTTGGATATAATTAGCATTTATCAAATTCAAGAGTTTTAGAGATTTTCTTTTATCAGATATAACTCTACCTGCTAAAGCAATTGAGTAGGAGTAAGGTTTTTAATTTTCAGACCTTTTAATCTAGCTCTAAATTGGATAAACCATGCTTATTCTTTAAGAAATAATAAAATAAATAACCATGTTAATAATTATAAAAAAAATAAAATTTTATTAATTACCTTTAATCTCCAAATTTGGACCAGTACTAATACAAGGAGTCTAAATTATACTTTTATTCAACTGAATAGTTTCCAGTTTTTATAAAATTTATTGTTTAATCAATTTGTTATTAAAATGATTCCTTTTCTTTTTAGCATTCTTCCATTAATTGTGTTTGATTTGAACAAACCATTGTGATATTATAGAATTCTAAATCTGACCAGGAAAGCTAGTCTGTTCTATTAAGCAAAGGATGCGCAAACACCTTAAATTAATAAAATTATAATTTAAAATAAATATTTAAAATAGAAATAAATACTGTATTGTTAAACTCGTGAAGTAAGATACTATATTGGCTCTGACTTTATGTAGAATTAAATAACTTACCAAGATTTATCATGTAAATATCAATACTGTTTACAGAATAAAGTTAATTTTATCTATTAATTTATGTAGAAAGAGTCATCAAAATATCACCTCCAATAGGATCAAGATAGGGCTCAAAAAAAAAGTATCCTATTAATTTATTTAATTAAAAATATTTAATAATATTAAAAATTAATTAATTTACCTGGATTATTAGCAGCAAATTAAAACCATGGTCTACATCTAGGATCGTAAGGCTCTATAAAATCATCTCCAAGACAATCCTCATAATCAGAGTCAGTATAATTATAAAAGCTAAATATAAAAGCAATAAATAAATAAATTAATTAATAAAATTATTTACCCCGATTAAATTCCATACTAAATAGAAGTCAAGTCGTTGTTATATATGAAGGCAAGCTAAATTAATCCTTCAATCTAAGAAGCGTAAAAGGCAGCTTTACCATAAAATGACACAAAATCATTCTTTAAATTATAGATAAAATTTGAATTGATTTATTGATACTTTCAATAAATTATGTGTTTGTTTGCAGTTTAAATATGATTTTATATATTATAATTTAATTAAGCCAATATTTGGAGTAAAAATAATGAATAATTCTAAATACCATTTGTATAAAATACTATTGTTGTTGAGAGAGTAAGTCATATTTGAAAACTGATCTAACAAAATACAAATCAACATAGTTGTTGTTTTCATTGAGCTAACTGTAGACGTTTGGAGGGCACTCATTAAAAATCAACTCTCTGTAAGAGCACACTGTAAAATTAGTTTATCTGTTAACTTATTTTATACAAAAATTTGTTAAACAATAAATAAAAATAAAATCTATAATATTACCAATTAATTGCTGACTTTAGTATTTCGAAAGTAATCCATTTATGATTATCATATGTAGCTATACCTTATTTGATTATAATATGATCATTAAAATACATTAAATAATTGTAAAAGGTGTAGATAGATAATATATACTTGCGTAAAGCTATATCCTTCTAAAATTTTAGAAGAAAAGATGGAATTCATTAGAGTCTACTTTTAAGTATCTAGAACCCACTAATTGCTATCTTATTCCCTTAAAGAATTATTTTAAAAAATGATTTTTAATAAATTATTATAATAATTAGCCATAGTAAGAGAAGATCATTTCATGAAATTTTAAACTTTAATTCATAAAAATATGATTGAATTTAACAAGAATACCATGCATTTAGTGCACTCCATAAGCTTTAATAGAATATCATTAAAACTATAGCAACTCCTGCAATAATTGGAAGAGATACTGTTACTACTAGCTGAATTAATATTAATTTCATTTTGAAGTTTATTTAGAATTTTTAGCTTCTTTATTAATTAAAATTTTGATTCTACTTATCTTACTTATACACACACCTACCTTAATAATTACTAAAAAAATAATATAATATAAATTTGAAAAGTTATTTAATGTTAAATAAACTTAAGCAAAGTTAATTTTTTTAAAAATAAAAGAGTTTCCATATTTACAACATATCATCTTCAGTTCTAAGATAATTAAAAAAACATTTAAAATAATCAAATAGCTATTCATAAAACTAAACAAATCTAATAAAACTTTAACTCATTTCTTTACATTAAAGAACTATGATAACTTAATAAAAAGTTAGATCAAATAAACAAAGATTAAAGCCAAAAACTTGACCTTATAAATTTAATACTAATTGATAAAGAATTAACATATGTAACGATTATTGTTTGATTTCATTATTTATTTAATTCTAAAAATATCTAAATATACAAATGATTAATATACAATTTTAATTAAAATGTATTAATCCTTTTAAGACTTTCTCTTATTTTCTCATATTCATAGTTATTTTAATTAAATTTCAATTAAAATAAATTTATACAAAAAATTAATAAAAATTTATCTTAGATAAATAAACAAAATCTTTTTATTTTTAATGATAAATTTTAATAATTAACTATTGATTTTATTCATTTCAAACTAATTCAAATTAATTAATTTAAGTTGATTCTAATATATTTTATTTATTTTAATCCCATTTTTAAACAAAAATTTCAAATAAATGTTAGGAAAAGTAAGATTTTTTTAATTATTTTATAAATTTATTTAAAAATATATTTTTAGAGCTTTAAACTTAAATAGTTTCTATCAAAATCTAATTTCAACAATTGATATCAATTTACAAACATCTTAAATTTATACTTTTCAAAAAAATTATTTGATTAAACTTTAAAAAATATTCTTAATAATATTTTATGTATGAATTTTGCTTGAAAAATTTAAAGTTAATAAATTTTATTTTATAATAAATAATTAATCAAATATTTTACAAAATACGCAAATAAAAAACTAAGTTAGTATTTTTGAAAAGTAATAAAATTCATGCATATTTCTACTTTTTTTTAGAGTATTACTTATTTATTTTTCAACCAACAGTTAGTTGTATGATTTTAATCAAAATAAAACTTATCAAACTAATAAAATATTATTTTATTTTTGATCAAGTAAAAATGATTCATTCTTATTTTTATTTATTTCTAAATATTTTAAATATATTAATATCTATTTTTGTCTACATTTACTTAACACAGAAAAAAATGTATAAATTCAAAATTATATAATAAATAATTTTAGAATGATTATTTGTCAATTTATTTTTGTATTTCTTATTGGATATTTTTAACTTATACTTATTTTAAATTCCAATATAAAATAATATCATTTGTAAGTTCAAGGTATTGATCATTTATGATTTCAGGTCTTTAGTGTTTCATCAATAAACAGATAGAGGGTGAATTCTTTTATTTTATATCTTTAAATCTTAAATTTAGAACTAATATTTTAGTAAAAGGGATATAAAAATGAATGTTTATGAGCCCATAATTTAGTTATGTAAATATATTTTATTTTTTATTTATTTTAATCACAATTTTGCAAACATTTTCAAATAAATTTATCTAGCTAGCTAGCTAATTAAAACTATCAAATAATCAATTTTTTTATTTTTTTTGAATTGGCCCAGGAAAATTAAATATTTTGAATTAATCAATAAATTTGTTTCCAAATGTGGTATTTAGAGAAATAGATTTAAATTTTTTATAGCAACAATCCATAAACACCCATTTAAATCTAATTAACAAATCATAAATTTATACTTTAATAAGAATTTATTAGCAAAGATTTCACTTAATTTAAACATTAGAAAAGCTCTGTTTATTGTTTTTAATCTTTTATAATCTAAATTTGATTTAAAATAATAAAAAATTCACACTTTTATTTAACAATTGATGAATATAAATTAAATATTTATTTGAAATTTACTAATTAAAAGTTGATATTTTTTCTAAAGCGGTAAAAATAAAATAATTTTACCTAGAAAAAAGTGCTGAATATAAGCTAGTAAGAAGGAAGCTTGATAAAGATATTTACTAATTTCAAAATATTTTTTAGCAAATACTATTTAAAAAAATTGATAAAATATCTAATTATCTTTAATTTATTTTTTGAGAAATTGACAAATAATTCCTTTTTATCAATCAATATCTTTAATTTTGTCTATAAAAAAATGCTTTTAGGCAAAATGCCTAATTAAGAAAATACAAGTTACCTAAATAAATAAATAATAAATTGAAAAATATAGACAGATAGATAGATACATAATTATTACCAATTTTTGATCCTATTATAACTCATCAAAAACTGGCTTGAAAATAATTTGCTTTGAAAAGAATTCATTAGAAATAATTTAATAAAAGAATTTATTTGAATATTTTTAGTGTTTAAATCTTTTATAATTAACAATAGTTTATAATATAATAAATAAATCACCTTTAATAGTATTTTCATCCTTCTAAAACGCACGTTCATTTTTTAAAAAAATTCAACTATTTAATGAAATAATAATGAAATTTATTTCAAGGTTGGAGCTAGCTAGACCTAATAAACAATAGATTTCTATTAAATTTGTAATATTTGCTTAAATATTAAAACTTTTTAATTTTTTCCTATATTAATTGCGTATTAATGAATTGTATTACGAAGTGACTTAAAAATCCAATAAAAAAAGGAAAATTGACAATGATATTTATTAATTAAGAAAATACTTTAAGGAGCTGATTGTAAACATGCAAAAGTTAATATCTTATCAGTTTTTATCAATATTTTTACTCAAATTAGTATTTTCTCATTTTTTACAATCATAATTTTAGATTTTAACTTTTTTCAAATCAAAAACTTTAAAAGTTAAAGATTATTTTACAAAAAAACCTTCGTTAATCAATCAGCTCTCGCCCAAAACAATACTTACTTAATTATCAATTATTAAATCGTAATTAGAAACTACTTTCCATGAAAATATTTGATTAATGAGGATGAGTAGTTTATAACTAATTACAAATAATAGATTAACTTTATATTAAATGAATTCAAAGTATTATTTTTTTACATTAGAAAAAATAATTGAAAAAAATTAAGTACCAAAAAAACATTTTTAAACTAATATCTATTTCATAGAGAAATTCAAAAGGAAAATAAAAAATCATATTTTTTTATATCAAGATTGGTTGTGAGATCAATAAGAGTTTAATAGCTTTAGAATTTATTAATAAATTAAGACTATAAAACATTGAGAGTGAATTAAGTCTGATTAAATACGAAAGATTTGTCAGAAAAGCTGATGTAAGTAAAAAGTTTATATATCTTACAACTTAATTAAAAATAAATTTACAAATTATAACTTAGTCACTTGCTCAGAAAAAAATAATATGATAATTCTAATTATCGAAAGTAAAGATATAAATTTATACCTTAATTTGTCAACAAAATCTTCCTTTTTTTATATTTCTCTTATAAAATTTATTGTCTATTTGCTTAATATTTAAATAAAATATTTTTTGAGTAATCAAGATAGAAATAATGAACCTCGATGTATTTTTATTATTACTCATATATTGATTAATTCTGATAGGGTGTGTAATTATTATTATGCTAAAAGGTAATGAAGTATAATATAATAAAACTATTAAATTTTAAATATTAATTGATTCTATATTTAAAAATACATATAACTATATCATATGCTATATTTTACAAAATAAACTTCTTTTTAGGCACTAGTAAAATTTTTGTAAATTTCTCAGTTTATCAAAAAAATAGTGAATATTAATTCAAAGATCATTTTTTATTTTCATATTTTAGATTTCTAACAATTATAATTTCGAATAAGTACTAATCAGAGAGGAAATTTCACGTTGGAACGATTGCCATTAAAAAGAAGAAATTCTGATAAGTTATGCTGATATTTATTTAGAATCTGATTATTTATTTTGTAGGAATGTAAATACAAATTATAGGCAGGAGAAAATCAAAGCTTTGCAAATTATATACTTACTTACAATTTGTTTAAAAATAGAAAAAAATACTTAACATTCATGATATTATATGTTTAAACATAAAAATTTTATAAATAATTTTAAATGAATGAAATTCACTCAAAAATTTTTATATGAACTAAAATTGAGATTTCAAAAGTTTTTGTTTAAGTAATTCTTAGAATGTAATTAAAAAAAGTAATAAAAATAAATTAAATCAAAAAAAAACAAAACAAAACAAAATAATAATTGAGCTAATAAAAGAAAAAAAGTGTAAAAAAATCTTTAAATTCAAGCAGAAATCAAATAATTTAAGTTTCGTCTTTAACATTAATGTAGTACGCCAATTTTGAAGAAATCGAAATCTCTGATTTTACTTATGACCAAGATAAATCAAGTAGCCTGCAGCTATTTAGCACATAAAATAATGATTTATTTATTCCATATTAAAATTAATACTAAATTTTAAATAAAATAAATCATTTATCAGAAAAAGAAATAGATCTAAATCGAAACTAAAAACCTAAAAAAATTAAAGTGTTCAAAAGAATTTAGAAGAAATTTAGATAAACTGGAATCACAGCCATAATTTAGAAATAGCCACCTTATGAAAAAGATTTGAGATTACTAGCAGGTTTGTAAATCTCTCCAGAAGGAGTAATTAGGTCTCACAATGATGCTATTTAATTAAGTTTTGGATACTTGTACAATCCTCTCAATATTAAATACTTTATAAATTAGTAAGTAATTGAAGTAGAATAGTAATTGGTTGAAGCCTCTCCTGAAATATCTATAAGTAAAGCTCTTGAATATTTATCTCATACTCCTTGCTAACAGTTAACTGATACATCGAATATACTAAAAGATATTTATAATTAAAAAATCAATTGAAATAATTGAATATAACTGATTAATTACTAAATTTAAATAGACAATCACTAAATTTATTTTATAAGAAATGCTACAAGTATATCGAAGAGTATACCTCTAAAAACCAAGGAGCTATTTTTTAATATTTTATAAGAAGAATAAATCTTATCACATATAGCGAGGAAGTGGTTAAAGCTGGCTACTCTAAAAGTTTTTTGGATATGATTGGAATTGATGTTGAATAATTTAGCTCAAAGATTTTGCAAAATCATAAAATAGACCTTATTTAAGACAATCAAGAATCCTTAAACTAAACTGTATGTGGAATAAATAATTCTATCCTTAATAGTGCTCCTGTAAAAAGATAGATTAAAATCACTACTATTGATGGATTTGCTCTTAAAATTAAATATGAAACAGATTAAATAGATTTAAGTGATACGCAGGACATTCCATTTTAATGCAAGCTTTCTATTGTAAAAATTACTGCTAATAAAAAAGAAATTCTAAATCTAATTAAGCATAGATAAGAGGTAATAGAAAGAAAAAAATTGTAGTCTTATGACGATTTTCTTTAAAATGAATTACAAACACTATTTAAAAATTAATTTTGTGCAAAAGAATCTAAAAAATTTATTGAAAAATACTATGGAGAATTAACAAATAAAATTTATACAAAAAAAAATAAAGTTAATTCAAGAAATCATAATTTTGTAAAAAAATAATTTTAAATTATTTAAATTGAGCAATTAAGCAACAATGAAAGCAAATAATTAGCCCAGAAATATGATGTAATTTGAAATAAAACTTCAAAGTAAGTAAGTAGCTAGTTTAATCTATAAAATAAAGACAACTCTCTTAAGATGTTAATAATTTAGCAAATGATTGATAGAATAAACAAATAAAAAAATACTTTAAACAAACTGCTTAAAAATTAATTATTTAAATTAACTCTTAATCGTAGTTTGCTAAATTTAAATAACCCTATCAATAAAAAAATTCTACTAAAAGAAATATAAATAAATGTTTTTATACATTTCTAATAATTTATTAATGATTTAATTATTTATTATATCATATATCTGTTTATATGTTTATTTACTAAGCATAGCTAAATAAATATTTTTATTCTTAGAGAATGAATGAAATAATATTCAAAATAATTTTTTAATATTTAAAAGCCCTTAATTAAAGCAGTAATGGTATTTAAAATATTAAAAATAATTTACCTCTTAAAAAAAATATTCGAGTCATATCAAAAAAATAAGAAATTATGTTTTTAAATGATGAAAGTACTTAATGCATTATTGTATCATCATTTCAACATTATGCCAATAAAAAAATATATTACCAAAATAAAATTATGAAGTCAAAAACATTAAAATTAAAATAAAAAAACTAAAATTTGAAATAAATTTAATTAAAAGTATATATTGGAGTTTTATTTAATGTTATAAAAAAATAATTTATTTTTTAAAATAAGTTCAAAACACTCTCAAAAAAAACAATTTATAAAAAACAAATAATAGCTTATAGAGAGCTTTATTGATGCAAAATTTCTGTAATAATTAAAGATAGATACTCTTCCATATATTATGTATTACTTTAATTATTTTTGTATGTTTTCTTCAGTATTCATTCATCTATTAGTAATTGTTTTTTTAATCTAATTGTATATATACTTACTTTCTATCCTATTTATTTATTTATTTATTTTATAATAAAACGAAAACTAAATTTATATCTTGAAAAATTTATTGATAAAAATTAGTAAAAAATTATAATTTAATCTTAAAAACGAAGAATTTGAAAATTTAATTGAAATTGCATTCAAAAATAATTTTTATTTTAATTTTAAAACTTAATTAAAATCTTCAACATTATTAAATCCACCTTAATTAATTTAAGAATTGATGATATATCTTTTAATCTAAAATTAGAACCAATATTTAATTAAAAGTGAAATAAAAATACTTATGAGAATATATATAATTTAGTTAATGTAAATATATTTTATTTTGATCACAATTTTACAAACATTTTCAAATAAATGTATCTATAGAGTAGTTAGAGCTATCAAATAATTTATTTATTTGAATCACTCAGGATAATTAAATTTCTTGAATTAATAAATAAATGTGTTTACAAATGAGGTGTTTAGAGAAAAAAATTTAAACGTTTTCTAGCAACAATCAATAAACACCCATTTAAATTAAATTTACAAATCATAAATTTATACTTTTCTTAAGAATTTAATGACTAAGACTACTTTAAAAAATTATATAAGCGTCTGTCTGTTATTCTTAATAATCTTTTATAATCTAAATTTGATTTGAAATAATAAAAAATCAAAACTTTTATTGAACTATTGATGAATATAAATTAAATATTTTTTCTCAATTTACAAATTAAAAGTTGATATTTATTTCTTAAAGATGATATAAATAAAATAATTTTAACTGAATCAAAGTGCTGAAAATAAACTAATAAAAAACCTGATAATGAATTAAATTTTACTATTTTCAAAATATTTTTTAGCAAATACTATTAAAAGATAATTTAAAAAATATCTTTAATTTATTTTTGAGAAATAGATATATAATTCCTTTTTATCAATATCTTTAATTTATTTTGTCTATAAAAAAATGTTTTTATGCAAAAGAACCTAAGTAAAAAATTAAAAATTACTTAAATAAATAAATAATAATTGAATAATATAGATAGATACAAATTATTACAAATTTTTGATTCTATTTTAACCCATCGAAAATTCGCTTCATAATAATTTGGTTTGAAAAAGAATTCAAAAGAAATAATTTAATAAAGGAATTTATTTGAATCAATAAATTTTACAATCATCAATAATTAGAAATAGTTTGTAATTTAATAAATAGCCTTTAATAAAATTTTTATACATCAATAAAATTCAACTTTTAAATGAAATAGAAATGAAATGTATTTCGAGATTGAATAGACCAAAGAAAGCAATAGATTTCAATTAAATTTGTAATATAAACTTAAATATTAAAACTTTTTGATTTTTCGCTTCATATTAATTGTGTAATAATGAATTGTATTCCTAAGTAACTAAAAACCCAATAAAAAAAAAGGAAAATTAACAAAGATATTTATTAATTAAGTAAACACTTTAAGGAGCGGATTGTGAACATACAAAAATTATTAAATATCTTATCAGTTTTTATCAATATCTTTTACTCAGATTACTTTCCTCACCTAATTAAAGTCATAATTTTACACTTTAACTTTTATTAAAGCAAAAACTTTAAAAGTTAAAAAATTATTTTACACAACAAACCCTCGCTCTCATACCAAAAAATACCTAATTAAAAATCTTTAAATCGAAATCAGAAAATAATTTTCATGAATATATTTCATATCTAACTAATGAGGATTAGTAATATATAACCAATTATAAAAAATAGATTAATTTATTACTTTTTAACATTCAAAAAAAATGGAAAAATAAATATTTAGGATTAAATGAAAGATTTTTAAAGTATATCTATTTCATAGAGAAATTCCAAATGAAAATAAAATAACCATGTTTGATTGCTTGTTTCTCATGATTGGTTGTGAATTCAATAAGAGCTTAATAACTTTAGATTTTTCTAAAAAATTATAACCATTTGTCTAAAAATAAATAAAGCCCGATTTGTAAGAAAAACTAAGCTGCTGTAAGTTAAAAAGTCAATATATTTATTTATTTATCTTACAAGTTAATTAAAAATAAATTTACAAATTATATCTTAGTCAAATTGCTAAGAAAAAATCATATTGCGATTCTAATTATCTAAAGTAAAAATATAAATTTATACCATAATTTGTCAATCAAATCTTCCTTTTTTTATAATTTTAGTATAAAATATATAGTCTATTTATTTAATATTTCAATAAAATGTTTTTAGAGTTATCGAGATAGAAATAATGAACCTAAATATCTTTTTATTTGTTATAACTCATATTTTAATCAATTTTGATAGGATGAGTAATTATTATCATGTTAAAGGTAATGAATGAACTATAAAATAATAAAACTATTAAATTTTGAATATTTTTTGATTTTATATTTTAAAATACATATAACTATATCATATTCTATCTTTTACAAAATAAACTTCTATTTTAGGCACTAGTAAAAATTTTTGGAGTTTCTCAATTTCTCAATAAAATAATGAAGATTAATTCAAACAAAATCTTTTAATTTCATATTTTTGATCTCTATTAATTATTATTAAGAATCAGAATTAATCAGAGAGGAAATTGAATGTTGGAAAGATTATCATCAAAATGAAGAAATTCTGATAAGGAACACAAATATTTATCTTAAATCTGATTATGTATTTTTGAGGAATGTAAATATCCAATATATGCAAGGAGTAAATCGACGTTTTACAGATAATATTGTTACAATTAATTTAAAAATACAAAAAATAGTTAAGATTCATGCTATTATATGGATAAAAATAATATATTTTTGTAAATACTTAAAAATTAATAAAATCCACTCAAAAATGTTAATATGAAACAAAATTGAGATTTCAAAATTTATTCTTTAAGTATTCTTTAGAATGTATTTAAAAAATCTAATAAAAATAAATTAAATTAAAACAAAATAAAATAAAACAAAACAAAACAAAATAATAATTGACCTAATAAAAGAAAAAGATATCAAAAAAGTGTAAAAAAATCTTTAAATTCAATTAGAAATCAAATTTTTTAAGTTTCACCTTAAACATAAATGCAGTATCTCAATTTTGAAGAAATCTATATTTCTGATTTTATTTATGACCATGACAAATCAAATAACTTGTAGCTATCTAGCACATAAAACGATGATTCATAAATGTCATATTAAAATTAAAACTAAGTTGGAAATAATATAAATCATTTATCAGAAAAAGAAACAGATCTAAATCGAAACGAAGAACCTAAAAAAATTCAAGTCTTCAAAAGAATTTAGAAGAAATTTAGATAAACTGGAACAGCTGCCATAATCTAGAAAAGGCTACCTTAAGAAAAAGATTTGAGATTACTAGCAGGTTTGCAAATCTCTCCAGAAGGAGTAATTAGGTCTCACTATGAAGCTATTTAATTAAGCTTTGGATACTTGTACAATCCTCTTTATATTAAATACCTGATAAAATAGTAAGTAATCGAAGTAGACTAGTAATTGGTTGAAGCCTCTCCTGAAATATCTCTAGACAAAGCTCTTGATTATTTATCTCATACTCCTTGCTAACAGTTTTCAAAAGCATCTATCTTACTAAATGATATTTATAATAAAAAAAAAGAATTAAAAAATCAATTAGATTAATTGAATGTAACTGATTAACTACTAAATTTACATAAACAATCTCTTAATGTATTTTATAAGTAATGCTACAAGTATATCGAAGAGTATACCTCTAAAAACCAAGGAGCTATTTTTTAATATTTTATAAGAAGAATAAATCTTATCACAAATAGCGAGGAAGTGGTTAAAGCTGGCTACTCTAAAAGTTTTTTGGATATGATTGGAATTGATGTTGAATAATTTAGCTCTAACATTTTGCAAAACAATAAAATAGACCTTGTTTCAGACAATCAAGAATCCTTAAACTAAACTGTATGTGGAATAAATAATTCTATCCTTAATAGTGCTTCTATAAAAAGCTAGATTAAAATTACTACTCTAGATGGTTTTCCTCTTAAAATTAAATATGAAACAGATTAAATAGATTTAAGTGACGAGTAGGGTATGGTACAAAATTTTCCATTTTAATGCAAGCTTTATATTGTAAAAATTACTGCTGATAACAAAGAAATGCAAAGTCTTATTCAGGATAGATAAGAGCTTGTAAAAAGAAAAAAATTTTAGTCTTATGAAGATTTTCTTTTAAAGGAATTACAAACACTATTTAAAAATTAATTTTGCGCAAATGAATCTAAGAAATTTATTTAAAAATTCTATGGAAAATGTACAAAAAAAATTTATAGAAAATATAAAAAAATTAATTCATAAGAAGATAATTTTGTAAAAAAATAATTTTAAATTATTTAAATTGGGCAATTAATTAAGTAATAATGAAAGCAAATTATTAGCCCAGAATTATTATGTGATTTGAAATAAAATTTCAAAGTAATTAAGTAACTAATTTAATATTTAAAATAAAGACAACTCTCTTAAAATGAATTTAGCTAACTATTGATAGAATAAACAAATATTTTAAATAAAATGCTTTACTATTATTTATTCAAACTAACTCTTAATTGAAGTTTTTTAAATTTAAATAACCCTTTAAATAAAGCAATTATACTAAAAGAAATCTAAATAAATATTATTATACATTATTTTATTATTTATTATGTCAAATGTCTTTTTATATTTTTATTTATTAAGCTTAGCTCAATAAATATTTTTATTCTTAGAGAATGAATGAATGAAACCTCTTATATTCTATAAAGTCTGACTTTAAATTAATTTACATGACAGCAAAAAACCATAAATAATATTATTCATTTTCAATTAAAATTTTAAATAGAAAACACCAATAAAAAATATTGAAACACTTTTTTTATAAATTTTATTATTTATATTATAACATAATATATTAATATTCAATAAGATCCATCAATCTCCTTCATTAACTAATTGTATTTTGTAAGATATATGATCAACAAAATAGTCTATGATTTAAAAATCAAATGTAAAAATTAATAATAATAATAATAAAAATAGTAATCTCAAAACTTAATAAATTTCTAATTTAAAAAAATATCAAAAATTCATAAAAATTATTCTTTTATTTTATTATTATCAAGCTTAAGAAATTTTCAAATATCTAATTTATGGCTTTTTGAGGTGGAAAATAATAAAATGATATCATATTTTATACAATACGAGTAATAAATAACTAAATAAATACATATTTTTTGTTCTAACAAGTTATTAAATAAAATAATTAAAATAATTTTAACAACTGTAATAATTCAAAAGTCCTGAGCTCAAAAGAAAAATTGTCTAATCTGAGAGTTACTAAGAAATTTTACTCTTTTAAAATTAAGAAAAATTATATCAATGAATAAGTCTAAAAATATAAATTATATTTATGTGAATTTACCCAAAATATGAATTTCAAAGAATTTTTAAAAAAATATTTCCTTAGACTTGTGAGAGATTTAACTCTTCATCTACAAGTATTATGAAAATAATCTGAATTATTAACCTTTTAATGGAATAAAAAATTAATAATAATATCTATTATCTTTATAGAGTTAGTTTGTATATGCTTGTTTTGTTTTTTTTCACTTTAAAATATAACAAAATATTATATTCTTTATATTAAAATTAAAAAAATGAATTTACAATACTTATTGATAAATACCAAAACTTATTTTTTCATGATTCTTAAAGCAAATAATAAAAATTAAATTTATATTTTAAAAATTTTTTAACTATATAAAAATTAATTAAGTAGATAATAAATATTATTACACTTTTATCTCTAAAAGATATATAACTAAATAAATAAATAAGCTAAGAATTTCAGAAATTTTCATTTTCAAAAATTTTTATAAAGTAAATGGTAGCTATTATTCTACATGAGTTGTATGTATGTATGTATGTATTTATTTATTGCATCTCCAATATTTTAAACACAAAATATTATTATGCAACTAATTTTAAGTGTTACCTATTGGAAATATCAAACTTATTTTAATTTAATTTATAAAATAGATACTATGTTAGGAAATCTATCATGTGTTTCATCTCAGATAAGTATTTTAGAAAGGTCTTAACAAAGCACAAAATATGCTAACTAGTACACATTCTATGGATTCATTTTGGATATACTTGCTCATTTGCATGTTGAAAATACACATACACATCATGTATGTGTTCATATTTGATCAAGTATCAATAAAAACTCACAATTTTAGCATTTAAGGATCTAATTTTTAATAGAATTCCATGCTTATATACTCTTATAGCAACTCCTTTACTAAATTAAATTGAGTTGTTATGGAATTGCACAAAATACTGTCTCAAAAAAAGTATAATTCCTGGCCAAAGAGATTTTTTTCTCAAGTTAAAATTCTATTTCACAAAAATAAATAACTTCTTAAAAATGTTATAACATGGTTTTTAATACAATAAAATATTATAGAGGAGCTCTAGAATATAAATGATAGAGTGGAATAATAAAAATAGAAAAGATATTGAAGACAAAAAATATATAGATTTTTGATAAATTGCTTTTGTGAATAAAAACAGACATACATCAATTCTTAATGAAATATTTTAAATTGCTTTTGCTTTCTATCTAAATTTCAAATTTACTATGAATAAATAATACAAAATTTTTTTATCTTAGTTTTATGATTATAAATAGAATCTGATCTAACAAATTTTATATTTACTATATTGAGTGCTTAAAAATATAAAATAAATATGAATTTTTAATAGTGCTTCAATTTTTTATATAGAAATGGTTGGGTGTCGTTATAAAAATTTAGTAATAATTACAAATATTTATTTTATTAAAAAATATATATATGTTAATCTGTTAATTTTACTGTCACAGATATTTAAAAAAAAAAAAAATTTATTTATCTAACACAGGTAAAGATATTTCACAACTAACTCCTAAAAATATATAATCTAAAAGCTACTTCACATTTAAAAATGTATTCACCTTATTTATAACTAAGCTTGTTTATAAAATACATAATATGAATAAGTTATTTATTATTCTTTCATTATTATATATTACTAATTTCTTATTTTTATAAAAAATAATTTTAATTTAATAAATTTTAAGGTCAATTTTAAAAAAAGAACTCATTTATTCATAGCATAAAAACAAAATATAATATTTAATTATTATAATTAATTAAGGTGTATTCAAAATAATTTTTTAATTATAAGTGCTCCATATTTAAATTAAAACAATGACGGTATTTAAAATATTTAAAATCATAACCTCATAAAAAAAATTTTTTTAATTTATGTTGTTAAATGATAAACTTTGCTAATGGGTTATTGCATCATTATTTCAAAATTATGCCAAAAAAAATAAATTATCAAAATAAAATAATCTAGTCAAAAATACTAAAAATTAAAATTAGTTAAGAAATGTATACAAATGCTAAAAAAAAATAATTTATTTTTTAAAATAAAAAACTCAAAAAAACAATTAATCATAAACAAATAATTGCTTTTTGAGTTGTATATATGTATACACTAACAAATTTATCAGCAAATAATTAGTATTATTTAAAGGAAATTAAATATCAGTTTATAGTGATTTAAGGTTTATTCACTAGTCTTTTAAATTTTAAGCTCTTTTGGATTATTTTTGCTCTATCTGATTTCTTGACTTTTCTTGGACTTTTAAATATTAAATAAAAGTTAGCTTTGTAAGAAAAAAATAATTAATTATTTGTGAATAAGAATATTTATTTGTAAATATTATTCAATTATACCTTAGTTCAAGTTTAAGTGTTTAGAGTACAATACATTACTACAAATCAGACAATAAACCTTATATACCCTAATAGGTAATTTTATAGCTCCTTTTAAGATAAAAATCATTTTAATATTTTTAAAGAATTTTAGAAACCACAAATTTAAAAAGCTAAATAATATTAAAGTGAAACTTTTTATATAGCTAATGTTAATATATAAATTTGCTAATTAATTAAAAGTATTTCATGTAATATTACTTTAAGTAGAGTATTAAAGCTGTTAGTTTAGAACATTTTGATATTGATTAAGCGAAATCTTATATAGTTTTATTTTCAATTTAACCTCTTTATAAAAATTAAAAAATGATATGTATGATTTATTTGATAAACTTTAATAGAAACTAAATAGTTAAATTTCTAGAACAGTCAAGAGAATTAATTTATTTTACCCAAATGAGAGATACAAGTTTGATAGTTTCTAATATTTTGTTAAGGCTGATCCTATTTACTCAATTCCATCATTTTTAATTTCATTATAGCTGTAAATATTAATTGATTTTTAACATTTTATTTATTCATATTTAACTGTAATTTAGTTTTATAAAGCAAAAATAAACAAATAAAAATATTACTTTAGTAAAAGCTACAAAGTTGATAAATTTGCACAATTTGCTAAAGCCATAGCTAGATCTGAAGACCCTTTCGAACTGATAGAGTTATGTCTTTTAATAAATGAATAATTTAGAAATATTAAAAAAAGTTGTGATGGCGAATGAATTAAATTTTAAAAACTAATAAAATTATTCAAATAAGATAATTTAAATAAATGGGATATGTTGAATATAATTAAGATATATTTATATTCTTACTCAAGCATTAGTGTAAGTTTAGTAAGGTTATCGCATTTAGCTAATAATTCACCAATATTTTATGCAGATTTTTCATTAATTTGATTGTAACTTTTAATATATTTATTTATTATTTGTTTCATTAAATAAAAAAAAGATAATAAAAAAGTTTTACTTGAAATCCAGAGTTAAATTTTACAATTTAGTGCATTTTATCAAGCCTTAGCATAGATCTATAATATTTTCTCCCGAAATACAATTTGAACTTTTAATATTTTATAATTATACATATAAATTTATTTTCTATTTTAATAAAAATTTTAGATAAATAATTAAAAAATAAATATATTTACCTAAAATTGAGATTTAAATTTTATAGATTTTTGCAGTTTGATATACCATTACCAAAAGCTAACATATTCTAGCTTCCAAATATACCAAGGCTTTGATATTATTAAAATTTTAGTTATATTTAAATAATAATTCAAAAGAAAGTTTAAAAATTCAAATTTTATATTTAAAACATTTACTAAGTTTTATTTTAATCAAATTAAAAAAATATTTAAAGTATTAATTCATTATTACGAAAAATCTATTGTCAAAGTTTAAAGATTTAAGCAGTTCGAAAAAGCATTTTCAAAACCAGGAACATATTTTTGTTATTTATTATACAGGCTTTTGATTAGTTTCAAAAAAAAATATTTTAGCAAAACAGCTAGATTAATAAAACTTAAAATTTCGGGAAAATAAACATTAATTAAATTACACATTAAATAACTCTAATTAATTGAGATTTTAGCAGTTCCCTAAAGCAACAAACATAGCTTAAACACTTTAAATACTTATATTATTCTACCTTTATTTATTTAATAAATTTACAATTAAATTTTCAAAAAAATGAGAAAATAGAATTTAAAAATAAATAAATAATTCGATTTATTTTTATTTTCGAATTAAAACAAAAAAATTAAATTTTAAATAATAATTTATCCACTTAAAAAGTAATTAAATTCCAAAATTTAAAAATATTAATAAATTTTACTATAGTTTAAGAGTTAATTTTTTAAGATTGGGACATTTTGCTAAACTAAAACAGAAACCTGAGACATCATCAATTAAATTGATTCTTATTATTTTTTAAAAAGCAGATTTATTTTATGAATTATAAATAAATAATATCAAATTCTTAAAAAATAATAGAAATAAATTAAAAATTGAATTAAATCATTATTTTAATAATTTATAAAGTATTTTCAAATTTTATTCAATGCTTATTTTTACTTACTTTAAATTAATAAGTAAATCTGATAGATTCTCACACTTTGATAGGTATGAGCCTAATTTTGTTAATCCAAATGAGTCAATTTGATTTGTTCTAAATATTTAATTAGTAATAATTTATATTAAATAATTAAATAAAAAAAATTAAAGAAAGTAGAAAATTTAATATAAAAAAAGCTAAAACTCAAATATAAAACAATTAATTAAATGAATTGAATCTCTTAAAAATATTTAATCTCTACCTTAGATTTAATGACAAAGTTTAAAGACAAATTAATTTTGCAAATGCTTTTCCCAAACATAATAAACCTAATGAGCCAATCTAATTGAACCTTTAAAAACATTATAAAATATTTTAATTAATAGGATAAAGATATAAATTATAAATTAATTAATTCAAATATTTTAATGAATATTTTTTTATTCTAAAAAGTAAAGATTATTTACAGCTATCATTGAAAATTATACAGATAAAATAAAAAAAGCATAAAATTCTTACCTCAAATTGAAAGTTAAAAATTAAAGATTTTGACAATTCTATAGGCCACAAGCAAAATCTTTAATACCTTTTCCAATAGCATTATCCCTATTAATAAGTTAATTTGTTAATATGGAGATTTTTTATGATAAAAAATAGAAAATAAATAAGATCTTAAATAATATCAAAAAGATTAAAAATTAATATTGACAGCATTAGCTGTTTAATAAACTAATTAATTATTGAAATATATAATATTTTCTAATAATATAAGTAAAAGTTGCCAAATTACCTAAAATTAAGTTTCAAAGTTTATAGATTTTTATACTGAGATAAGGCCATGCCTACACTTTAAGCCCCTTCTTCTTTTATTTTACACTTACTTTTTAAATATATTAAATTCGCAATCAAATAAATTAGTAAAATAAATCAAAAAATTAAAATGTAAAAAAAAAATTAAAAAATTTGAATGAGAAAAAGAAAATAAATTATTTAAATTGTTTAGTAAAAAATTAATTCTATTTATAATTATTGAAAAATTTTTTATACAAATCAAAGTTCTTATTTCATTATTAATGAATATTTTACCTAAATTGAATTTCAAGGTTTTTTAAAGAGGAATCAGGACAGTTTAGAAACTTTAAAAAAAAAATAAAATAAAATCATTAATTGGGATTTAAAAATAGCATCTTTACATCTTCTAAATTATTAAAGATCTTTTATTATGAAATCATTTTTTTATTGCTGAAAAGCTTTACAATAACTTCTAATCAAAAAATATTTATAAATTTCCGAATTATTAAACATTAATTTATCTTTTATAAATCAAATCTAGAATTGTAGACACTTTATTAGATTTAATTGGTACTTTTACATGCTTTAATTAATTTATTAAGGAAGGAGTTTTTAGCAAATCTCAATAATTTTATTACAAAAATATAAATTAAAATTAATTAATATTACTCAAAATAATATTTTATTATTAATTGCTCCCCCATATTTAAAAGCACTTTCATTAACCTTATAAAAAAAATATTTGAATTATATCGAAAAAAATAAGAAAAATTTAGGATGCTTAAATGATAAACTTTGTTAATGAGTTATTGTATCATTATTTAAATATTATGCCAATCAATAAATACATTATCAAAATAAAATAATTTAGTCAAATATACTAAAAATTAAAATTTGAATAAAAACACTAAAATTTGAAATGAGTTTAATTTAAAAATAATTGTTTTTAATTTAATTAATATGAAACAAAAAATGCCAAAATAAGTTCAAAATATTTTTAAAAAAACAATTAATCATAAACAAATAATTGCTTATAGAGTTGCGTGTATTTATAGACGAATAAATTTATCACAAATAGATAGTATTATTTAAAGCAATTAAATATCAGTTTATAATTATTTATGGTATATTCACTAGCCTCTTAAATTTTAAGCTCTTTTGGATTAATTTTGCTTTATGTGATTTCTTGACTTTACCTGGACTTTAAAATATTAAATAAAAGTTTACTTTGTAAGAAAGAATAAAATTAATTAATAAGATTATTTATTTGGAAATATTATACAATTATACCTTAACATAAGTTTAAGAGTTTAGAGTACAATACATTTCTACAAATCATATAACAAACCTTATATGCCCTAATAGGTAATTTTATTGCTTCTTTTAAGATAAAAATTGTTTTAATATTTTTAAAGAATTTTCGCAACCACAAATTTAAAAAGATAAATTTAAAAGTGAAACTTTTTAAAGCAAATTTTAATATTTAAATTTACTAATTAATTAAAAGTATTTCATGTACTATTACCTTAAAGAAAGTTTTAAAGTTGTTAACTTAGAACATTTTGATATTGCTTAAGCTAAATCTTTAATAGTTTTATTTTCAATTTCACCTCTTTATAAAAATTAAAAAATGGTATAAGTTATTTGATAAACTTTAATAGAAACTAAATAGTTAAATTTCTAAGAGAATTAATTTATTTACCCAAATGAGAGATACAAGTTTGATAGTTTCTAATATTTTGATAAGGCTGATCCTATTTACTAAATTCCATCATTTTTAATTTCATTATAGCTTTAAATATTAATTGATTTTTAACTTTTTATTTATTCATTTTTAACTGTAATTTAGTTTTGAAAGTAAAAGTAAGCAAATAAAAAGATTATTACTCAAGGAAAAGCTAAAAAGTTGATAAGTTTGCGCAATTTGCTAAAGCTATAGCTAGATCTGAAGACTCTTTCGAACTGATAGAGTTATTTCTTTTAACAAATGAATAATTTAAGAATATTAAAAAAACTTTGTGAATGCGAATGAATTAAATTTAAAAAACTAATATAATTATTCAAATAAGAAAATTTAAATAAACGGGATATTGAAAATAATTCTTATTTTTTTATATTCTTACTCAAGCATTTTTAATTTCATTATAGCTTTAAATATTAATTGATTTTTAACTTTTTATTTATTGATTTTTAACAGTAATTTAGTTTTGAAAAGCAAAAGTAAGCAAATAAGAATATTTTTACTCAAGTAAAAGATACAAAGTTGATAAGTTTGCACAATTAGCTAAACCCATAGCTAGATCTGAAGACCCTTTCGAACTGATAGAGTTATATCTTTTAATAAATGAATAATTTAGGGATATTAAAAAAAGTTGTGATGGTGAATGAATTAAATTTTAAAAATTAATAAAATTATTCAAATAAGAAAATTTAAATAAACTGGATATGTTAAAATAATTCATATTTATTTATATTCTTACCTAAGCATTAGTGTAAGTTTATTAAGGTTATGGCATTTTGCTAATAATTCACCAATATTTTATGCAGATTTTTCATTCATTTTATTATAACTTTTAATATATTTATTTATTATTTGTATTATTAAATAAAAAAAATCTAATAAAAAAGTTTTACTTGAAATCCAGAGTTAAATTTGACAATTTATTGCATTTTATCAAGCCTTAACATACATCCATCATACCTTCTCCTGAAATACTATTTTAGCTTTTAATATTTTATAATTATTCATATAAATTTATATTCTATTTTAATAATAATTTTAGATAAATAAATAAAAGATTTTACCTAAAGTTGATATTTAAATTTTATAGATTTTTGCAGTTTGATATTCCATTACCAAAAGCTAACATATTCTGGTTTCCAAATCTACCATAGCTTTGATATTATTAAAATTTTAGTTATATTTAAATAATTTCAAAATAAAGTTTGAAAATTCAAATTTTATATTTAAAAAATTTACTAAGATTTATTTTAATCAAATTAAAAAAATATTTAAAGTATTAATTCATTATTACGAAAAATCTATTGTCATATTTTAAAGATTTAAGCAGTTCGAAAAAGCATTTTCAAAACCAGGAACATGTTTTTCTTACTTATTATGCAGACTTTTGATTAATTTCAAAAAAATTTTAATTTATTATTTAGCTTTAGCAAAAATAAAAAGCAAAAAAGCTAGATTATACAATAAAATTTAGGGAAAAAAAACACTAAATAAATTACATGTCAAATAAATCTAATTAGTTGAGATTTTAGCAATTCCCTAAAGCAACAAACATAGCTTAAACACTTTAAATAGTTATATTATTTTACCTTTATTTATTTAAAAATTAACAATTAAATTTTCAGTATAAGTGAAAAAATAGAATTTAAAAATAAATAAATAAATAAATAATTTGATTTATTTTCACCTTCTAATTAATACACAAAGATTTAAATTTTAAATGAGCTAGCAGCATAAAAGTTATTAAATTCCAAAATTTAAAAATATTAATAAATTTTACGATAGTTTAAGAGTTAATTTTTTAAGATTGGGGCATTTTGATAAGCCAATACAGAAACCAGAAGGATCATCAATTAAATTTATTCTTATTATTATTTAAAAAGCAGATTTATTTTAAAAATTATAAATAAATAATATCAAATTCCAAAAGAATAAAAGAAATAAATTAAAAATTGAATTAAATTATTATTTTAATAATTTATAAAGTATTTTCAAATTTTATTCAATGCTTATTTTTACTTACTTTAAGTTAATAAGCAAATCTGATAGATTCTCACACTTTGAAAGACATGAGCCAAATTCTGCTAATCCAAATGAGTCAATTTGATTTGTTCTAAATATTTAATTAGTAATAATTTATATTAAATAACTAAAATAAAAAAATTAAAGAAAGTAGAAAATTTAATATAAAAAAAACCTAAAACTCCTTTAGAAAACAACTAATTAAATGAATGGAAGCTCTTAAAAATAATTAAGCTCTACCTTAGATTTAATGATAAGGTTTAAAGACAAATTGACTTTGCAAATGCTTATCCCAAATATAATAAACCTTCTGAGCCGATCTGATTGAACCTTTAAAACATAATAAAATATTATAATTAAAAGGATAAACATAATAAAATTATAAAGTAATTTAAAGTTTTTAGTGAATTTTTTTTATTTAAAAAAGTTAAGATTATTTGCAGCTTTCATTGAAACAAATAAAGATAAAATAAAAAAGCAAAGTTCTTACCTCAAATTGAAAGTTAAGAATTAAAGATTTTGACAATTTTATAGACCACAAGCAAAACCTCTAATACCTTTTCCAATAGCATTATCCCTATTTATAAGTTAATTTGTTTATAAGGAGATTTTTTATGATAAAAAAATAGAAAATAAATAAGATCTTAAATAATATCAAAATAATTAAAAATTAATATTGACAGCATTAACTGTTTAATAAACTTATTAATTATTGAAAATATATAATATTTATAATAAAAAAAGTAAAAGTTGCTAATTACCTAAAATTAAGATTCAAAGTTTATAGATTTTTATACTGAGATAAGGCCATGCCTACACTTTAAGCCCCATCCTTTTTTATTTTGCACTTTCTTTTTAAATATATTAAATTAGCAATCAAATAAATTAGTACAATAAATCAAAATATTAAAATGTAAAATAAAATTAAAAAATTTGAAAGAGAAAAAGGAAATAAATTATTTAAATTGTTTAATAAAAAATTAATTCTATTTATAATTATTGAAAAATTTTATATAAAAATGAAAGTTTTTATTTGATTATTCATGAGCATTTTACCTAAATTGAATTTCAAGGTTTGTTGAAGAAGAATCAGGACAGTTTAGAAACTTTAAAAAAAAAATAAAATCTATAATTGGGATTTAAAAATAGCATCTTTACATCTTCTAAATTATTAAAGATCTTTTATTATGAAATCATTTTTTTATTGCTGAAAAGCTTTACAGTAACTTCTAATCAAAAAAATTTATAAATTTCCGAATTATTAAACATTAATTTTATCTTTTATAAATCAAATCTAGAATTGTAGACACTTTATTTGATTAAATTGGTACTTTTACAATGCTTTAATTAATTTGTAAAGGAAGGAATTTTTAGCAAGTCTCAATAATTTTATTACAAAAACACAAAGTGTAAAATAATTTAAAAATTAAAATAAAATTATTCATAAAAATTAATTCCTTCCTTCCTTTATTGATTAATTGGCGATCTAACCCTATTAAATTTTTTTAGCATAAATTTTTGATGAATTTTAATAAATAATTAAGCAAGCATACTAATTTAAAAGAAGGTCTAATAAAAAACATAATTTAATTCATTTGTAAATATATAGCTCACTAAATTTGTTTTTATAAAAACGAATATTTTATTTAATCCTAATTTTAAGCTATGATATAAATATATTTATAATTTTTCTTAAAAATTAAATTAATAATCTATATAAATTTGTAATTAAAATAGTATTTATTATCAATCAAATAAATCTTTTATTATCAAATATTATTTAAATAAAAATTAATATTTTACTTTCTACATTCTGACCATCTACCTATTCAATCAATACATCTATTTAATCTTCCTAATATAAATTTCTTTTATGAATTATTAAAATCTAATGATTACCGATAATTAACTATCTTTTTCTTATAAGAAATATCTAATTTGATTATTTAGATAATTATTAAAAACTTAATCAGAAACATAAAAAATATAAAAAGAAGAAAAAGTCAAATTAAAATGAACTAAAACATGAATGATGAGTCATATTAATAATATTTAAATTCTAATTAATATCCCTACAATAACAATAACCTTTAGTAACATTTTTAAAGTAATCACTCCCAATAAGCATAATTTTAAGTTGTAAATCCATAGAATAGCTTAAATAACTATGACTACCCAATTGCGCCTCTATAAAATTATGAATAAAATTAAATATAATAGCCTATGCTTATTTAATAATAAAATTCATAATTTATTTATGATTAAAATGTAAATCATGATATTGAAAATACTTTCTGCTTAGGTATCACAAAAGGAAATAAATAAAATAGAATGGTTGTAGGCGTAGATGGTATAATCCAGGCACTTAATTAGATTTATAATTCTCTCTGTCTGAATATTCCAATCTTGGAAGTAATAGGAAAGCTCAATCTTCTTTTTATTACTGAATTAGACAAAAAAATAATAAACCCAATAATAAATAATAATAAGACAGTTTAAAGAAATGTGATTTTGCATGGAAAACTGATTTATTGCTGTAGGAAATTACAAGATGGCTTAAGAAAAAGTGCATTAATATCTTTTTTTATTAACTCTTTTATTGTCATACTTCTGACAGTATGCTATACCTTGATGATTATAGTTGATAGTTATTTGATAGTATTATTTATTATTCATATAACATTATGGGTTGTCATTTTCATTATTCATCTATTTAGTCTAATTTTTTGCTCTCCTAAGCTATTAAAGCTTTCATTTTCTTTTAGTGTGATTAGTTTACTGTATACGCTAGTAAATTTTGCTTTACTTATGACTTACCTATTTGTATAGTAAACTAATGGATTAGATTTTTAAGGATTTGGTTTTGCAGTATTTATTATTTAATTTTGTGTCTTAGCATTAGGAGCTAATATTACTATAACTTCATAAATTATGATAATTACCATGAGGAGATTTCTTTTATTAATAAAATAAATAGATTAAAGCTAATATCGAAAATTTAATTTTAGCTGAATTAATTAATTAATAATTGACACTTCATAAAAATATATATAAATGTCAAAATAGTTTTATTTGATAAAAATTGTAATTTGCCTATCTTTTTATCTTTATCATATTGATAAGTTTTTTAATTATTTATTTTTATTTAATCTTAACTATTATTTCAAAAAAAATTTTCAAAAAATATATTTTAAATGAATGATAATAAATTTTTATATACGTTTTTACAAACAAATCAAAAAAAAAATGAAAGGTCCCACTGGGATTCGAACCCAGGTCAAGGGATTTAAAGTCCCCAGTACTAACCACTATACTATGGAACCAGAACACAATATATACTATTTAATTTTTTGGGTAGTATACCTCTTTAGAATACTTGCTCTTTTAAAAATTAATTGGATTAAATAATTGTAAACATTTTTAAAATATTTGTCAATTTATTTGATTTAAATAAAATTGTTTAGGTTTTTTATTTAATTTTTAAAATAATAATTTAAAGTGAATTTTTAACAAAATTCTCCTTAAAAAAAATTAGGTCAATGACCTTCAAAATCTTAATCTTGAGAACGACCAATTAATTCATGGAGCCAATACAAAATATTTAAGTTTATCATCCTGTTTTAAATATAATTTAATATGTATTGTATTTTAAAAGTAAATAAATAAATATTATTAATATGAAGTCTAATTAAAAAAAAATGAAACATAAAAAAGGAAAGGTCCCACTGGGATTCGAACCCAGGTCAAGGGATTTAAAGTCCCCAGTACTAACCACTATACTATGGAACCAGCACACAATCTTTAATAATATATTTTTTGGCTGATATGCCTCTTTACAATTAAAATTTTAATTTTAAGTTAAATCTTTTAAAACAATTCTTCTATAAAAAATAAGATTACTCATCTTACTTCTAAAAAGTACTAAGAGCAGGCAATAATATTATAGGGGTATGAAAATTTTTTAGCTAAGATGCTTGAATAGAATTAAGGATTTATTTTAAAAATATTTTAACAATAATCAATTTTTAAAAGTAAATAAATATTAAAAATATAAAATTTAATTTCAATATGTATGTTTAAAGTAAAAAAGATAAGGTCCCACTGGGATTCGAACCCAGGTCAAGGGATTTAAAGTCCCCAGTACTAACCACTATACTATGGAACCAGAACACAATGTTTACTTGTTATTTTTTTGGCTAGTATATCTATTTGGAATTAATTAAAAATTAAAAAATTTTTAAAAATTACTATCACCTTTTAAAATATATGTCAATAAATTTAATTTTTCTTAAAATATTGTTTATACATTTTCAATTTAGAATAGCTATTTCAATTAAATCTTTAAATAAATATGCCCCAAATAAAAAAGATAAGGTCCCACTGGGATTCGAACCCAGGTCAAGGGATTTAAAGTCCCCAGTACTAACCACTATACTATGGAACCAGCACACAATCTTTAATAATTCATTTTTTGACTGATATGCCTTTTTATAATTAAAATATTAATTTTAAGTTAAATCTTTTAAAAAAATTCTTCTATAAAAAGTAACTAATGGATTAGCTTTTTAAGGATTTGATCTTGGAGTAATTATTATTTAATTTTGTGTCTTAGTATTAGGAGCTAATATTAATATAAAATTTAATTTTAACTGAATTATTTAAGCTTCATAAAAATATAAATGTCAAAATAGTTTTATTTGATAATAATTTCAATTTATCTATCTATTTATCTCTATTAAATTAAAATATTTTTTAATTATTTACTTTCATGTAATCTTAACTATTATTTCAAAAAATTTTTAATTTATATGAATGAAAATAAATTTATGTATTTTTTTTACAAACATATTTGAAAAAAATGAAAGGTCCCACTGGGATTCGAACCCAGGTCAAGGGATTTAAAGTCCCCAGTACTAACCACTATACTATGGAACCAGAACACAGTAAATACTATTTCATTTTTTGGCTAATATCCCTTCTAAGAATTGGTCATTTTTTAAATAATACCTTTATATTTCAAAAATAGTTATATAATAATAATTAATAAGTATTTTACTAAAATTTATTAATATAAATTATCATTCAAGATTTGTGTGTGTATTTATTTAAAAAATAAGGTCCCACTGGGATTCGAACCCAGGTCAAGGGATTTAAAGTCCCCAGTACTAACCACTATACTATGGAACCAGAACACAATAAATACTATCTAATTTTTTGGGTAGTATACCTCTTTAGAATATTTGCTATATTAAAAATTAATTGGATTAAATAATAGTTAACATTTTTAAAATATTTATCAATTTAAATGATTTAAATAAAATTGTTTAGGTTTTTTGTTAACATTTAAAATAATAATTCTTTCAAAAAAATTGTTCTAATAAAAAAATAAGGTCAATAACCTTCAAAATCTTGAGAACAACCAATTATTATACCATGTAGTAGCCAGGACAAACGTTTAAGTTTGAATACAATTATCATCTTGTTTTAAATAAAATTTAATATAAATTTCTTTTTAAAAGTAAATAAATATTATTAATATAAAATCCAATATTAAAAAATGAAACAAAAAGGAAAGGTCCCATTCGAACTAAGATCAAGGGATTTAAAGTCCCCAGTACTGACCACTATACTATGGAACCAGAACACAACATAAACTATTTAATTTTTTGGCGAGTATACTTCTTTCAAAAATAATTTATATTAAACATCATTAGATTGATAAATAGTTAGTATTTTAAAATAAATGTCCATTCTTAGTTTAATATTTAAAAGAGCTACTGTAATTTATTTTTTTTAAAATAATATTTATTATACAATTTTTAAAATTTAATTTTTTAGTTAATTCAAAATATATAAAATAAAAAAAGATTTAAAAAAAATAAAACCCCTCTACTTGTAAAAAGTCCTGAGAACAGATAATTATATTATGGAGACAGGAAAAATTTTTAGTCAAGATGTTTGAATAGAATTAGGGTTTTGTTTGAAATATATTTTAATAACTATCAATTTTTAAAAAATAAATAAATATTGATAATATCAAATATAATTTTTAAATGTTTAAAGTAAAAAAGATAAGGTCCCACTGGGATTCGAACCCAGGTCAAGGGATTTAAAGTCCCCAGTACTAACCACTATACTATGGAACCAGAACACAATGTTTACTTGTTATTTTTTTGGCTAGTATATCTATTTGGAATTAATTCAATATTAAAAAATTTTAATCATAAAAAATTACTATCATCTTTTAAAATATATGTCAACAAATTTAATTTCTCTTAGATTATCTAAGTTAATATTTTTTAAATTTAAATTAGTTACTTCTATTTAATCTTTAAATAAACATGTTCCAAATAAAAATAGATAAGGTCCCACTGGGATTCGAACCCAGGTCAAGGGATTTAAAGTCCCCAGTACTAACCACTATACTATGGAACCAGAACATAGTGCTTACTTGTTATTTTTTTGGCTAGTATATCTGTTTGGAAAATTTTTAATCATAAAAAAAAGCTATAACCTTTTAAATTATATATCAACAAATTTAACTCCTCTTAAATGATCTTGGTTAACACTTTTTTAATTTAAATTTGTTACTTCTATTTAACCTTTAAATAAACATGTTCCAAATAAAAAAAGATAAGGTCCCACTGGGATTCGAACCCAGGTCAAGGGATTTAGAGTCCCCAGTACTAACTGCTATACTATGGAACCAGCACACAATATTTGATAATACATTTTTTGACTGATATGCCTCTTTACAATTAAAATATTAACTTTAAATTAAATCTATCAATAAATTCTTTTATAAATAAGAACATATACTTCTAATAAGTTCTAAAAATATAAAAATATAATATTATTGGGCAACAAAATTTTTTAGCAGAGATGCTTGAATAAAATTAAGGTTTTGTTTAAAATACACTTTCACAACTATTTAAAAAATAAATTAATAATATCAAATCTAATTTCAAAATATTTAAAGTAAAAAAGATTAGGTCCCACTCGAATTCGAACCCAAGTCAAAGGATTTAAAGTCCCCAGTTCTAAGCACTATACTATGAAACCATCACACAATTTTTAATAATACATTTTTTGGCTGATAAGCTCTTAACAATTAAAATATTAATTTTAAATTAAATCTTTTAAAAATTTTTCAAATAAAAATAAGAACACTCATCTACTAAAAATTCCTGATAATAGACAATTATATTATCGACATAAAAATTGTTTAGCCAAGATGTTTAAATAAAATTAGGTTTTTGTTTTAAATAGATTTTAATAATGAGCAATTTAAAAAAAAAAATAAATGAATATTAATAATATCATATCTAATTTCAAAATGTTTAAAGTAAAAAAGATAAGGTCCCACTGGGATTCGAACCCAGGTCAAGGGATTTAAAGTCCCCAGTACTAACCACTATACTATGGAACCAGCACACAATATTTTCTATTTCTTTTTTTGGCTAATATTCGCTTTTAAATATAATAAATAAGAAATTTTGATTTTGTTCGTAAACCTAATTTTATTTATTTTTTTGGATATAAAATAAGTTTAATATGGAAGAGCTACTTAAATAAAAAAAATAAAATAAATAAAGTTCAAGTATGTGATTGAAAAAATAGATTTAAAATCAAATAAGCTTTAAATCCATTAAAAATAAATAAATTTTTGATGCTAAAATTTACTATCTTTTTGTTGGTTAATAAATTTGGCAAAGAATAATTTTCAGAAAAACAAAAGTTTTTTAATTCAAAATAAAAAAAATATGTGTATTTGTATACTACCTTATAATTTTATTCGTTGTTTTATTTTAAATGACATCATTTTATCCATAAAACCTTTTTTTATGATTTAATTAAGTAAAAAATATTTTAAAAATAGATGCATGATTTAATATTTATCATAAATAATTACTTATTATTGTCTCAAATATAAAATTTTTAAAAAATGATTGTGGAATATCTATTCTATCCCAGTTCAGTTGTTTTATTTTTTAATGATTTAATGATTATCGACTTAATTTAAAAAATAAAATTAATAGTTATTTACAATAAAAAATTAAAAAATTAGGTCCCACTGGGATTCGAACCCAGGTCAAGGGATTTAAAGTCCCCAGTACTAACCACTATACTATGGAACCGGAACACAATAATCTGCTTTTAAATTAAGCGCTAATATGCCTTGCTTAGATTTATATTTTTATATACATGAAATTAATTGATTTTTTTGTTTTAAAAAAACAAAAGTAGTTTATAGTTTTAATTTAAATATTTTTTATTTCATAATTAATTTATTATTTATTTATTTAGAAACAAAATTTAATATAATAATTTAATATAATTTAGACTTTTGATAATATTTTAATTTCATTTCATTTTCATAATAAATAAAAAAATAAGGTCCCACTGGGATTCGAACCCAGGTCAAGGGATTTAAAGTCCCCAGTACTAACCACTATACTATGGAACCGGAACACGGTATTTAGTATGCATTTCTTTGGCTAATATTCCTCTTCAGAATTTGTAATTACAAAAATCTAAAAATAATTAAAAATGAAGAGTTGGATAGAATTTCTTTTTTGCAAATGAAATTTATAATTGAAAGGATAATTAATATATTATTATACGCTTTGAATCTTTATTTAATTAATCCTCATTTTGTAACAATATAATTAAGGATGAATATACCTCATCTTAATGAAAATCACAAAATTTTTAATAGATTGTTTTAAAGATTTTTAATAGAAAATTTAATTAAAATGTTAATTTTATTATTTTTGAGATGCAAAATAAAATATAGATTTTAATAGGAAAATTAGATTAATTTACAAAGTAACTTCAATATTTAATTCGCGAAAATAAATAAATAAATATAAAAAGCATAAATCAGAATATATCAGGAAATAGTCTATTTTCTGAGAAACTATCTTTTGAAAGTGCACCTCATTCAAATTTGAGTAATTTAATTGGTTTTTATAAGCAATTTTTGCAATATTTTTTTTTTTCTAATGAAAGTAAATTTACAATGTAATTTTACCATTAGTCTTCATAAATGTTTAAAATTAACTTTAATTTTTTATTAATTTTTCAGATTTTCATTAAATTTATAAAAATTTAATTGATAGATTTTAAGATGTAAAACAAATATAATTTAGGTCTTCTGAAGGAGTTTCTATTTAAAGTAAATTTTATCTGAAATTTTTTAAATCAAATTAAAATATTAAAACATAAATTTAATAAGTAGATCTATCTAAATGTATTAAAACTCTGACTAGCAAAATTTATATTAGCAGAATTAATAGGCTAATCCTGCTTAAAATATGATGCCTCATGTGTAAATGGTGCAAAATCCTTAGCCTAATTAGCCATTTATGTACTAACAATAAAATTTTTAATTAGCAACTGTAGAAACATGTTAGAATTCACCTTATCCTGCTTAAGTAACTTGTATCCATTGTAGCCAATATATTACTACCCAAATATAATACAAAAGAGGTTAGGGATCTTATTGTTGTTGCTTATTAATGACTCTAACTGTTGGATGCTGTATTCTCCCTCTACTTCTTAAAAAATGTAAAGATAAAATACATATTTGCCCAAACTGTCATAAAGAAATAGCTGTATGCGAATACAAACCATGCAACAAACGAAATAGACGTCGTTGATATATTGAAAAAGATATCTTTTAGAAAGAAATATAATTTTATTAAATAATTTTAGTAAATTTAAAAGTTATTTTGTGTATTAATTAAGTTAGTAAATGATTATTTTACAAATTTTTTATCAAATAATTAAAAATAATTTCTCATAATATTTATATTCTAGCAAAAAAATATCAAATTAATTATAATTAATTGCTTTTATTTTTTAAAATTGAGATTACTAAGCTTGATTTTTATATGAAATAATAAGCTTTTCTAATTAATAAGTGGTTAATTAATAAAAATTAGCTAGGTTTTAGTTTTAAATTGTTTATGAAATATTTAAAACCATTGTAAAAATATTGTTTAAAAATTTTATTTTATAGAATCGGTTTTTTAAAAATAAGTTCAAAATTTTTCTTTCAAAGTTATAAATTAGGTGAAATATCTATTAAAAACATTTATTTAAGATTATATGTTTGATAAAGCATTTTTTTTTCACTTCCTAAGTTTGAAGCCTATTTTTAAACATTTTTTATGTTTCATTTTAAAATATCATCAAAAAATAATTATTTGTTGAGTAATAACGAAAAATATTCTGCAAATATCAAGAAATTCTAAACATAAATATGTTAATCTCACATACCTTGAAATTCAGATAAATTCAAGATTCTAAAAGTAAAATGAAGAAAAAATTCAAAAATGAAACCAGAAAAAAGGGAATAAATTCAAATGAAGTGAATACATGATCTCAAAAATAATAATTTTATTAACCTTTTATTCAGTTTTTATATTCTTAAAAAAAGCTAAATTATCAAAGATTTTCTTTATTAAGTTACTATTATTTTTTTGATAAATTTCTTCCTTTTTCTTTAATGAATTAACTAAATTTTCTTACCAACTCAAACCCTTTTACCTCAAACTAGAGATAGCGACGAATGCTATTGATTTTATGAGATTAGGTAATACGAATTTTAATATATTAGTAAAAATGTACTCTGTGCCACCTACCTAATAAAAAAATTTATTTTTCTTTTT